TATTTCCAAGTCTAATGCGTGTTTTCAGATATGTGGAATAATGGAATTGTAAAACTACTCGACTTTAGAAATGAGTCATATTCAACAATACGTGGTTCGCAGTATAAGTGAGCATTTTCTCAGAACTAGATGATTAGGGGCAAGATTTTTGCCTATTTAATGCAGGTTTGTGAATTCTGCCAGCATGGATACGTTTTGCGTAGCGCTGGTCATTATTATAGTAAACAAATTAATATACACTACACAATAGCGACATATCTCGCATAGGATACGTAGTTTTTGGTACACACGTGTACTCGATTGTGCGTTAAATATGATTATTGACGTAGACCTTGGCTTAGGTATTAACAAAGGCGCCGTAGATAACGACATTGATCTCCTGAACCTGTGGAAAAAAACAACTGCTCGATAATTATCCCCAAATTCCAGTCCAAATAAACCTTGCTCAGAAACGATGGTAAGTAATTATACGAAAAATCTGCCGAACAACTGCGAGATTGTCATCAATAAAGATATTTCCGGCTCTTCATAGAGCACGTAAGGTTTTTTTTAAATTTCTCATGCAAATATTCCATCATGATTATTTAATGGGCATGCTTTGGCAGACGATAAAGGAAATTTGTGATCAATGGTCAAATAATGGAATAAACTATGCGGGTATAGGTCAGGTGTGTATTCAAAACAGCAGTTCATTAATGTTTAAACAGTAATATTCTATTTATTGTCGAACATAATTTTATGCCACACAATCGATTACTGTTACATTCTTAAATAACCTCCCCACTACCTCAGAAAACTGATTTTTAAAAATCCTTGCCACATTGCGCAATTGTTTCGCAGGGATTCGCATCTTCTGTTTTTGTAACTTTGCCCAATAATCCATTTTTTCACCCGTCAACTTTAAACTTTAAATCAGTCACTCCTTACGCCATCTGTGTATTTCTTTTGTAAGTTCGTGTAAGTTGCAATCGATTTCATTTCGTAGTTTCCTATTCTTCCAATAGAGGTCATGCATAGTAGCATTTTTTTTAAAATAATAATTTCCCTTACTATTCCATTTTTCGTTGCGCAGAACAATCCCGTTTACCTTCAGAAGAGGAAAAGTAGTTATACGATTTACTTGTAAAAGACATAGCGCACCATTTTTTTACTTGAAGGATTTAATTTTCTTTGTGATTTGCTTACTACCCTTTTGGTTCTTCCTGTTTTTTTCTTTGTTTTTGTACCTGTACATCACTATCTACTTTGGCATCTTTTAATAAATACCTACGTCGGATTTGGATCCGCCATTTTGATTTCGAGACCACCTCACCGCCGCGCCATCCTGCAGCCGGTCATCATCAAATTTATGTTATTACCCATAAATAAAGAACATACTGTACTGAGTAGCATTTTTTTCTTATTACGAATACGAGATTTCCCGGAAAGTGGAAAATTTCGCATGATTATGGCGTTGTGGGCGGGTGCGCCGTCCTGTTGAAACCAACAATTTCCAACTTTTGTTTTTTTTTGTGCACGGCACATAAAAAAACGCTACTAAATAGAGCAGGACTCCCACTTCCACCAGCACCTCTCCGACTCCTACAGCAATTTCGTCGCCATCGGCTGTTATTACCAGCGCGATCGCAGAGCAATCGATCTTAATCACGTTGACTCTACTCCAATCATTGAAGAGCACCACAACCGGCCTCCTAAACCTCATCGAGGACCCGCCCGAAGACCACGTTTCCTTCTGAAGACGACCTGGAGAAGTACTTCGCCAAAACCGCCGCTTCATCGAGTGCCCAGCGCGCCCTGACTGAACAGCAACCCCAGAAGGCGGCCGCCAGCTGACGGACGCAGCACACCTACCTCCCCATGACTTACCCCTAAGTGAGACAGTGGTGGGTTACGGAGCACTACGACAGCCGACTATCAAATCCAGGCTGATCAGAAGAACGAATTCGGCTTGCTCTTCCTCCAGCGGTATACCCAGCTACGTCAACATCAACGAAACATACCACTTCCCTCGGACCTAGGGTGTCTGCGTTCTCCCAGAATGCGATCGAGATGCTGCAGTCTTTGGAGGTTATCGAAGAAATCACCAGACCACCAGACGCTAGCCCTTACAGGAAGTTTCCCTGTCTTCCTGCTATTACTGTCCATCGCGACTGTCCACCAAGACAAGGAACCGCCTAGGCGGCCGGGGTGCCGCCTTTTCCACGGCTATCATCCACTAGATACACGAGCCATCACAAATCGGGCTGCCAAATATGGCTGTAGAGCTCGGGGGCCTACATCGCCTCGCCCTCTTAGACACTGAGGCTTCTCACAAATTTGTCGATCGTCTGTTCTCCAACCACATCCACGAAGGTACCAAGCCCACGACAGCACACCTATCCACCGCCGCCGGCAAGACCCTCGACATTCTTGGCAGCATCCTACTATCCATGGGAGTTAGGCAACAAGGAACCTTCCTGGTTGTCAACGATCTCGCAACACCCACCTTCCTGTTTCAGAACTGGCTGCTTCGCAACGAGGCGATCCTAGACACTTCAGGAGCTACGGAGAGCTGCTAACAGTTTTAAGTAATGCCGTTCGCAGCCACGGCCGTCACCCGAAGCAAGGCCTTCTTGGGTTACGACCTGACCAGACCGGAAGAGTGGCGAACGTGGATCCACGTGCGAAGATCGCGGCAGGTGCATCGAAACCAACACCGCTACAGTGCAGCCGTTACGTTACTATTTAAGTAAAAATCTGATGGGAGAGCGGAATGCTTACTGAAATTTTCGAAGAGAATCTGTGCCGGTCGGGTGCTACTACTTTTTTGCCGGCAGAAGTAAGTTAATACGTGGCTGGTGTATGCAGAAAGAGCACTTCGTTACGGGAGAGATGGCTGCTATAATTTTCAAACGTGCATTTTGGAAATCATCACGTAAAAAATTATTAATCAAAGTTGTGGATCCAATTTATTTATATGAAGTGCAACAAATTTACGAAGGAAGCGGTTGCGGGTAAAAAGGTTGAAGACAATTAACTCAAGCTTTGTTTGCTCTTAAAACCCTAAGTTGCGGGGGCACATTTTTGACATTGCGGATACATCGGTGAGTAACTCAAAGCTCATCTAATTAAATGAAAGTAAGTCTGCAGCACGGTTTACTCATGAATCAAAATTGAGTCAATTATCTTTCGAAATTAATTTTCAACAGGCAACCCAATGCAACTGGTAATACGGGAGGTCCATTCGTATTGCCTCAGACGTTCCACTATTCAATTTTCCAAATTGCTGCTGCCGTCCAAAGGAGAAATCCAACTGACAATATGGGTAGGGTGATAGTTGTTTTCCGGGTGAAGAGGGTGCTATGTGCTAGGGTAGTACTTTACAAAAATGTACTGGGTGACCCAATAAGATTGTTCCTCGGCCATATCTGGGGAACTGTTCGTCGTATGACTTAGGGGTAAAAAATATTATTGGGTAAATCGGTTATGAAGGATCGCTGGAAAATATTTTCAAGTTCTAAAAATGACCACCAGCGGGAGTAACTGCCATCTTAAAATTTAAAATTGCATTTTCTTTAAATTTCGCATAATAAACATTTTTTTTTACATTTTTAAAAAGAACCAGTCTATCATTTTTGTAAAAATAAAAACTCAGTTATTTCAAAAACAAAGATGGCGTAGGGCGTTCAATTGTTTTTGCAATAACCTGTTTAACTTCTTAACCGTTTGACCGATTGTAACAAATTTGGTATCGTTGAAAAGAGCATTCCTTGGGCAATAAGAAATCAGCCATAATATGTTAATTTAGTTGAATCCTTCTCCGTCAGGGGGCTAGCTTTGACACCATGATCCAAAATCCTATAAAAATCAAAAAAATCAAACGAAATGATATGACTTTTTCTTTATGAAAAGTAGCCAAATAACACCCAAAGACGCGAGTGAAAACCGTTTTTCAAAATCTCGTTCCTAACCTCAAATATTGGGAAAATGAGATTAATTAATTAATTAACAAAATGCTTAAATTGTATCTTAAACTTACTTTTTACGTAACGTATTTCCGGTATTTGTCGATGGCGCGAATATTAAATGCTTCTTGGTTAAAAATCGGCATTTTAGAAAAGATTACAAATTCAAAAAAACTGCACTTTCTGAATGTAAACACAGCAGAATAATTTACAAATTACGGCTGTTATTATTTTATAATGCATCGTGTTTCATTTGTTTAATTTTCCAAGGCCTACCTAAAAGTGTAGGGTGCTTTCCTTTCGCGCCATCGACAAATACCGGAAATACGTAAAAGGTAAATTTAAGATATTAATTATTTATTAAACTCCATTCTCCCAACATTTGAGGTTAGGAACGAGATTTTGAAAAACGGTTTTCACTCGCCTCTTTGGATGTTATTTGGCTACTTTTTCATAAAGAAAAAGTCATATCATACCATTTGATTTTTTTTATTTTGTTTAGGATTTTGGGTCATGGTTTCAAAACTAGCCCCCTGGTGGAGAAGGATTCAACTAAATCAACTATATTTTTGTTGCCCAAGGAATGCTCTTTTCAACGATACCAAATTTGTTACAATCGGTCAAACGGTTAAGAAGTTAAACAGGTTATTGCAAAAACAATTGAACGCCCTACGCCATCTTTGTTTTTGAAATACTGAGTTTTTGTTTTTACGAAAATGATAGATAAAATGGTTCTCTTAAAAAATATGAAAAAAGAATGTTTAGTTTATTATGCGAAATTTAAGGAAAATGCAATTTGAAAATTTATGATGGGAGTTACGCCCTCTGTTGGTCATTTTTATAACTTGAAAATATTGCCATAAATCCGGCCATATGTTAAAGGCGGTCTTCTCGCGATGTTCGGGATCCAAATCAACTTGCCAGTAACCGCTTTTTCTATCTAAGGTATTTAAAGCCAGTAAGCGTATCTAGCCTATCATTTATGAAAGGCAATGGATAAGACTCCCCTGCAATCGGTAAGGTTGAAATGTAATCAAATGACTTGAAATACCTCCATTTATTACATTGTAAATGATTACCACTACTTACTTTATCTATTACTAATTATCTTATTAATTTCATTTGCCATACATGTATTCTTCAGGATGGTAAAGTGATTTCCACTGAAAGTATGGACCGAAACCGAACCCTCGCACAATTCTTCCACGTCGTAATCTTCGCTACTCCCTGGAAAGATGGACTCGGTCGGCTTACACAGCGTTATCGACGACTTTATCTTCTCAAATTTCGGTTCGAATTCAATGCCGCTCTTAACCCGTCCATAGAACGATTTCACAATTTCTCCTCGACGTTTTTTCACCAATTCTGTTTCGTCGGAAAGGCGTAGTAGCACATCGATTCGGTCCTCCAAGGCTTGACAGCGTAGCAGCGTCTCCTAAAAAGTTTCCGGTGAGAGCTGGAAATCGGCGGTTCAGTGATCGACTACCTCCACCCTTAATAGGCGGTCTAAGGGCACAAACGACTTTGCGAGCGCTGCAAGAATATAAGTCTGCAGGAATGTCTCATCCTGTACGTTGGGAATCAAGGCAGCTATTCGCCTTTTGAAAACGGAGTGAGATCCATCTATCAGAATCAGCTGTCCTCTGTAGCCTTTAGTTTCGAGCTGAGAGACTAGGTGCAAGGCGACTATGCAGCCGAAGGAGTAGGCAATTACAGTAAACGGTTCTTTGGCGGAAGGTAAGTGCTGCAATCGAACAGTAGTGCTTTAGATGTGGGTGTTCACGACCTACCAGGAGAGCTTGCTGAGAGAGCTCCTCAATCATAGTGGCGGATTCATCGTATCGTAAACAGTAGGCGTGGCAGTTTAGGTTTGCAGATAACATCTCCATAATTGTGCACACACCGTTTAAGCCAGGAAGAAGAAAGACAGACGGTGCGTTGTTGGCTTCGCTCACCAAACTCTTTTGCTTAACGATAAATGAAGATTCCTCCATGTTTTCATCTACGTTCGGAAGTAGCATGTACATTTCGCTAATTACTCTCGCCATAACGCTCGAATTTTTAAAATCTACAGCTTTTCCACTTTCCATTGCTTGTAATCTGCAAATTATGTTAACATTTATGGACCAATCGATCCGTTACCTTGCAAATGTCAGGTCACGCACTTCTTGATCGCTAAAGTCAGCGTTGAATTCGCGCACTAAAGTTTGTTTGAGTTCAACAGCAATAATTGAGTCCAATCCCATGTGGGAAAATGACTTGTGCATCCCAGCACTCTTCAAATCCTTGATGCCTGTAGAGCAAATGTCACGTGATGACCATGAGCAACCTTTGTACAAACCCATGATCCTCATAATGGAGTCAACAATTTTCTGGGAACCCCTGCAGTCTCTCGTTTTTTCGGCTACTACTATGCTGGAAACTACAGGCTCGTCTTGGCTCAGGAACGTGTCCAAAACGCCTAGGCACGACGAGACCTTTTGCGGTAGAGTACCTCGAATAGAACCTTCCCTCTCCGCGACCAACCCCACCTAGCGCCAATCTCAATCAAAATCTTTTTCCACCTCACGTACCTCTCCAATCGCCCCCCACTGAATCGCTAAACCCGGGTACCCGTCCCTTTTTCTTCGCTCACATATTCTTTCCATAACTGAATTTGCCATAGCGTAGTTGGCCTGTCCGGCGTTTCCCCTTCCACAGATCACCGATGAGAACACAACAAACTGCCTAGAATTAAAAGATGTGTAGGTGCCGAGATACGAACGGATTACCGTAATTTAGGGCACATCTCTCTTGACATCTCATCTAAAAACTTGGTGACAACCGCCTTTGGACGAAACGCTTCTTCGAACATTTCCACGGTTTGGTTTTCCAAAATGGCGTCCTTCAGGATAACCGCCAAATTAAAAATAGACTCGACCGGTCCCAGCTGGTTTCCTCTTCTGAGCAGCTCTACACACCCTTCTCTGGTGGCGACGTTTTCCGTCGAAACCAAGGTGGTCACACCGCATCTTTCCCAATTTTTAATTTTGGCCGCCTGGTAACCGTTCCTGACACCGGCCCTGGACACCAAAACCAACTTCTTCACGCCTCTCAGCACCAACCATTCCGCCAACTCCAAACCAAACCCGCCTAGTCCACCAACGATTATCGAGCAGTTTTCGAAGTTTCCGTAGAATCTAAAAGGGTGTGGCAGTTTAGGTATTTTACAAACGTTACTACCGTAAAGGCTTTGAGCACTTTAAAGACCTTTTAGGCACCTCAAAATATTCGGAAAATTTAGAAAGTGGTTTTAAAAATATTAGAGGCTTTTACGACCTGACCCTGTAAGGGGTCCGTTAACTTGGCCCCCCCACTGAGAGATTTCATAGTCGTATTATTTTGAAATGAATGCGCTCGTTATGCGCTCATATGCGCCACCGATAATAACTCTTGCGCCATTATCGTTTTTTAGAAAAATCGAAAAAACATTTGGGGGGGGCAAGTGAACGTAGCCCCCCCCCTCCCCAGTACGTATTTTGTTCCTTGTAACTAGGTCACCTGATACATTTGGTTATGCGCTCAATTGCGCCACTTGAATTAAAGCTAGCGCCATTACGGTTAAGCCGTGACAAATTTTCAAAAAGTGGGGGGGCCAACTTAACGTTTTTAAAAGTTACTTTTTTTTAACATCTTTTCATACGAAATTGTACTCTCAGGTATGCGCTCAAATGCGCCGTAAAAAGATATCTTTGCGCCATTATTGTTTTTTGGTTATCCTTAAATATATTTGAGGGGGGGGGGCAAGTGAACGGAATCCCCCATAACGCATTTTGCTACCGGTATTTGTGCCACTTGATACATCTGGTTATGAGCTCAATTGCGCCACTTGAATTAAAGCTAGCGCCATTAGGGTTCAGCCATAAAAAATTTTTAAAAAGTGGATGGTCTAACTTAGCGTTTTCAAAAGTTATTTCCGGAAGTGCGTCCATTTTGAAAATATTTTACATCGATTCGGCCTTCGGAGTAACTCCTAAATACAAATTTCTAAAAACCTACCTATTTTACTTTCTCAGAATCGTTTAACTAAAGCTCCCAAAAAAACACCCTGTATAGTGTTTCTGAAACACTATAATGGCGCCAAGTTTTTTGTTTACGGCGCATTTTAGCGCATGATGAAAGGTACGATGTAGTAGAAAAAACATGTTAAAAAACGTAACTTTTGAAAACGTTAAGTTAGCCCCCCCCTTTTTAAAAATTTTTTATGGCTTAACCGTAATGGCGCTAGCTTTAATTCAAGTGGCGCAATTGAGCGCATAACCAGATGTATCGAGTGGCAGAAATACCGGTAGCAAAATGCGTTATGGGGGGTTCCGTTCACTGGGCCCCTCCCAAATATATTTAAGGATAACCAAAAAACAATAATGGCGCAAAGATATCTTTTTACGGCGCATTTCAGCGCATACCTGAGAGTACAATTTCGTATGAAAAGATGTTAAAAAAAGTAACTTTTAAAAACGTTAAGTTGGCCCCCCACTTTTTGAAAATTTGTCACGGCTTAACCGTAATGGCGCTAGCTTTAATTCAAGTGGCGCAATTGAGCGCATAACCAAATGTATCAGGTGACCTAGTTACAAGGGACAAAATACGTACTGGGGGGGGGGGCTACGTTCACTTGGCCCCCCCCAAATGTTTTTTCGGATTTCTAAAAAACGATAATGGCGCAAGAGTTATTATCGGTGGCGCATATGGGCGCATACCGAGCGCATTCATTTCAAAATAATGCGACTATCAAATCTCTCAGTGGGGGGGCCAAGTTAACGGACCCCCCTGTAAGGCTGATCCGACACCCACGCTAAAGGGTTACTGACCTTTATAAATGCGGAATCAGGTCCCTAACCTGCACACAAATTCAACGGAAGCAGGTCAGTTTAAGAGAAACAGATCTGATCACCTAAATAAAGTCTGTTCATAAAAAAGATTGTTTTAGTGAGAAATAGGTCTGTTTCTGTTCAACTGACCTGTTTCCGTTAAAATTGTGTTCAGATTAGTGTCTGGTTCAGTGGTCAATAACGTTTAAACAGTCCTTGAACATGGCGCATGCAGTGAATTTGTCAGGTATCGCTGGTTCAAATCCCAACGCCAACAGAAAATATTCTCCAGCAATCACAGTGGAGAACTGCCGAAATCTCGCATCCCGGGCCAATTGCCAAAATTTGACCCGGGCCAGGACTTGATTACAGTCTCATCAAAATGTGCGTTTTAAAAGACGTTTAACGATTACTAATTGGTTTTGCTCTGAAACCTGCTGGTCGACTGCCGCACATTTATAGTATAAATACCTGCTGCCTTGCATTGGGTACAGACTCCGACGTAAGGTTTCATTCAAGGGTTTGGTGGTGGGCCACCTCGCCTTCATAATACTGGCGCTAAGAAGACCACGGCCACGGGAACGTTTGGTGAGGGAGCTTTAGATCGGAGAGGTGCAGTCCAGGGTCTGGTTCTGAGCAACCAAATTTGCGAGTGCGCCACGGACCTATGGGCTAGTCGCTGCGGCGGAGCTCAGAATGATCATTCTGTTGGTCACAGCTAAAGGTACACTGATAACTGAGTCCCAGTCCAAATTCGTCATAGCTGCACTGCATGCAGTCGTTGCTGCTCTCTAGACTGAAGGCGTTTCGTTAGAATCCGCAAAGGGCAATAGTGACCAAATGCGGGCATCAGTAGATCTTGGACTGGCTGAAGGGGATAGTCCCACTTATTAGGTCTTAGTATGGCGGGTCCCTGAATTGTCAGAAACACGTCCCTAGGGTAATCAGATTTAATGCCGTTCTAAACATGCCCTCGGATGACAGAGGAAAAATCCCGGTTTCAGGATGAGCCTCTGGAGGACGTTCTGATTTGTAGAGGGAGTGTCGTTTGAACTAATACAAGGTGTTTAACGCACCAGAGTTATTTCATATTAAACCTCAAGAGACCATTGTTTCCGACAATCATTATCTCCCCAAAACACTGCTGTCCAGGTATGAATTTCGGACTTGATTACAGTCTCGTCAAATTGTGCGTTTTAAAAATCGTTCCTTCCGATTGATTCCAAGAAGTATTTTTTCGCTAGCGTTAATGCACTTTGATTGAGGGAAATGTTTTCAGGCGCGGGGTAGAAGATCACTATTTGGTTTTTTTGCGAAACATGCAGATCTCGGAACGACACGGTGGGATGACCTTAAATGCTTTGGCCTCAGGCTATGCAGCCGAACGCTCTACCACTGAGATTAGTGATCTGGTTCAATGGTCAATGACGTTAAAGCAGTCCTTTCGAATCCCAACGACAACAAAAAGTATTCTCCAACAATCACAGATACAGAGGAGCAAGGTGGAGGGTCCAAGATGGTGGGCCAACTGCCAAAATATGATCTTGCACCCCGGGCCAACTGTCAAAATTTGACCCGGGCCAACAGCCCAAGTATTGTCTCGTGGTCCAAAAACTTCCCCACTACTACTTGCATTTGATTCTCGGTGTAAACAAAATCTAAGATCGAAGATGTCAAAGGGGAGCTATCGGCTGAGCTTTCAAAACGGGTTGACAACGGAGCGACCTTCTCGAAAAACGGAACAGCTCCAACGCATGACCTGATGGGATGGAGGGGCACAACGTCTGAGATTAGCGCACAGAAAGCTACGGCCAGGAGACGTCGGCTAGATCACGTAGATCGTTCGCGATGGGTGACATTTTAGGTCGGAGGGGAGCACTCCGGGGTCTGGCTCAGAGCAACCAAATTCGCGGGTCTCTAATAACCTATGGGCCAGTCGCTGCGTCGTCGTTGACGCTATTCAGAACCTCTCACTAGGCTGGAATCCGTAAAAAGCAACAGTGACCAAATGTGAGGACCAGTGGACCTTGGACTGGTTGGAGAGGATCGTCCCGCTTATCAGGTCTTAGCATGCCACATCTCTGAGGTGCCCAGCTTCATGACCGTGCCTTCGAATCACACGGCCACCATCTTGGTGAGCCTCCAGAGGCAAAAGCCTGGTTTAGAGACGAGCTTCCCACATAGCATTCGATATCTTATGCATATACATTTTAAATCCATAATGTAGACATACAGGGTGATTCCTATAGTACCTGCCACCGTTTGGGAGCGTGTAGGTGGTGCGTAGGGGAGTATTTTGATATAGGACACTTGGGGTCGGATATCTAAAATAAGGGTGCCAGAGCCAAATTTACCTTCTGGAATTTCGCGCCTGTAGGTAGGCAACCCAACCGGCCGGCGGTGCACACGGGGCGATCTCAGGCGGCGATGTGTGGCTGACACTTGATCAGAATTTTGTTTAAACCCACGAAATCCCGTCTGCAACGACGCGTATTAAGTGAATAAACACTATGGCACGTTTTACTAACACGGAATACGCGGACATGCACTTCATGTACGGATTGGCAAATGGTAACGCACGAGCTGCACGACGAGGGTACGCTGAGCGGTATCCAAACCGTCAGTTACCCTGCAGACAGGTCTTTCAAGAAGTTCACTTCCGACTGTGCGAGACAGGGCAATTGCAGGTAAGCTGACGGAGGCTTAACTTTACACATAGATTCGTGATGCACATCGATACTTGGGTCATTTAAGCACCCATTTCGAAAAGTTTGTTTGTTTACACCGACGGTCCGACCTCCTCCTATTTCGCGTCGTTGCAGACGGGATTTCGTGGGTTTAAACAAAATTCTGATCAAGTGTCAGCCACACATCGCCGCCTGAGATCGCTCCGTGTGCACCGCCGGCCGGTTGGGTTGACTACCTACAGGCGCGAAATTCCAGAAGGTAAATTTGGCTCTGGCACCTTATTTTAGATTTCCGACCCCAAGTGTCCTATATCAAAATACTCCCCTACGCACCACCTACACGCTCCCAAACGGTGGCAGGTACTATAGGAATCACCCTGTATGTATTTGTATGGATATTCTATAAATATACATTTTGGATGTCCTATGTATATACATGGGATTATATGTTTTGTATATACGTTTTGGATTTGATACATGCGTTTTCTGTATTACCGACGTTACAAACGTTAGCGTCTCATTTTCTATGAAAGCACATTTTCCATTGTATACTAGTAAACTTAATAAACAAAAAGCTTCACTCAGTGAAAAGAATTTATTTATGTAGGTATAGATGCTAGTAAATTTCCCGAATGTTAGAGGAATCTCTATAGAACATGCATTCTGAATGTATACAATATACATAGAATATCCTCTTGAACATCTTTGCATATTACAGGAATATTCATGGTATATCCAGTCAGTATACCAATATATACAGCATGTCTGAAGCATATACATAAGACATCCAAAACGTATATACTATGTGAAGTCTGCCAAACTTATATCCCATGCACATTCTACGGATATACATTCTATGGATATACAATATCCCATGTAGAATGTACATGGTATATGCAATGTATATAGGTCTGCTATGTGGGTTTTGATTTGTAAAGTCAGTGTCGTTTAATCTAATACAAGGTGTTGAATGCAGTAGACTTATTTCGTAATAAATCTAAAGAAACCATTGTCTTCGACAATCATTATCTCACCCAAACACTGCTGTCCAGGTAAGAATGTCGGACTTGATTACAGTCTCATCAAAATGTGCGCTTTGAAAAACTGTTAATGAATCGGCCATTACGCATTTTCCGATTGAATCTAAGAAACATTTTTTCGCTAGCGTTAATGCACCTTGATTGAGGTTAACGGTTTCAGGGGCAAAGTCCAAGGTCACTACTTTGTTGTGTTCTGAAACATGCAAATCTCGGGACTACAAACATTAAGATCGATCACGCTTCCATTCTGAAACCTCACGCTAATCACCGTCTCGGCCCTCAGTTGTTAGGTTGAATACCTGAACCCCAAAACCTACGTCGTCTCACTGTAACCCCGAGCATTCGAGTTTTTAACCTTAAACTTTTCGTACTTTGGAAAGTGACGCCCTCTTAGAACCTCAAGATTTTGACGAAACCACCTGAACCGTAAACCAGAAAGGAAAAAGGTTGTAAACCTGAAACCCGAAGCCTACGGAAAAACCATTAGAATCCGTGTCTTTAAAACCGAAACTATTCGCAGTTTCGAATCGTTTTTAATGCCAAGATATCAAAATTTCGACGCGTGAAACCAACTTAAAGCTTCGGAATTGGAATCACTTGAACTGTAAACCGGAAAAGGATATTGATCTAACGTATGTGCCTAATACTATCCAAAAATGGGTAACTATTTTTATACGAAACTAGGAATTAGGTGTTTGAAGGCTAGGTGTGATTGTCAACAAGTTTTATTTATAATGAGAATTAATTCATCATTATTTAAGAAAAAGAATGATAAGGAATTTAAAGAGGCAGTTTGTAGAACAAACATTTTTGTTTTTGTGAAAAAATTAAATAGGAGGGGGTACTGTAATGGGAGCCGATTCAAGAACTGAAATTTTTTCTTTGTGTGGGGGTGGTTTCAAGGTTAACGCATTGCAGGAGGATGACAGAGCGCATATCATTGTTGCAGACTGGTTCAATGGTCAATGGCGTTAAAACAGTCCTTGAACTTGGCGCATGCAGTGCATATGTCAGGTATCGTTGGTTCGAATCCCAACGCTAACAACAAATATTTTCCAACAATACTCAGCTTCATGACCGTGCCTTTGAATGACACGGCCACCCTCTTGATGAGCCTCCAGAAGCAAAATTCTGGTTTCGAGACGAGCTTCTAGGACCTTCTGATTTGTAAAGTGAGTGTCGTTTAAACTAATACAAGGTGTTTAATGCAGTAGACTTATTTCATGATAAATCTCAAGAACGACAGCCTTTATCTCCCCGAAACACTGCTATCCAGGTAAGAATGTCGGACTTGATTACAGTCTCATCAAAATGTGCGCTTTGAAGAACAGTTAATGAATCGGCCATTACGCACTTTCCGATTGAATCTAAGAAAGATTTTTTCGCTAGCGTTAATGCACCTTGATTGAGGTTTCAGGGGCAAGGTCCAAGGTTACTACTTGGTTGTGTTCTGAAACATGCAAATCTCGGGACTACAAACATTAAAATCGATCACGCTTCCATTCTGAAACCTCACGCTGATCCACCTGAACCCCAAAACCTACGTCGTATCACTGTAACCCCGAGCATTCGAGTCTTTAAACCTAAACTTTTCACAATTTGGAAAGTGGTCCCCTCTTAGATTCTCAAGATTTTGACGAAACCACCTGAACCGTAAACCAGAAAGGAAAAAGGTTGTAAACCTGAAACCCGAAGCCTACGGAAAAACCATTAGAATCCGTGCCTTTAAAATCGAAACTATTCGCAGTTTCGAATCGTTTTTAATGCCCAAGATATCAAAATGTCGACGCGTGAAACCAACTTAAAGCTTCGGAGTTGGAATCACTTGAACTGTAAACCGGAAAAGGATATTGATCTAACGTATGTGCCGAATAATATCCAAAAATGAGTAACTGTTTTTATACGAAACTAGGAATTAAGTGTTCGAAGGTTAGGTGTGATTGTCAACAAGTAGTCAAGTTTTCTTTCATAATGAGAAATAATTCATCATTATCTAAAAAAAAAGAGATAATGAATAAAGAGGCTGTTAGTAGAACATTTTTATTTTTGTTAAAAAAATAAGTCGGAGGGGGTACCGTAACGGGAGCCGATTCAGGAACTGAGATTTTTGTTTGTGTTGGGGAGGTTTCAAGGTTAACGCATTGCAGGAGGATGACAGAGCACATATTATTGTTGCGGGGGGGGGGGGGGTTAGTGTCTTATTCCCTATGTACGAGAACAGTAATAAAATTAAGCAAAGAATCAAAACAGGTTAGAAAATACAAAACAGCGAAATAGCAATTCAAAATAGTTGGAGGAATCCGAGAAGTCAGGAGAATTCAAAGAATAAGAGGCATCCTGTTAATGGAGATATCCAAATTTGAAGACCTCCAGAAGTCCGTAATGGTGGAGAAGATCTGCAGTAGGAGTAGCGCCTCAAGAAGAATGTAATTCCGATGGCATGACTGCAGAACCAGAATGAAAAAAATTTGAAGACGTTTAAACATTTCGATTTTATATACTTTTCAAGGGTTTTAGCGGCCCTAGATGCAATTTTAATCAGTTTGCTCTGAGAAGTAATGTGCTTACCTCGGTACTCCATAGAACAACGGCGATTTTCCGTCGTCCGAAATTTTCAACAGAATTTTTCCCATATGCTTACCGCCGGCCATGAAACGAAAGGCTTCCTCAACTTGTTCCTTTTTGAATACGACGCGCGGTAAGGGTTTCACCGCCCCTTTCTCGATGCCTCTCCTCAGAAGATCAAAGACGAACTTTTGGCGCGATGGAATTTCACCGAAGAACATGTCCAGCATTACCGAGTGAAAACTGCAGCCGTTACGGATCGTTTCACACTTCATCCGCGAGTTGTTCTGCATGTAGAACTTTCCAATCTCTAGAAACTTCCCCCCGCGCGCGAGGCAGCGGAGCGAGGCCTGGAGCTTGTCCTCCGATAGGGAGTTGAGGACCAAGTCTACGCCGCGTCCCCTCGTCTCCTTCAGAATCATTTGCTCGAATGTGGTGCTGCGCGAGCTTCCGATGTGGCGATCTTAAAAGTGCAGTTTTAGGTCTATCCTCGAGGAGTGGATTTCACCTGGTATCTGTGGGAAGCGTTGCCGAAGGTAGTTGCGTTTCTCCTCGGTTCCGACGGTTACGAAAATGTCGCACTCGTAATGGACGGCGACGTTTATGGCCGCTTGCCCTACGCCTCCAGTTCCGGAGTGTATCAAAATACTTTGACCTTTTTTAATGCGGGCTTCCTGCAATACAATTTAACTTTGCTATGTGTTTTTTTGGTTCTCCAACCGTGAAAAATACTACAATATTTGGGGAATTGGAACAGATATAAAAAAATGCTCCACTGAATCCACAAAAAAATATATCAGAAAAGGTACTCACATGTTCTAAGCACAGTAACACGGTTGCATATGCAACAGTGACAGTAGCCGCGTCTTCTACGGACCAATCGTCTGGTACAGTTACCATCATGGAGGGATTAGCCAATACCAAAGTCGACAACGCTCCATCTCGAACCATTCCAAACACACGTTCGCCACTACAACACCTCATCAAGCTCGCAGCCCACCAAGAGTTAACACTAACCTAGAGAGCCTTCCTGAAAATTCCACGCCTTGCACTATTTGATGCTCCAAACGATCCGCAGTGTAGACGTCAGCACTGATTCGCCCCGATGCCGTCAACACGTCGCGGAAATTGAGCGCGGAGTAATCGACCTACGCACAAACGTTACAAAACCGTCGCGCAACAACGTCCGACTTACGTTAACCAAACTTTCACCCGGTGGAAGCGCATCATTCCTCTTCAAGGGTCCTTCGGACCATACCAAACTAGAAAGATCGCCCACAGTCAACGCATGGCTAAAGATGTGTTCGCGCGGAACCGGCTGTGATCTTGCCAACGGTAGATGGCGGTAAGTGCCCCACCTCCCACCCTTGTAGACGTTCACAGTTAAGCCCATTTTCAATTGGGTGGCGTACAACGGGGTGTTCACGTCAAATTTGGGCGACTCGTCTGCAATATACATGCAGCGCACTTTTTCCGTATAAGGTTCCATTTTTAGACAATTGAATAGCCCCAGTACTCCGGTGGTCGAGTCGTTTTGAGCGACTAGCATGACGTTCTTGTTGTATTTGACGAGCGCTTGCAGAGCTGGCAACCAGGTGAAATTGGCAACATTGTCTAAGTCGACGATTGTGAGACTCCCGGTTGGCTTCCGCTTTTGCAATAAGACCAAGGTTTCGGCTTCCGTCTCATAGACGCTTATCATCTCAACGTCTGGTACACCGTCGGGATCCTGGTGGAAACCTACATCTTCCCTTGATAATACAAAGCCGCCGTCCTTTAAAACCATCAACGCCTCCTCAAGAAGCTAAAAAGGATCGCGTTACAGTACCCCTGTAGTTTACTGAAATGGTACCTGAGGGCTTCGAAGTGCATTTGCCACTATCACCAGCAAGTGATCGCCGGGCCCCTCCGCGAGTTTCTGGTCTCTTACGTCGATTGCATCAAATGCGAGGTCTCGACTGGAGAGTACAACCAAATTGGGTTGAATGAGCGGTTCCTCTCCGAGTGCCTGTTGAAGTATCGGAGTAATCGGTTCCGAAGACCGAGAGTCGTCCACCACTTCCACGCAATTAAATGTGAGTTGTCTCGAGTTTTCAATGACAATTTGAGTATTCACCCTCACTGCATCGACCAAATTTAGACGCCCCTCGAAAGGTACAAATTTGTACGCTTCCAAAACCGGCTCGTCCAATATTTTTCGTTTTGAAATGGCGCTTGTCCCGAGTCCTTTTATTTCGACGCCCCCAGCTCTGAATTAAAAAGAAGAGCGCTAGGTGGAAATTCCACGTGAGCATCTCTCACCTAACGGTATCGGAATGGGCGCATAAGCGCACTGGTAGCTTGCCATCGTATAGACACCTCCGGTGCAGATCCTGATCGATGATCACCCGCTCGATGTAGGTCGGAACATACAGGCTTCTCGTGTCCTTGTGGAGTATCTTCATCTGAAGCATGTTATCCATGAACGTGGTCCAGTTATCGGCCCATTCGATCGAACCATCAGTTACGTCCAAGGCACATGAATCTACACCGCGGAATAAACCGCTGAAACGTAAACATTTGGTAAATCCGTAAAGCTACTACGAACTCTTTGACTTTCTAGGCTCACTCCACAGCTTTCCAGATCTATCTGATCTGTATCAATGATCTGTCAAGTTCTGGAAAGAGCATATAGGTTTCTCGAAAGCTAAACAACAGAATTTTCAAAAAGTTAAGTGCTTTTGAGGACATTCTGGATATTTCTACGTTTTACGTTTTTACATTCATTCGCTCACTCATTCCCTCATTCACTCATTCTTCATTCACTCGTTCGCTCATTCACTCATTAGCTCGTTCGCTCATTCTCCCATTAGCTCGTTCGCTCATTCACTCATTAGCTCGTTCGCTCATTCCCTCATTAGCTCGTTTGCTCATTCACTTATTCGCTCGTTCACTCATTCACTCATTCACTTATTCACTCATTCACTCATTCACTCATTCACTCATTCACTCATTCACTTGTGGCGATCCATGGGTGGATTTGGAACAGTTGAGTTTACATAGTGATGATCAGAAAATGTCAATCAATTATTAAACAAATGCTATTAGTGGTAATTAATTATATTATAAAATTAGTGTGAATATTATCCAGGTAATAACCGCTGGAATAGTGACCACACTACACACTCATTCACTCATTGACTCATTCACTCATTGACTCATTGGCTCATTGGCTCATTGACTCATTGACTCATTCACTCATTGACTCATTCACTCATTGACTCATTGACTCATTCACTCATTCACTCATTCACTCATTCACTCATTCACTTATTCACTCATTCACTCATTCACTCATTCACTCATTCACTCATTCACTCATTCACTCATTCACTCATTCACTCATTCTCTCATTCTCTCATTCACTCATTCGCTTATTCACTCATTTGCTCATTCACTCATCACTCATTCGCTTATTCACTCATTCACTCATTCGCTCATTTGCTCATTCGCTCATTCACTCATTCACTAATTCAGTCATTCACTCATTCACTCAATCACTCATTCCCTCATTCACTCATTCACTCATCCAGAGTGCCCCGCATAATTCTTATTTAGAAGTGCCCCTGCAGAAGGTCTTAAGTCGGTCTATACTACTCCCGTATTTACTTTACGAATTAGAAAAACTGCAGGAAAACTTAATTCGGAGTAGCCGGCAGAATTCTGGTCTAAAAGATTCCCATCTCTGCCACAGATGAAAAATTTTTACCTCAGACCAGGTTCGAACACCCGACCTCCGGCTATGTAGCCCAACGCCACACAGTCGGTGTTCGGAAACCCTCGTTTGATTTAAGATACAAAGATGATACGTAACTTACCTGTAGTTGTAACCTCGCAGTTTGAGTTCCTTGTAAATATCAGTTTTGTCCAATCGTAGCTCGTTTCTTCCGGTGATTGGAGCGCACAACATGGGAGAATCACTTTTGCTTACCGTGCGCATCCTGCCGGTCACAACTACAACGCCCGATTCCGCTACCTGTGAGTACAAAACTGTTAAAATCATCAGGGTAAAAGGGGGGGGGGGGGTCACGGTCGCAATCCTGGTCCGAAGAAGGCAAGTTGGTATGAAGCGAGAGAGAGAGAGAGAGAGAGAGAGAGAGAGAGAGAGAGAGAGAGAGAGAGAGAGAGAGGAGAGAGAGAGAGAGAGAGAGAGAGAGAGAGAGAGAGAGAGAGAGAAGAGAGAGAGAGAGAGAGAGAGAGAGAGAGAGAGAGAGAAGAGAGAGAGAGAGAGAGAGAGAGAGAGAGAGAGAGAGAGAGAGAGAGAGAGAGAGAGAGAGAGAGAGAGAGAGAGAGAGAGAGAGAGAGAGAGAGAGAGAGAGAGAGAGAGAGAGAGAGAGAGAGAGAGAGAGAGAGAGAGAGAGAGAGAGAGAGAGAGAGAGAGAGAGAGAGAGAGAGAGAGAGAGAGAGAGAGAGAGAGAGAGAGAGAGAGAGAGAGAGAGAGAGAGAGAGAGAGAGAGAGAGAGAGAGAGAAGAGAGAGAGAGAGAGAGAGAGAGAGAGAGAGAGAGAGGAGAGAGAGAGAGAGAGAGAGAGAGAGAGAGAGAGAGAGAGAGAGAGAGAGACGTTCTCTCACAAAAGGCATACCCCTCATCAAGGAAATAAAAACAGAAAAGAATTTTTGGAAGGTGATAAACAAAGGAAAAGAGAAAAGTTACTACAAGAAAATACTAAAGAAAGAGAAGGCGACAGAGAGAAGCGAGATAGGTAATGGGGCTTGGATTTTTGCCACTGATAAGGTTAAGGATAGGATGAGACGTCTAGTAAATAAGGTAGGCATGGAAAGGATAAGGTTTACCCGAAGAAGGGAAGGAAAGGGGTGATGATGTGTATCTTCAAAGGAGGGAACAAGGATTGTGTGGGAAACGAATTACTGTAATGACTACCGCGTGTAGAATCTATTCAATGACACTGAACGAAAAAATGGAAAGGGAAATGGGGTGGGGGAAACACAAACGGGCATCAGAAAAGGGAGGGGAACGATTGACTGGTGGAAAAGGAATTAGAAAAAAGGGCGGAAAGGTGTGTGCGTTTTTCATGGACTTAAAGGCGGCGTTTGGAAAGTGAAAGGGAAAACGGATGGAAGATGATGGACAGAATCAAGGAACCATATGAAGAGGCAAGATTGAGGGTAAGAATAAAAGGGAAGGAGTTTGTGTGTTTTGGAGTATTAGGATGGGGCCAAGGTGGGGGGGATAGTAGTGAGAAGAAGAAAGATATGGTCCCTGACATACGTGGACGACGCAGTGGTCAAGGCAACGGGTAGAAGAAATGAAGGAAATGATGTGAAGAGTGTGAAGAATTTGAAGAATGTGACGAATGTGAAGGATGTGAAGAATGTGAACAATGTGAAGAATGTGAAGAATGTGAAGAATGTGAAGAATGTGAAGAATGTGAAGAATGTCAAGAATGTCAAAAATGTCAAAAATGACAAAAATGTCAAGAATGCCAAGAATGTCAAGAATGTGAAGAATGGGAAGAACGCGAAGAACGCGAAGAACGCTAAGCACGGGAGGAACGTAAAGAATGTGAACCATGTGAATTCGACATGCCCGAAAAACGTGAAGAACAAGAAGGAAGAACTTCAGGGACGTTAAGAACATAAAAACGTAAACAAAGGTGGGATTCTTGAACCAAAGCATTATTTTTTCTTAACCTGTCTATTGTTCTCATCATGTTAAATCAAAAGCCTTTAGGAATGGCTTCGAGTAATAAATATTGCAAATAACGCTGAGAGGCCACCTTTGGAGTTTTGTAATTACCTCAAATGCTCCAGTTGTCTTGTGGACCGACACAAATAATTTCACTTCGTCTTCTTCCGAGAAATATGTCGCCTTTTTAAATTGGACGTCTTCAAAGACTATACGCAAATCTAACGTTCCTTCCTTCTGCACTTCCACGTAGATATCCCAAACCATCTTCAGGTATGCAGTCGCCGGTATCAAGCAGCGACCTAAATGCCACGGTTTTTAAGAAGAAATAAAATAAGGCACATACCATCAATGAGGTGTCCAGTTATAAACTGCCAATTTTTATTTTTAGCTTTCACAACAACCGGGCATCCGTTGGCGTGCGCGTTTTCCTTGACGCTAGAGAGTGCCACAAACCAATCGTCTTCATGGTTCCACTTAATCAATGGCGAAATGGATGGAGTACGTGCGCTGATTGGCCAAGAAATCGGGGGATATAATTCGGAGAGTGTCGCGTTATACCCACGCTCGTAGAGTTTTCCCAAAGTGACGAGGAAATGTTGATCTGGTTCCATTCTTAACTGCATCTCTGTCGAAACGTTTCCAAAATGAGATAAGTCTTCTTCGGCGTGCAAAAAGAAAAGATTCAGCTTTGGGTGTAGATCTCGGCAGGGAGTAAACATGGAGGAAATTAAAACCTCTGGGGAAAATTTCCTGTTTGCTCCATTATGAGCCGAACTTTTTTTGGGAAAACGCACCGACGGCTTTAGACGGCTCTTCAAGTCTGAAACTGACACAAACGCGTACAATTTCCCAGTAATTTTCATTGGACTCACCTAACTTCTGTTGGTGTTTGAGGAGGGTGACGGAATTGTCGCCCATCTTTTCAATATTCAAGTCTTGGTGACCATTAGCTGATGGTATGGCGGGTATCTGAAGAACTTTTCGATAAAGCAATCTGTGGTGTAAGGTAGCAAATTTACATTTTCTTTCAAATACGTCTGGCCGTTGTTGTCGAACGTTCTAAGGCTTTCGGCTAAGTGAAAACCAAGAGCGACGGCTTCTTCCAAGCTCAAGGAATGAGTCATGTAACCTGCGGCTATCTCTCCGGTGGAATACCCTACGACGTGGGCCACGTCCAACTTCAGGCACTTCAAAAGTTCTGCCAAAATCAACTGACTCAGTACCGTTCCAAGTACGAAGTCGGCTTGGGAATTTTGCCATCCTTTGTTCAAAAAGTCGGTTAGTTCGGGTATAGAAGAATTCAACTCAGTTTGAATCCTATGAGGAGTATAAAGGAATATGGACGAAACTTGTCAGCCTACCGTTTTAGTGTCAAGGCGCCGATTGGAAATTTCAGAAGTGACTGACTGTGTTTGACCAATGTTGAGTTAGGGCCACCAAATAGTAAGCAGAGGGGAGCTCTTTGCATACCGTTGTAGCTCCTTGATCGTTCCATAATCGCTGACTTTGTCACTATAACAAACCCTCGATGCAGGTGGCCATCCATTGGCTTACTGGAAGATTAGTTCTTAATGGAGACGTTACCCACTGAGCATTACCTAAAAATTTCGTGCAACAACCGTACAAACTCCGCATCCAGTTCCCTTCGCTCCAAATCGGCAATGAACGCGTCGACGGCCTCCCCGGTACGCCCACTAAAGCACACCAACCGCGACAAATCATCCTCGGGAATTCCCCCATTGACCTTGACCTTAGTATGCCGCTCCAAGAGAAGGTGAGCATTGGCACCTCCAAATCCAAAGTTGTTAACGGCCACCAGACCCGTCCGTTTCTCGGGCCACGGCATCACGTCGGTCACGACGGCCATTCGACCCGCCACGAACGCTTCGTAGTTGGTTTTCGAAAAGTTAATATTCGGCAGAAGAATGTCTCCCTCCATACTCAGAAGTACCTACCCCAAATACGTCAACGTTAGCTCGAACCATTGCTCGTCTCACCTTTGCAACCGCACAAAATCCCGACGCTCCCTCGGCGTGCCCATGGTTGGACTTGGCCGAACCCACATAGAGAGGCTTTTGGCGGGAGGTGCAGAACATGGAGTCGGTGACCGAAATTTCTACGCGGTCTCCTATTTTGGTACCTAGAAAGATAAACAGTTGAGCGTAGTAAAATACTAGTGCATTGCATATAGTCCAGCGGTTCTCAAATCAGACAATGTTGGGGCTTCCCCTCTCCATTACGCTGAATAACTAATGGCCAACTAGCGAAATTACAATTAAACTAGACTTGATTTGGGCAGCTTTGGTCACATTCATTTTCCAGGAACTTTGTCGTCAGGTTCTGAAGTACCCAAAATAGGAATAGGAAGGGAGGTACCGCGAATTGCCGACATTTTAGATACTGTTCCTGGATCAAGAGTATTCGGAATCTTAGATTTAAAAAGTGGCTATGGATAAATTGAGTTAGCTTCAGAAGATAAGAAGAAGACTGGTTTTACCCTTGGACCAGGATTATGGCAACTCACCGCCATTCGGATTGTGAAATGCGCCAGTCACTTTTTACCGACCAATGGGACTAATCTCTTCAGACCCCGCGTGAGATATTTGGGACAAATTGCACCAGTGTCAGAGTATCTGCTGACCCGGAAAAGACAATAGCGATCCAATATTGGCCCGTACCAAGGAATAAACACCTACTAAGAAACGTCGACAAATCGACAAATACCGGAAATACGTCAAAAGTAAATTTAAGATACAATTTAAGCATTTTAATTAATTAATTAATTAATTAATCTCATTTTCCCAATATTTTAGGTTAGGAACGAGATTTTGAAAAACGGTTTTCACTGGCCTCTTTGGATGTTATTTGGCTACTTTTTCATAAAGAAAAAGTCATATAACTCCATTTCATTTTTTTGATTTTTTAGGATTTTGGGTCATAGTGTCAAAGCTAGCCCCCTGGAGGAAAAGGATTCAACTAAATTAACTATATTTTGGTTGATTCTCATTGCCCAAGGAATGCTCCTTTCAACCATACCAAATTTGTTACAATCGGTCAAACGGTTAAGAAGTTAAAGCAGGTTACTGCAAAAACAATTGAACGCCCCACGCCATCTTTGTTTTCGAAATAACTGAGTTTTTGTTTTTACGAAAATGATTCTCTTTAAAAATGTAAAAAATTTTTTTTTTAGTTTATTATGCGAAATTTAAAGAAAATGCAATTTTAAAATTTAAGATGACAGTTACGCCCTCTGGTGGTCATTCTTAGAACTTGAAAATATTTTCCAGCGATTCTTCATGACCAATTTACCCAATAATTTTTATTACCCCTAGGTCATACGACGAACGATTCCCGAGATATGGCCGAGGAACAGTCTTAGTGGGTCACCCGGTACATGTACTTAGGGTGAATCCTTTAGTAAGATCAATGCGCATCCTTTGGACCGAAAGTTTTAGATTATGCAAAATTTTCTAAGCAAAAAAGAAGATATTTAAACAATATCTAATAAATAGTTATGTTTACATTTTTGAAATCAGAAAAAAATTCTCTATCAAATGACACAAAAAGTAAAAATGACTTCCATAAGAAAAAATAAAGTTGATGATGATTAACCGGTAACGAAACGTCGCATTTGAAATTTAAATCTAGCATCTTGTAGAGGGAAAAAAGTGGCGCCATAATAATGTGTTATTTATTTTAAAAAATGTTTTTAATAACTTCAGTAAAAAAAACGATTTTGCGAAATATCAGTTTTTCCGGATAGTAGTAAAACTTTACCAAATTTAAACTCCCGAGATCCCCCTGGTGGTGGCCCTCGAATTTGTATCAGCCTGTATAGTCCTGTGATTAAGTGTATAGTTAAAAGCACTTCTGATCAGTGGACATACTGGACGCTTTTCTATCCACACCGACAACTCCACCACCTCAACAGTAGGATTCATTAACGATCCTGCGCAGTTGTTTCTTTTATTGATTAAGGTATTTAAATGAAATTTTGTATCTAGGCACCTCGAACAAAAGCAAAACAAATGCCGAATTGAAAAATTTGTTTTGCGCATGCGCAGTTGTTTTTTTTATTGGTTAAGGTATTTAAATGAAATGTTGTATCTAGGCACCTCGAACAAAAGCAAAACAAATGCCGAAATGAAAAATTCGTTTTGCGCATGCGCAGTTGTTTTTTTTATCGATTAAGGTATTTAAATGAAATTTTGTATCTAGGCACCTCGAAAAAAGTAAAACAAATTCCGAATCGAAAAATTTGTTTTGCGCATGCGCAGTAGGTTTTTTATTTGTTAAATATTGGAATGAAATTTTGTATCTAGGTACGTCGAATAAAACTAAAACAAATGCCTAATTGAAAATTTTGTTTTGCGCATGCGCAGTTTTTTTTTGGTTAAGGTATTTAAATGAAATATTGTATCTAGGAACCTCGAACAAAAGCAAAACAAATGCCGAATTGAAAAATTTGTTTTGCGCATGCGCAGTTGTTTTTTATTGGTTAAGGTATTTAAATGAAATTTTGTATCTAGGCACCTCGAAAAAAGTAAAACAAATTCCGAATCGAAAAATTTGTTTTGCGCATGCGCAGTAGGTTTTTTATTTGTTAAATATTGGAATGAAATTTTGTATCTAGGTACGTCGAATAAAACTAAAACAAATGCCTAATTGAAAATTTTGTTTTGCGCATGCGCAGTTTTTTTTTGGTTAAGGTATTTAAATGAAATATTGTATCTAGGAACCTCGAACAAAAGCAAAACAAATGCCGAATTGAAAAATTTGTTTTGCGCATGCGCAGCATGCGCAGATGTTTTTTATTGGTTAAGGTATTTAAATGAAATTTTGTATCTAGGCACCTCGAACAAAAGCAAAACAAATGCCGAAGTGAAAAATTCGTTTTGCGCATGCGCAGTTGTTTTTTTTTATCGATTAAGGTATTTAAATGAAATTTTGTATCTAGGCACCTCGAACAAAAGCAAAACAAATGCAGAAGTGAAAAATTTGTTTTGCGCATGCGCAGATGTTTTTTATTGGTTAAGGTATTTAAATGAAATTTTGTATCTAGGCACCTCGAACAAAAGCAAAACAAATGCCGAATTGAAAAATTTGTTTTGCGCATGCGCAGTAGGTTTTTTATTTGTTAAATATTGGAATGAAATTTTGTATCTAGGTACCTCGAATAAAACTAAAACAAATGCCTAATTGAAAATTTTGTTTTGCGCATGCGCAGTTGTTTTTTATTGGTTAAGGTATTTAAATGAAATTTTGTATCTACGCACCTCGAACAAAAGCAAAACAAATGCCGAATTGAAAAATTTGTTTTGCGGGGCGGCAAAGTCGACTTTGGGCGTAATCTGATGTCAACTTACCTGGACCATGCGTTTCCAAGAAATCGATACTGGAGGGTTCAACCCCGCATTCCCGATAGAATTCCATCAACAGCGCTTTCTGTCCTTTCTCGGCAGGAACCGAAATGCCTTGCTCCTTGTATCCGTCACAGTTAGTTTTCGCGTTAATAATCTGAAAACAACATTCAACGAACAGGTGGCGCCTTTAGTTTAGGAAACCTTGGCGTAAATGCGCCTCGCCGCCTTTACGTTTTGTACGAATAGGGCGCCAACTGCTTCGGATCGTACGTATCCATTGGCCGATTGATCGAAGGATTTGCAGCGACCATCGCCGCTTAGTACGCCCAATCTGCAAGTAGCACCGATTACATTACCGCCAATTAACATCTGCATACGAACCTGGAGAACTCTAACGTCTTCTTTGGTTTCAAGCAGAGATGTCCAGCTGCGACAATGGCGGCGTCACATTTTCCCAGTCGGATCGCGGAAAATGCGTGCTCGATAGCAGTTAGGGAGCTGTTACATGCGCTATCGATGGAAACGGATGGCCCATCAAGGTGCAAAATATGACTGATCCAGCTGCAATGCATTGATCGGGTGCAGCTAGAAGTTTGGGTTTTAAATTCCATCGTTGCGACTTAGCCTACCCGGTCCCTCCGAAATTGGGCGACGTCAAGTTTGGGTAGAACAACATCTCGTCCGCCTCCGACTCGCTCATGCCGATAAAAACGCCAGTCCGCGTTCCTTTCAGCTCTTCGGGGTGATATCCTGCGTCCAAAATGGCTTCAATTGTCCTTTCGAGTTGCATCCGAGCCATTGGATCCATGGAGTGCGCCTGCGCTCCGTGTACCCCTGCGTAAACCGATCGACTCAGATACCAACCAATCGCGCGCCGGTTGACTTACCGAAGAAACCCGAATCGAATTTTTCGATAAAGTTCATCTTTCCGGCCCGTTTGGGTATTTCGGGATGGTTCGTCACCCAACGTCTCTCATCGCAAGTCACCATGTCGACTTTGTTCGCGAGGTTATCCCTGTACTCGTAGACGTTCGCGGATTCGGCGAAGCACCCCGCCATACCTGTTGCAGGGTTAGCCCAACGTGAAGATTATGTAGATCACATTACCTGATATTACCAACTCATCATCTGAGTCTTGGGTCTTTTTGAAACCTTGTTGTTTATCCGTTTGGAATCCCATGCTACTTAACTATGTCGATAAAAGCCAAAGAGACCGAAGAATGATTGCAATTTGGTCTTTCAGTCTCGTGCACCCAACGTCGAGGTAAAACTACTCCCGGTTAGATACTAAGTACAGTACCGGGCCATTACTTCCCAAATATAACAATGAGTTTCCATTTGCATAAAAATTAGATTCCACGATTGAATTCACAATTATTGATGACGAGTGTCCGGCATTCAACCCATGCGTCAAAAGAATCTCTAGCATCTTAGGAGCACATGACATCCTGCCGATAAAAAAGGTTTAATGAAAACGAGGTGCCGAAAAGCTTCTTTTCGGGATAAAAGTGTCTGAACGTTCAATTTTGACGTAAAAGGTGAGTACTTTATTAAAGCAGACCATGGCCTAACATTGAAACAAACGGCGTTATAGAATTATATTGACCTCATGAACCCGTTTACTATTGAGGTGCATACGTGAACATGCAAATTCTTCCCCAATAGACACGTGCCTAGGTCGTAGTCCAATATTTGAACCAGAAGCCTCAAATTTACAAGCCTACAGCGCCGAAGGTTTGAACGTTTGGAAGTACTTGGTAGACTTGGAACCTAATATGATTTGTGACGATTTGTCGATCTGGATTTCGCTTGTTAACCCTTGCTCGGTGCTTTCATTTGAATGCGACCTTTTATTTAAATCTTTACGCCGCGCCATCTAGGTAACTTCTTTGTAATTCACTAGTCAGATTTTGTTTTATAATTCTTTATTCTCTTGTGATAGCTTTGAAACGTTCTTCTCCACTTAAAAACAAGACACTCAAGGCGGGTATCCATTGTTCAGACTGTCAAGATTAAATGTCACTCGTGACAATGACGCCGACACAGTTTTCTGGCACGCAACACCAACCCAACTCTCAGACAACTCAGGCTGAATCCCTATTCTGCAATCTACGCCTGGGAAAAACAATCGACACTAGTCTGACGGGCGATAACACAATCTTAATGTCTTTTACGTTACCGAAACATCTGAATACTCGTAGTGATCTCATTGAGCAGCATGTGCGGTGCTGAATTTGCAGTAAGCGACCCTGAGTTTTGACAGATGGTCTTTATACGCATTTGATTGGAGTAAGAAAAATGAATGAATTTGATTAAAAATGTCGATTGAAGCTGTTAACGTCATTTTGTAGGCGTGTTAGAAAATTAAAAAGAGTAAGGACGCGTCCAGGAGAAATATCGGTTGGGCATTCAGTTTTGGGCCACCAGAACGCGAGTGGTTCGAAATAATAGAAGGATATTAAAACGTTCTTCCATGAGAGGTAATTGATTCTGTGTTCTATATACCTCCAGATCTCCCGGTGCTACATTCTTCCTCAGCACATTCAGCCCAAAAGACTGTTGTTGTAGTTTTGCACAATTTACTCAGAGCAAAAGGTCAGAGTTCGACATCGACTACGAAATCTAGGGTCTACGGTCTCTGGTCCATCGTCCATAGTTGTTAGTCGACAGTCCACAGTCTGGAGTGTTACAATCTACAGTCCGTAGTAGCAGTTTTCCGCGGTCTAACGTTCATGGTCGATTGCCTACAGTTCACACACTCCCTAGTCCGTGGTTCGTCCATAATCTATAAAACACCTAGTCCATGGTCGGTAATCCGTGGACCATCATCAGGCGTCCCTGGTCAATATTCCACAGTTCACAATCCTCGGCCCTTAGTCTCTAGACCGTAGGCCGTAGTGGTCCCTAGTCCACAGTCCGGAATACATAATTAATAGTTCATAATCCAAAAGCCAAAATCCACAACGCTGAATGTGGAACCCAGAATGAGCTTTTAAAGCCTTTGGGGACGCTTTGAAATCCATTAATTGTATTTTAAAAACCAGAGGTTTTAAAAAGTACGTCAAGGTCACGAAGCGGTGACCTTGGAAAGTTATGTGCCACGTGAGCGGCGTCCTTGGAAATCAATAATTGATGTGGTGTTAAATTATTATGGTCTTTTTTTTTGAGGTGTCAAATTATTTGTTCGAGGTCATACAAGGTCAATGATATCACTTTTATGTGGTATCTAATTACACTCAAGGCCAGCCAAGACCACATTTTTGCGGTGTCTAAATAAATTTTTAAGGTCAAGCAATGTCAATTTCCTCATTGTTATAGTGTCTACAATGGCCCCCTGTTTGCTACGTCAAAAGACATTTTCGAGGACATACAAGGTTAATTACCTCAATTGTGGTGTCAAATTAAATGTTCAATGTCATCTAAGGTCGATGATTTTAATTGAGGCGTCAAAATACATTTTCAATGTTTTTCAAGTTCAATTGTCGTGTTAAATTATAATTTCAAGGTCGATTACTGAATTTTTATGTTGTGTCAAATTTTCGAACAATGGGCCCACTTTTTGTGATGTCTTATTACATTTTCAAGGTCATAAATCTTATCTCTTGTAGTGTCAAATTACATTCTCGACGTTGTCAAATTGTATTTTCAAGGTCATAGGAGGACAATGACATCATTTTAATGTGGTGTTTAATCACAATCTTGAGGTTATCCAAGGTCAATAAACCCATTTTTGCGGTATCAAATTACCTTTTCAAGGGCATAGAAGGTCAATACCATCCATGCATTGCGACCTCAAGTTACATGTACGTGGCCACTAAAGGTCAATGACCTTATCTTTATGTGGGGAGTCAGACTACATTTTCAAGGTCACAGAAAGGCAATGGTCTTACCTTTTGCGGCGTATAATTACATTCTCAAGGCCGTCCATGGTCAATGAACCCATTTGTTGTGGTGTCGAATTACATGTTCGAGGTCATCCAAGGCCTTTGCTACGTGATGTCTAAATACACTCTCACTCTCCTTTTCTTGCGATGTCAAATTACATGTTAAGGGCATACAAGCCCCATTTTTTGAGGTGTCAAATTATTTGTTCGAGATCATACAAGGTCAGTGACATCACTTTTATGTGGTATCTAATTACACTCAAGGTCATCCAAGACCGCATCTTTGTGCGGTGTCTAATTAAACTTTTAAGGTCAAACAATGTCAATGACCTCATTGTTATAGGGCGTCTACTTACATTTTCAATGGCATACAAAGCCATTCCCCCCCCCCGATTGCAGCGTCAAGATACATTTTCGAGGGCATCCAAGGTTAATTACCTCAATTAAATGTTCAATGTCATCTAAGGTCGATTACTTTAATTGAGGCGTCAAAATACATTTTCAATGTCATTCAAGGTCAATTGTCGTGTTGTCAAATTATAATTTCAAGCACATCCAAGGTCGATAACTGCATTTTTATGTGGTGTCAAATTACAATGAGCCCACTATTTGTGATGTCTAATTACATTTTCAAGGTCATAAATCTTATCTCTTGTAGTGTCAAATTACATTCTCGACGTCAGTATTTTGCGTTGTCAAATTGTATTTTCAAGGTCATAGAAAAACAATGACCTCATTTTAATGTGTTTAATCGCCTTCTTGAGGGTATCCAAGGCCAATAAACCCATTTTTGCGGTATCAAATTACATTTTCAAGGGCATAGAAGGTCAAAGCCTATCCATGCATTGCGGTCTCAAATTACATGTTTGGGATCACTAAAGGTCAATGGCCTTATCTTTATGTGGGTTGTCAGTTGTCAGACATTTTCAAGGTCATAGAAGGACAATGTCCTCAACTTTTGCGGTGTATAGTTACATTCTCAAGGCCATCCAAGGTCAATGAACCCATTTGTTGTGGCGTCGAGGTCATCCAAGGCCTTTGTTACGTGGTGTCTAATTACACCCTCAAGGTCATTTTAGGTCAATGTGTCATTTCCTTGCGGTGTCAAATTACATATTTAAGGACATACAAGCTCCATTTTTGAAGTGTCAAATTATTTGTTCGAGATCATACAAGGTCAATGGCACCACAATTACACATATGTCGTCCAAGACAACAGCTTTGCCGTGTCTAATTAATTTGTCAAGGTCAAGCAATATCACCGGTGCTGCTTATATTCCCGTCGACCCAGAGACACTACAATCAATGGGGTTGTCGCATCTCCTTCCTGACTCTCGGTAACGACTAATGTTTAACGTAAGTGGCAAACGGAGGTTGAAAACGACCAAATAATACATGTACATATATAAGACACGTGGGATGGCGCCGGACAATCAGTGATGGCGTGCGGAGACGGTTCAGTCGCAGGTAGGCTTCACAAGTGAAGTTCCGGTGCGCTGCTTATAAACGATTTCCGGTAACAACTAAACGGATTCTATAGCCGGTCCGTGCAGAGCCGAGTTGGAAAGGGAAACAATTAGAGGCGCTAGTGGATGGTGGGGTGGAAGTGTCAAAAAGAAAAAATGCGTTTCAGGAATACGACGGTGGCAAATCGGACGTGGATCCTTGCGGTGCTTTCAACGAGCCGTTTGCCGACCTCGCACCTCCCGCCCCCTCCCCACGACTCGCCCCTCGGAATGACGTATCGAGTTGTGGTTTGGTGCATTGGCAATGTCATCTTTTGCGGTGTATAAATTACATGCTCAAGGTCATCCATCATTTGTTATGGTGTCGAGGTCATCCAAGGCCATTGTTACGTGATGTCTAATTACACTCTCAAGGTCATTCAAGGTCGAGTCATTTTCTTGTGGTGTCAAATTACATGTTTGGTTACAAGGACATACAAGCTCCATTTTTTGAGGTGTCAAGTTATTGTTCGAGGTCATACAAGGTCAATGACACCACAATTACACATACGTCATCCAAGACTACAGTTTTGCCGTGTCTAATTAATTTGTTAAGGTCAAGCAATATCACCGGTGCTGCTCATATTCCCGTCGACCCAGAGGCGTCTGGCACTGCAATCAATGTTGTCGCATCTCCTTCCTGACTCTCGGTAACAACTAAACAGATTCTATAGCCGGTCCGTGCAGAGCCGAGTTGGAAAGTGAAATAATTAGAGGTATTTATAAACAATAATTGTTCTATTGCGTGGTAGTGTGACACTGTGCGACAAACAAAAAGAGGGGTGGCGGAGACGAGCGACGCGAAGCGGAGCGCGTGGGATTTTTTCGAGAAAAAGTGCTCTTTTTATGGATAAGGGAAAGCGGAGGTGGCTAAACTTATTCGGGGCATTGAGACTCATTGAACGCGCCGTGTGCCGAGCTCGCACTTCTCTCCCCACGCGTTGTGGAAGGAAAGTCGCAAAGTCATAGCGGGGGAATAAAGGGGGGGGGGGTCCAGTTGCGATTTATTGCGTTGGCCTCGTAGCTAGTGGAAACTCGATCGCAGAGCGTGGAGGGGACGAGGAGGGGCGAGTTACTTTTCTGAGGCACTTTTTTCGCGAATTGTTCGAACACGTTAGCTTAGAAATTAATTAAATTTTCGCCACCTCGGATACACCTGAGGGCATGTCGTGTGTAGTTTCTTTTAAGAAATTCCATGTTGGGAGGGAAGGGGCTTCGGGAATACGACGATGGCGAATCGGACGCGGAACCTCGCGGTGCTTTCAACGAGACGTTTGCCGACCTCCCACCTCCCCCCCCTCAAATTGCTTATAAATTGCACTGTTCTTTTGGCGTTTATTTGGAAACGACAAAGATTAGAAGAACGCCGTTTATTACGTCCGATTTTTATATTGACCGGTCACGTTTGAGCTTGAACCCCCCACCTCTTCCGCAGCGTAGAAGTTAACACGCCGTCACTGGAGAATGGGATGATGTATCGAGTTGCGGTTTTTTTGCGTGGCTTCGAAGTTCGATTGCGCTCCCGAGGCGTCGCCCCCATTCTCACATGCTCCCCAAATCAGTGAGGGGATGCGGCGCAGCCTCTGAGGTGCGATCTATGTGCGTTTTAATGTGCGAGGCGAAGCCGAGCAATGTGTCAACGGTCCTATACAAGCTTAAGACTGGTTGGTCATCAACATTCAGGTTACGTGTCCCCACCCCTCCCTCCACCGTGTTGGGGTAAAGTTAGGACGGCGTGGTGGGCGAACGTTGGAATGTATCGGGTCGCGGTTTTGTGCTTTGGCGTTTGGCCTTAAGATCGAGCGCCCCCCCCCCAATCCACATAGCGCTTGAGCATCAAAAGGGCCACGCCATTCGTAAAAGAAGCAGAGGAAGTGGCTTCCATTAAACTGTGCATCGGGGTGACATCTGGTGCGAGGGAGGAAATTTGTAACGAAGTTCACCAGCAAGGCGCGCGCGGCGCTGTAAGTAGCAAATCGGTTCATGCTTTCTCTGCTTGCTCCGTCTAGCTCCGCCTCCTCGATCGATCGAGACCGAGTGTTCAGGAGGACCAGAGTACGCTTATAAGAGTCGTTTCACTGCATAAAATTATTAGTCTTGGTCTTAGCATTCAGGCGACTGAAACTAATCACCCCTCCCCCCTCCACGACGTATTATATATCGATTTTGGGATTTTGGTTCAGGAAAGAATGGCGTGACCTTTTAGTTTAGACAGAACCATAATGACCTTCAATGGGTTTTTAGTTTAGACACCAACCACGATCACCTTCAGTGACATTCAATTGGCACATGCGCAGTAGTTTAACCTTGGAATTGCTCATGCGCAGAACTCAAGGTCTCCTTGCCTACTTTAAATAATTGTAATCAAATGTAGATTTCGGAATAAAATAAAACATTCCACTCCAAGACACGACGAACTTCTATATCGGAATAGGGAAGGGTGGCTTGTCGCATCTTCTATACCTTTCGGAAAGAAGTAAACTAAATTGTAACAGAATAACATAGTTAAACACTTATTCAGAAGCAACACTTTAATCCAATCTTAGACTAAGTTCGATTAATTAACTCGTTAATTGTTTCAATCATCTCCCTATTTTTTAAAACTGTAAAATGAGTGCCATCAAAAGTTTTAGTCAAGATCGGGCCTTCGCACAGCTTTCCGAGCTCGTAATCCTCTCGCGACACCGACTGGGTCGGTTTACACAGGGTCACAGAAGATCTTATCTTAAACGAGGTTTCAAAGTGAAGGCAGCTCTTAATTCGACCGTACGTCGATGCTAAAATTTTTCTGTACCGATCTTTCGCCGCTACTGCCTCATTGGGCGCGAATTTCAGTAGTCGACCAACTCGTTCCTCGAGGTTCGCACAATCAAGAAGAGTCTCCTGAAACGTACACTCGTTAAGTTCAATGCTTGGTGGTCAGTTTGATTACCGCGACGCCCATTCGGCTGTCTTCTGGGATCCAGAACTTCGCGAGACCTGTAAGGACGTAGCTTTGCAAAAACCTCTCATCCTCGACGTTTGGAATTTTGGCGGACAGCTGCTTTTTGAAGACGCTGGGGGAGCCGTCGATTAAAACTAGCTGCCCCTCGTATCCTTTGCTTTCCAGGAGCGAAACCAGGTGCAGCGCCACTACGCAGCCGAAGGAATGGGCAACAACTGTGAACGGGGCTTGTTTCGGAAGGAGGCTGAGGCACTGGAAATCGGAGTGCTACACTGTACACGCTTGCAGATTTCTTACTTGGAAGAGTATTTGCTGCGACAACTCCTCAATGGAGGAGGTGGAATCGTCGTACTGTGGGCAGTAAGCGTGGCAACGTAAAAAGGCAGCCAAAGGTTCGAGGAGAGTGCCCGTTCCATTAATTCCAGGGAGGAGGATCGCCAAAGGTGCAATGTCGGTTTCGGATACCAAAGTCTTCAGTCTGATAATTTGCGAATATTCCGCTAGGTTGTCGGCAATATTTGGCATGTAAAAGTACAACTCAGCGATTCGTCTGGAAATCTCGCTCGAAGGTTGCTCTACGCCTAACCACTCATGTTCCATCTCTTGTAATCTACAAATTACGTCGCAATTTAATGTTTCATCAGAATTCGGTACCTTGCAAACGTCATGCGGCGTAGATCTTTGGTGCTGATGTTACAATTAAATTCGCGTTCTAAAGTTTGTTTCATTTCAACAGTCATAATTGAGTCAATTCCCAATTGCGAGAATGACCTGTGCATCCCGACGGCTTTCAAATCCGCGATACCTAGAGAGGAACGTTACAAAGAGCCTTAGAATCATTTCGGGCCCACCCATTATACGCATGACAGTGTTAACGATGTTCTCCGACTTTTTCCCGCCTTCGTTTTCCTCAGCGACCACCATACTAGCAACCACAGGCTCGTCCTGAGTTAAAAACTTCTCCAAGGCACCCAAACAGGACGACATCCTTTGAGGCAGTGTACCTCGCACTTCGCTGTTAGCAGTTAGCCCTTGCATCTTGGTCAGTAACCCTACCTAACCCGCCAATATAGACGAAGAGAAACAGCGACATCACCTACCTCTCCAATGGCGCCCCATTGAATCGCCAGACCTGGATATCCATCACTCTTTCGCTTCTCGCATATCCGTTCCATAATTGAATTCGACATGCCGTAATTAGTCTGTCCGACGTTTCCTCTACCGCACGCCATCGATGAAAACACAACGAACTGCCTACAAGCAAATAAAGATTCCAGAAGTCCAGCCATTAAAAATTGGCAAGTTGTGGGATTCGAACTCGCCACCTGTAAGGTTAGAGTCCGAGCCTTAAACCGTTACGCCGCCAAACTGACGATATTGAAACAGGTTTAAGCGACCGCCAAATTTAAGGAAACCATTTTGCTGCGCCACTACCGTCAGCCGTTATTAAGTAAATGAGTTTGCCCCCCTGTGTGGTTAAAGCTAAACTTGGGTGCTAAGGGTCCCTGGTTCGAATCCGGGTTCGGGCATGGATATTTGTAAATGTATAGTGGGTTGGGTTGGTAGAGCAGCCTTGGTTGAAACCCCGCCCACTCAAAATTAAAGGCAAAATAAAATAAAATAAAATAGATTCCAGTTTTCGATGGTGAATCTCCAATAAAAAACAACCTACTGAAAATCTGAAAATCCGGCCGTTACAGTGACGCCCTTACGGGAGCCTCAAGTTTCGTCAAAGAATTGAGTGATTCGCATTTCGAATTATTTTGCAATCCAAATCAAAAATCCTGAAAAAAGTTCAAACGGGTTTCAAGGGCATCTTAAGATTTCAAGATTGCAAAACATTTCAAAAGGAATTCAAAAATATTTCGAGACGATATCAAAAAACTTCGAGCCTTTCAATAAAATTCGAAAAGATTTCGAGACATTTCGGAAATATATCAAAAATATTGCATCTTGAAAAAAAAACTCAGGAAAATTGGAAGACAGTTTTATAAATATTTCTAGAAATTTTTAAAAAACTTTCGACATTTCAAGTTTTCAAGAAGAATTGAAAGACAAAGGTTTCAAGATTTCAAAAACATCTCAAGGAATCTTTTCTAGACAATTTGGAAAAAATTTCAAGATGATTTCGATATGATTTCAAATAATTTCGAGAAAAGAAATTTTCAAAAAACTTTGAATATTTCAAGATTTCGAGAAGATTTTAAAAAGAATTAAAGGAAATTTAAAGATGATAACAAACAACGGTTACAAAAACTTTCGAAAATTCGAAATATTTTCAAAAATTAGAGAATAGGAGATTTCGAAATAACTTTCGAGAGGAAAAAAGAGAATTTCGAAAACATTTCAAGAAATTTTTAAAAACGTTCGATGTTTCAAGGTTTCAAGAAGATTCCAAGAAAATCCCCCCCCCCCTGCCACGGGGCTGCCGTAAAACGTGGAAAACCCATGGAAAAACACTTTTTCAGACGCGAAGACGCTATTCGACTTACGGGGACGGTACTTTCGGAATCCGTAGCCGTAGCGCCCTCTCCCCTTCCTCGGAAGTAGAGGGAAAGCGCACAGTGCGCCCGCTAGACTGTTTTCGGGCAAAGTTGTAGCGGTCGAAGGAAGAGAGACACGAAAAAACTTTACGTTACGCGCGATTCGCCCGCTCTGTGACGCGATCGAATAGGTCGGTGGGTAAGACTCGCGACGCGAAGTGGGAATTTTTGAGAAAAAGTGCGCTTTACGGAGGGTAAAGCAGAAAAGGGTGGGGAGTATCGAGTTGCTGTTTTTTTGCGTTGGACTCGTAGATCGAGGGCGCTTCCGAGGTGCCGGGTAGGAACTCGATGACGAACCGCCGGGAGACGTGGAGGGGTCGAGGAGGAGCGAGTGACGTTTTTGGGACACTTTTTCGCGAATTGTTCAAAAACGCTATCTTAGAAATGAATTAAATTTTTACCATCTCAGGTACATACCCGAGGACGTGCATCTCTATTTATTTCTAAATTCCATGCTTGGGAGGGGGGGGGGGGTTCGGAGCAAGTTGAAAAAAGGAAAAATAGACGCTGGACTTCCCTGTGCTTCAAATGAGCTCTGTAACGACGTGGCACCCCCCGCCCCCCTCGTTTTTTACGGTTGAGTTCCTATATCGATCGGTCGCATTCTAGATCCGACGGGATTTGTATAAATCCGGCAGACGAGGCGGCGCAGTCGCCGAAGCCAAGCGATGTCTTCTCTGTGTGTTTGAATGTGCGAGGCGAAGCCGAGCAATGTGTCACGGTCCTGTACAAGCGTGACTAGGTGGCATTTACGTTTGGGTTACAAGAATCGCACATCCGAAGCGAGGCGAGGGGGCGAAGCCACCAGAGCCGAGGGTATGTCTTACGAAAAACAAATTAAAACCTCCTGGGAGCAAATGACAGGGATTTGACGGCTCCAAGTGAAGTAAAATATCAAACTCCAGCATGTGCTCATACGGTTTGACTTGAAATTGAAATTTTTCTAAGTTTTTGTAACTTACCAAATATTATCCATATCGTCACTTATATTCAGAAGGAATGGAATAAGAATAGGGATAATTTTATGGTAATAAGCAGAGATGTATAATGAATTAATGATAATTTAATGACAACGGAACGTTTCTTCTTTTAACTTCAATCTCGCAATTTTACTTTTATTCGTTGTAACCGCCGCGTGTTTCTACTAGATCTGGTTATATTTTCTATTGCTGTATTTACGCGCGTAGGTACGATGACGTCCGACAACATGGCGGCAATTTAAAATAATTTCTATTGCGCGTCCAACTTTTAAGAAGCAAAAATGTACAACTGAAAAGTTCAAAAACGTTGCAGAAAAATCGTCACCTTTTCGATGTTATCTTATACATTTGGGTACGGGGATTGTAAAAATAGAAAAAAGTTTAATAAAAAATTAACGGTTTCGGCCGTAGGGCTTAATCTTCATTTTTTGAATTTTGCATAGTGGCATAGTGCCATAGTGCCATAGTGTCATTGTGTTATGGTGTCATTGTGCCATAGTGCCATAGTGTCATAGTGTCATTGTGTCATTGTGCCATAGTGCCATAGTGTCATCATGCTATAGTGTCATTGTGTCATAATGCCATAGTGCCATAGTATAATAATTGTGTCATTGTGTCATAGTGCCATAGTGTCATCGTGCTATAGTGTCATGGTGTCCCAGTGCCATAGTGCCATAGTGTCATCGTGTCATCGTATGATCGTGCCATGGTGTCATGATGTCATGGTGTCATGATGTCATAGTGCCATGATGTCATGGTGTCATGGTGTCATGGTGTCATGGTGTCATGGTGTCATGTCAGAGTCATAGTGTCATGGTGTCGTAGTGCCATAGTGTCGTAGGATCATTGTGTTGTAGATTCATTGTGTCATAGTGTCTGTGTCGTAGTGTCATACTGTCATAGTATAGTGGCAATCATAGTGTTGTAGTGTCATAGTGCCATAGTGCTATAGTGTCATAATGGCATAGTGTCATAGTGCCATAGTGCCACAGTGTCATAGTGTGACACTGTGACAGGGCCATAGTGTAATGGTGCCATAGTGTCATAGCGTCATATCGCCGTACTGTCATAATGCCATCTTTTTATTGTAGTCCAGGAAATAGAGACTGAAAATGGACCATTTCCTGCAAAACGAGAAGGAGTTCCAATTTGCATGTCATGAAAAAATATCCGGTGGTAAATAATCCAAGTTTTCGACCTCCGACCCCTTGTGCTTCCCCCGTACCACCCTTAAAACCAAAGAAATTTGGTTGGTTTTTTAGTTTTTCAATCATATCTTTTTATAGGTTCATTTTACAACAAAATATTGTTACCAGAAATTGTAGACCATAAAATTCTATACAACTTTGATGTACACTACTTTTTTGTGAAATGTTAATTAAATCTATGTAGATGTTTTAACCAAATTTCATACTTTATCTCTATAATTAAGAGTTTTATGAGAAAATATCTTGAACTTATCGTGGTATAAATCCTCCCACGCTGCACCCTTACCAAAGGGGATGCATAATAATTCAACTTTCATCCCTTGCTAGTGGGGATATTTGAATCACTGTGAGATTGTAGGGCTTTCTAATAAACGTTTGAATTATCTCACTTCAGTTCAGCTTCATCCTTCATACCCTTCATCCCCCCCTCCCCCCCGGGAGGAATAGGTATTTAAGCGGAATAGAAAATATATGTAATAAGCGTTGTACTAATTTCACAATCGCCACAGGTGCGTTTAAATATCTATTCCTTCCGCGTGGGTGGAGGGGGGGGCTGAACTGAAGTGAGACATTTTTTTAAATTTCAAAAGTATATTAGAAAGCGCTATACTCTCACAGTGATTCAAATATCCTCACCAGCAAGGGTTGCAAGTTTCATTATTATGAATCTCCCTTGGTAAGGGTGCAGGGTAGAGGGATTTATACCACGATAAATTCAAGATATTTTCTCATAAAATTCTTAATTATAGAGATAAAGTATGAAATTTGGTTAAAACATCTACATAGACATTTCAGAATTCTTAAAAATATAACAAACTCTCAAGCCCTATATCTTTTTTAATAAACATTTCACAAAAAAGTAGTGTTCATCAAAGTTGTATAGAATTTTATGGTCTACAATTTCTGATAACAATATTTTTTTGTAAAATGAACCTATAAAAAGATATGATTGAAAAACTAAGAAACCATCCAAATTTCAGGGATTTTGGGGGTGGTACGGGGGAAGCACAAGGGGTGGGAGGACTTCTCATTTTGCAAGTTAAAACCCTCATTCCCTGGATTGTGACTGTCTATGACATGCAAAAGAAATTGGAACGACTTCTCATTTTGCAAGTTAAAACCCTCTATTCCCTGGACTATTGTGTCATAGTGTCATAGCGCCATAGTGTCATAATGCCATATTGTGATAGTGAAGGGGGGGGGGGAGGGGTGCGGAGCAAGTTGAAAAGGGGAAAACGGACGAGGGACTTCCGTGTGCTTCAAATGAGCTTTGTAACGACGTGGCCCCCCTGCCCCCCTCCCTCCCCGTGTCGTTGAGCTCCTATATCGATCAGTCGCACTCTAGAATCGACGGGATTTGTATAAATCCGGCAGGCGAGGCGGCGATGTCTTCTCTGTGTGTTTGAATGTGCGAGGCGAAGCCGAGCAATGTGTCACGGTCCTGTACAAGCGTGAGACTAGGTGGCATTTACGTTTGAGTTACAAGAATCGCACATCCGAAGCGAAGCGAGGCGGCGAAGCCACCAGAATCGAGCGCATGTCTTACGAAAAACAAATTAAAAATTCCTGAGTGCAAATAACAGGAATTTGACGGCCCCAAGTGAAGTAAATTAAACTCCACTATGTGCTCATACGGAGACGACGATTTGAATTAAGATTTTCAAAAATTTTTAAGAAGCAAAAATGTACAACTGAAAAATTCAAAAACGTTGCAGAAAAATCATCACCTTTTCGATGTTATCTTATACATTTGGGCACGGGGATTGCAAAAATAGAAAAAAGTTTAATAAAAAATTAACGGTTTCGGCCGTAGGGCTCAATCCTCATTTTTCGGATTTTGCATAGTGGTATAGGGTCATAGTGTCATAGTGTCATAGTGTCATAGTGTCATAGTGTCATAGTGTCATAGTGTCATAGTGCCATAGTGTCACAGTGTCATAGTTGATGGAAGAACCAAATAACCAGTGTATCCTTCAGGTTTTAAACCACTAAAATGAATTACCTCAATTCTGGACACATAATTCGCGACACCTGATCTAAGAACTTGGTCGCAAGTGCTTTCGGCCGAAATGATACTTCAAACGTTTCCAACGATTGGTTCTCCAAAATGGCATCACTCAAAACAACAGCCAAGTTAAATATACATTCAACCGGGCCTTGTTGGTTCGCCATTTTGAACAGATCCACGCATCCTTCTCGGGTGGCGACGTCATCTGTGGAAACCAAAGTGGTTACGCCGTACTGCTTCCAGTTCCTGATCTTCGCCGCTTGGTAACCGTTTCCTACGCCGGTTCTCGATACCAAAACTAACTTTCTCGTCCCTCTCTGCACTAACCACTCGGCTAACTCCAAACCGAAACCTCCCAGTCCTCCAACTAGTATCGAGCAGTTTTGGGCGTTCCCGTAGAATCTGGGGAGAGGTGATGATCAATGGGTACCCAAGGTATGGTACTTACCGAGGTGTTCCGTACGAGAGGGCCGATTGTCCGGTGATTTTTAAAAGAACTTTACCTTTATGCTTACCACTGGCCATGAAGCGAAAGGCTGGTTCGATATCATCCCTTTCAAAGGCGGTGTAAGGCAAGGGTTTCACAAAACCCTTTTTAAGACCGTTCCTCAGAAGGTCCATTGCACGCTTTTGTCGCGATGGAACTTCGCTAAAGTAGTTGTCTACCTGCACACTATGAAAACTGCGCCCTTTGCCGAGTACAGCGACGTCGAGCTTGTGGTTGCACTGCAAGTCGTATCTTCCAATCTCCATGAATTTGCCTCCACGAGCTAAGCATCGAAGTGATGCCCGAAGCATCTCTTCCGACAAAGAGTTGAGCACTACTTCAACACCGCGCCCCTTTGTCGCTCTAAGGACGACGTGCTCGAAAGAGGTGCTACGGGAACTGCCGACGTGGTCATCTAAACTTTGAGTTTGAAATAAAACGAGCACAGAATATGATTTCACCTGGTATTTCGGGGAAGTGTTGCCGAATGTAGTCGCGTTTCTCTGGCGTGCCAACTGTTACGAAGATTTTGCATTCGTAATGGAGGGCGACGTTTAGGGCCGCTAGTCCTACGCCTCCGGTTGCGCAATGAATCAAAATGCTTTGGCCTTTTTTTATGCGAGCCTCCTGGAATGCAATTTAGAATGTACAACAACAGTCAAAGGTGTCGATGAAGACGAAGATTACGGAAAAAGCAAAAAAAGGCGGTGGCACCAATGGATATATTTCTTGCAGATGTCTCAATCGCCCTTCGTGAGTACCCTCTTCCGACAATCCGTTCTTGAGGTATAAGAGAATATTCCCGATCACGATAAAAGGTCGAGGAGGAGGGCTATGGTTGGTAGAAATTAATTCCTTTCGTTGAGACCTTTCATTAGAGTACCATAAAATGATAAAACTAGTTCCACCCCCCACCCCCGCCCCTCCACCCCGTACTTTGATAAGAGGACAGAAAGAAAGGGAAGTAGTTGGTAGAAAACGGTTCCTTTCATTGGGGCCTTTAATTAGAATACCATGAAAGATGAAATTAAGTGCTAACCCCCCTCCATCCGCCCCCGTCACCCGCTGATCTCGAAAAAGAAGCGCATGGGGGAGTTAGAGTTTGTACAAACACATTTATTTCGATGAGACCTTTCATTAGTATACCATGAAGGGTAAAACGTGTGTTTACCTCCCCCTCCCCCTCCACTTTCAAAAGTTTTACTTGGCAGCACTAATGGCATGCGTATGCAAAATCTGAGACCAATTGGTTATCGTATGTATAGGTAATTTACTTTCAAAAACAGCATCTCAGGAAATTATTCATGGGAAGGGGGTGGGGGGGGGGGCTTAAGACGGCCGAATTTTATGGCCGCTTGGCACTCCTTCAAGGTATACGCTACCTATTTCAAAAGAGAAAAAGATACAAAGAAGTAGATAAAGAAGAAATTGAGAAAACGAAAAGGAGAACAAAGGAAAAGACCAAAGATAATCTTTGAAAAGCGAATGAAAGAACAACATAGAAGACAAGGAAGTAAACGGGAAGGAAGGTGGCGAAGAAACAAAAAGAGAAGAAGACGGAGATGGCAATGAAAGGGAACTGACTATGATGAGGTCACGAAAGGCGAGCCAAGGCCTAAAAAATGAGAGAACGCACAGGAAAAATGAGAAAAAGTCGAAAAAAGACGAGAAAAACCGAGAAAAAGGCAAAGCAAAATCTATTAAACGAGAACGAATATTACGAAAAACACAAAGAACAAGAAAAAATACGAGAATAAAAACAAATAGTACCAAGAAGTCAGCGAGAAGACAATGAAGTACACGAAAGGCAAGGAAGACGACGTAAACAAAGAGAATGGGGAGAACGAGGAGAACGAGACATAAAAGATGAAGAAGATGCGACGAAGAGTACGAACAAACCAGGAAAAAATGGGGCAATATATGCCGAAAGGGCAAAGCGAAAAACAAAAAATTGCTATAATAAAAACGAATAGGACCGAAAAACGGGGCAAGCGAGAAAGAGCAAAGAACGATAAGAGAAGAGATGAAGCAAACGAAAAGGCGATAATAGAAACAAAGAATACGAGCCAGAAAACAAAGACGAAGAAGAAGGTACAATAAAGATGAAACTACCAAAAAGACAAAGAAGAAAAAAAAGGAGAGAAAGGAAGACTTTATACGAGCGATATGTAAAGTAGTAAAGGAGGTGAAAAAGGTGAAGACGAGCAAGGGGCAACAAGAGTGGAAAGCTGAAGAATACAATGTCAATGAGATAGGTAAAAGGGGAAGACATTCAAAAGGAGAAGGTTATGAAGGGCGAAAAAGTAAAAGAAAGTAGAAAGCACGCGAAAGACTAAGAAGATGGAGTGGGGTGTACCACAAAGACGATAAAGACGATTGGTATGAAAAATCAGTAAGAGAGGAATGCGAAGAGAAAGATAAAAGAGGCAAATAAAAAAGGAAGTAGAAGTAGTGAAGGTAGTCTAATTGTCAAAAAAGACGAGCAAGAAAACGATGGAAAATATATAAAATAGAAAAAAGACAAAGAAGTGCGGAATCGAGAAAACGAAAAAGAAAATTAAGGAAAAGACAATGAAAGGACAACATAGAAGACAAGGAAGTAAAGGAGGAAGAAGACGAGGAAGAAACAAAAAGAGAAGAAAGCGGAGATTACGATGAGGTGACGAAAATGACAAGGCAAAAAATTAGAGAGGACACAGGAAAAACGAGAAAAAAAACTCAATGAAGCGACGAAGAAAAAAACGAGAAAAAGACAAAGCAAAAGAGGTGAACGAAAACGAATAACGCGAAACGGACAAAGAACAATAAAAGGTACGAGAACAAAAACATTAAGTCTAAAGAAGGCAAAGAGAAGACAGTGAAATACACGAAAGGCAAGAAAGACGACGCAAAAGAACAGAATGGAGGGGGGGGGGACGAGGAGAACGAAGGAAAAAAAGATACGATAGTGGCTAAGAGAGAAAGGAGACATGATACACGAAGAAGATGCGAAAAATAATATAAAAGATGCCGAAAGGGCAAATAGCGAGAGTAAGAAAAAATATGACCGAATAACGGAGAAGAAAGAGACACGAGAAGGATAAGAGAGAAGAACCCTGCGGAGATGATGAAGCAATCGAAAAGACGATAATGGAAACGAAGAATACGCGGCAGATAAGAAAGACGAAAAAGAAGGTGTAATGAAGATGAAACTACCAAAAAGAAAAATAAGAAGAACGAAAAAATGAAATGAACAAGACGAGGAAAAAGATGAGATGACGAAGCGCAAGGGGACAAGAAGATTGGAAAGCTGAAGAATACAACGTCAGTGAGAAAGGTAAAAGGGGAAAGAAATGCTCAAAAGAAGAAGGTTGTGAAGGGCGAAAGAGAAGAATGCACGAAGAAAGTAGAAACCACGGGAAAGATGGTGAAGATGATTGAGAGACAAATAAGAAAGGAAGTAGAATTAGTGAAAGTTGTCTAATTATCAAAAAGACGAGCAAAAAGACGACGAAACATATATAAAAAAGAATAAAAGACAAAGAAGTAGATAAAGGAGAAATCGAGAAAACGAAAAAGAAAACGAAGGAAAATACAATTAAAGGACAACATAGAAAGCAAGGAAGTAAAGGAGGAGGAAGACGAGGAAGAAACAAAAAGAGAAGAAGACAGAGATGGCAATGAAGGGGAACCGATTATGATGAGCTGACAAAATTGGTAAGGAAAAAAATGAAAGAGAGAACAGGAAAAACGAGAGAAAAGATTCGATGAAGATGAGACTACGAAAAAGACGAGGAAAAACACGAGAAAAAATAAGAAAAAACGAAAAAAAGACAAAGCAAAATATGTGAACGAAAACGAATAAGACGAAAAAGACAAAGAACGAGAAAATGTACAACAATAAAAACAAATAGTACAAAGAAAGAATGGAGAAGACAGTGAAGTACTCGGAAGGCAAGGAGACGACGTAAACGAAGAGAATGGGGAGAACGGTGAAGGAAACAAAAGACACAATAGTGGCAAAGGGATAAAGGAGACATGAAAGATTAAAAAACCAGGATAAGATGATGCAATTTATGCGAAAAGGGCAAAACGAAAGACAGCAAAATTGCTAGAATAAGAACGAATAGGATCGGAAAACGGGGAAGACGGGAAAAAGAAAGAGACATGTGAAGAACAACCCTACAGTGGTTATGAAGCAAACGAAGAGACGATAATGGAAACAAAGAATACGAGGCAGATAAGAAAGACGAAGGAAGGTACAATGAAGGGAAAGACAATTAACAAAACGAGGAAGAAGGCTATAGAAAGACGGCGAGAAAGAAAACGAAGGAAAATCCGCGAACCAGACCGAGGAGGAAACAACGAAGAACGAGTGCGAGAAAGACATGGTAGACAAGGTCGGCGATGATTATTAGGGGAACGGGAAAGGAAACGAGGGAGACAAAGGGTACCAGCTAAAAAAAAGGCGATAAAGATGACATTACAAAAAAAAACTCTTACAAAACCGTCTGCAAGACTCGGTACAACGACATCAAACTAAGCAGCAGGGTTCGGGGGGGAGGAGGGGGGGGGGTTATGGAACAACTCCAGCACAAGAAACCTTTATTTATATGAGTATACGAACGCTGTCATGATGATAATAATTTTAGGGAATTTTCTATACCCCCCAGACCCCTCCGGTGCATTCTCTCCCAAAACCGTCTGGTTGATCACTATTATTACAGTTTTCGGTAAAACACTATCAAACTTAGCACCGGGGGGAGGGAGGGGGGGGGGTATCAACACAAGAACCCTATACTTATATGAGTTTGGGTATGGTAATAATTCTTATAAGAAAATTTGGCTTTGTATTTTCTTAAAGAAATCAATGTTTGGGCAATTTCAAGTAGTTTGAATCATATAGATTTTACCATTTGTGCACTCATTGAAATGGGATTTGCTAAAAATTAGACAGAAAATATCCACGTAAATGGGTTCCATTTGATTAGCCATAAAGTGTTTTTCCATATATTTTTATTGACTTTGATATTGTAATAAGGGTAGTTCAAAAGGCATTAGATCTATTTTGGTTGAAATTCCTAGTAAAGGATGCAGATAGGGGACATATTGTACGAGGTCAATATATTCATGACCTTCATTTACTTTTCGAACGAATCTGTGATGGAAACCTCACAACTCAACCACAACATATAAATTTAAGACGAACTAGACAAACTCAATAGGATTGCATCTGATTTACAAACTCACATGTTCCAGGCATAGTAAAGCAGTAACATATGTTACAGTTACGGTAGCAGCCTCCTCCATAGACCATCCTTCTGGTACAGTTAGTGTCATGGCACGATCAGCCATTACCATTGTCGAAAGTGCGCCCTGTTTCACCATACCCATCACAGCTTGACCTCTACACAGGTACCTTTAATCAATACGTACCTCTACACTTTAAAACTTACGTCAGTAATTGTCCAGCAAATTCAAATCCCTGCAACATTTGCTGCTCCATGGCACTGATCCGTCCCGACGCGTTCATTACATCTCGAAAGTTGAGAGCGGCGTAGTGTATCTACAATTTCTTTAACCAACAGGTTACATTCGAGAAACGGGCTTACAGAGACTAAGTTCTGCTCCGAGCTAACTTGGCTTTCTCGTTTTAGCGGTCCCTCCAACCACTTAAAGCTAGAAAAGTCTCCTACCGTAAGCGCGCAACTAAACGCATGCTCGCATTGCACCAACTTCGACTGTCTGACGAGTAAATGACGGTAACTGCCCCACCTTCCGTTTTTGTATACGTTCACGGATAAACCCTTCTTCATCTGTTTGGCGTAGAAGTGGTGATTCGGATCGAACTTGGGAGCCTCCTCGTCCATGACGTGAGTGCAGAGTGTCCTTTGTGTGTAGGGGTCGAATCTGAGGCAGTTCGCGAGTCCCAATACTCCGCTGCACGGGTCGTCTTGTGCCAGAAGCATGATGGGTTTTTCATCTCGGATAACTAGCCGTTGCAGGATTGGCAGCCATTCGAAGTTTGGCACGTTGCTTAAATCGACAATGACACTGTCAGGTCTTGGTGCCTGTTTTTGGAGCAAAACGAGTACTTCGGTTTCCGTCTCATAAACGCTTATTATCTCAAGGCCTCGGATACCTTCTGGCCTGGGCAGATAGCCTGCTGCTTCTCGCGATAGCAGAAAACCGCCTTGTTTTACTGCCCTTGCCGATTCTTCGAGTAACTGTAACATATCAGCTTATCTCACGCGTTAGTGTGATTGAAATTGTACCAGGGGGCGTTGAAGTGCGTTTGTCAGTATCAACAGCAAGTGATCATGGGGTTGCTCAAGGTTGCTCACTATGATGTTGTCAAATTTGAAGTCTCGATTGGTGAGTATGACCAAATGGGTTTGCACCAGCGGTTCGTCTTCTAACGCTTGCTGCAGTATTGGCGTGATTGGTACCAAGGATTGAGCGTCATCCATCACTTCGACACAGTCGAAGAGGGTTTGGTGCACGTTCTCAATTATAATTTGAGTGTTGACCCTTACAGCTTCCTCCAGATCTAAACGCCCCTCGAATGGTACAAACTTGTACGCTTCCAAAACGGGCTCCCTGGACATTCGTTGTCTGGATACAGCATTTGAGATCAGGCCCCCAACCTCAACGCCCCCAGATCTGGAAGAAACTACAATGCAAAATCAAAAAGAACATTCTGAGTTACCTAACGACATTGGCGTGAGTCGACACGTGAACCGGCAGTTTTCCATTGGATACAAATTCCTGGCGAATCACCACCCGTCCGATATGAGTGGGAACGGAAAGACCACCACATTCCAGAAGCTGAACTTGCAGCATGTTATCCATCAAGGCCGTCCAGTTATCCGACCATTCGATTAAAGCCGTGCCGGTATCCAAGTCGCACGACTCCATACCACGGAATAGTCCACTTGTAACGGGAAGCTTAGTTCAATACAAAGTGGTAAGAAATTTACCTGTAGTCGTAGCCTTTGAGTTTGAGTGCCTTGTAAATATCTGACTTGTGTAATTTGAAAGGATTCGATACGTTGAGTGATACGGGATGATTCGTTAAAGGAGCGTCGCTTTGCCTCAGTCTGCGAACTTTTCCACTGACGATAACTTCTCCCATTTCCGCTATCTGTAAGTGGCAATCTCGTTTTCACAGTTTCACAGTGTAACGGGAGCCCTTTCATTTGATAATTAGAACGGGGTGTTTCTATTAGAGGAATGTTTATTCAATGGATTCTAAATGAATTTGTAAGTAATTTACTACTAGATGCATCGTGACCTGTGAATTGTCTGGGAAAAATTATTAGCTCCAGTCTGACGGTCGATAACGTAATCTTAACGTGACCAAAACAGCCGAATCAGAATTGCTAATGATGATGTCATGGAGCAGCGGGAGACGAGCGAACTAAACGATCTGGAAATCTGGCGAGTTTTGTCTATCGAAAAATTATAAAAGTACGAGCGGACCTTGGCGGTGACAGTTTTAATCATTAAAAAAATCAGCTTTGGTTAGGCGATATTGATTTGTACCACAGGGAATCCATCCATTTCAAAATCGCTATAATTCAGGTAACGTAATTTTTTTATTTAATAGAAGAGAACGATCGGTTTTCTTTAAGAAATTGCTTCATTGCGGAATCGATCCTTGTAAAGTGGCTGAATGGAGTAAATGGGGAAATTTTTTAAAATTCTGTAAATTGAAGGTTGCAGGATGAGTCGTGTGTTTTTACTTTTTATAGTTAACTCGCTCGATAAGTTCAGATATATAAATAGATTATAGATAAAGTACGAGACAGATGAATCATATCCGGTGGTATAAAGAAATCAACATAGCTTGAAAAAGTAGTACTAATATTGCAAGGGAAAAATTAGTAGGTTCAGAGCGCGAAAATTTTTTATTCGTTTTGACCCGTCGAAGAGACACATCATCATTTTTAGATAGAGATTTTTGAGTAGGTTAGGTAGTTTCGAGACCAGCTCCCGTTTTTTAGGTAAAGTAATTTTTTTATCTCATCTTTCCCATAGAAAAACAAAAAGGGGGTACTGTAACGGGAGCAATTTATCGCGATGAATGTTTTCAAATTTTTTTTATGGTTTAAATTGAACTCTGTTAGGGCAGTGTTTGAGGTGATTTTATTAGTTAGCTAGTATTCTAAAATTTAGTTATTTTAAATTTCTTTTTTAATTAATAATTTACAATCGAGTTCAACGTTTTATATTTCTGTAAGATGAAGGTTGCGGGATGCGTCATGGGATTTTCGCGTTAGGTAGTACTGAACAGCTCAATCAGTCGTGTAAAAATAGCTACGCAGCTTGGAAAAGTAGTACTAATATTACAAGGAGAAAATTAGTAGGTCCAGAGCGCGAAAATTTTTTATTCGTTTTGACCCGTCGAAGAGAGATCATTACTTTTAGATAGAAGGGTTTTCGAGTAGGTTAGGTAGTTTAGGGTTTTTTAGGTAAAGTAATTTTTTAATCTCATTTTTTCCATAGAAAAACAAAAATGGGGTACTGTAACAGGAGCAATTTATTGCGATGGGTTTTTTAAACCTTTGTTATGGTTTAAATTGAACTCTTAGGGCGGTTCAGTGTTTAGGGTAATTTTATTAGTTAGCTAATATTCCAAAATTTAGTTATTTTAAATTTCTTTTGTAATTAATAATTTACAATCGAGTTCAACGTTTTATATTTCTGTCAGATGAAGGTTACAAGATGGGTCATGGGATTTTCGCTTTAGATAGTACGGAACAGCTCAATCAAATCCGGTAGTATAAAGATAGCTACGCAGTTTGGAAAAGTAGTACTAATATTGCAAAGGTAGGTTCAGAGCGCAAAAATTTTTTATTCGTTTTGACCCGTCCAAGAGAGACATCGTTATTTTTACATAAAAGGGTTTTCGAGTAGGTTAGGTAGTTTAAAGGCCAGCTCCCATTTTTTAGGTAAAGTAATTTTTTAATCTGATTTTTCCTATAGAAAAACAAAAAGGGGGTACTGTAACGGGAGCAATCTATTGCGATAGATTTTTTCAAATATTTGTTATGGTTTAAATTGAACTCTATTAAGGTAGTTAAGTACTCTATGAGATAGCTAGTATTCCAAAATTTGGTTATTTTACATTTCTATTTTTAGTAAATAATTTACAAACGTGTTAAGCGTTTATTATTTCTGTAAATTGAAGGTTGCAAGACTTGTCATGAAACTTTTTTAAATTTCGTTAGGTAGTACGGGACAGCTCAATCATATCCGGTCGTATAAAAATGCTACGCAGCTTGGAAAAGTACTAGGTACTAATATCGTATGAGATTCCGAGCGCGAAAATTTTTTATTCGTTTTGAGTCGTCGAAGAGAGATCATTGCCAGTAACGAAAGAATAAAAAGCCATTTGAGAGCCCACGTCAAAGTTACCGTGAATTATCAATTCGTTTTTGAGCTCAAGTCAAAGAAGAAAGGAAACCGTCCGCGGGTCACAAGTTCGGAGAGTCTGATTCAAGAATAACCGGCCCGTGTGGCGCAGTTCAGTTGAAACTGGACTACGGTACTAAGGGTCCTGGTTCGAATCCGGCTTCCGGCATGGATATTTATAAATCTATAGTGGGTTGGATTGGTAGAGCAGCCTTGACTGAAATCCCGCCCACTCAAAAATAAAGTAAAAAATAAGTTTAAAAATAAATAACTGCCCAAATTGGCAGTACGGAAATGTTGGACGTGACGCATTTGGTAACAGTTTACTTTCACAGTAAATTTTGGATGATCACTGTAATTTTTGTTTAAGGACCACTGCAATATCGAAATTGTATGGTATTTCATTGTGCCGAATTATGATTGGTTCTTCAGGCGAGTCGGAATGCGCAAGTTAATCTTTTCTGTTTCCGTATTTCCGGATTTCTCGGTGTTGTTTTGGACGAGTTCTAACCAATTTCTCCCGTTTGGAGGATATAATTGGACTTGTCAATACGTAAGTGGTAACCATTTGCTAAAATCAGTAATCATCTCATCCTCTTTAGGAGTGGATTTTGATCCACATGATGTTTAAACTGTGGCCGTTATTTTTTAAATAACCCTCTTATAATTTAGTTTAGAGATATGTGTTGGAAAGGTAATTCGTTTTAGGGTTCAAGTTCGGGAATTTTTAAGTTTTAGTCTTCCGTTTCACTAGTTCGAGCATTCTACGTTAATTCCTAGGCTTAGCAACTTCATTTTCTTGTCAAGACACCTGATCTCCTAGACGGCGGCCATTTAGTTGTGGAAGCAAGACCAACATGTAATCACAGCATTTAAAGTGTAGTGTAGTGTAGATAAGGAATTATCGGGTCAACTAGAATAACCTGACTACACTGGAATTAAAATAAGTTAGTAATTAATTGGATAACTCCTCTTCAAGGATTATTTCAACAATTCTTTTAAAAATTGGGGGGTGTCTGTACGAAATTCAAAAAGCTTTATCAGAAGAGCGGTACGGTAGTGGCAACCGTATCAAGCTAAGTGATAGTAACCACTGATATGTCTGAGGTAGGCAGCTGGGGTACGCTTTTAAAAACAGACAGGGATACTGTAACGGGAGCTCGTTGGGCCGTTTAAATATTTTCGAATTTTATTTGCATATGTGCCGCTTCATACGAAGAGCGAACGCGAGTAGATTTAATGGCGACAACGAAGCACGTTTAAAAATGCGTAGGTTTCGCGATAATCTACAGTCGGTATCGGTATTTCTGGAAGGATGCAGATTAAATAAAAATAAGGAGTTGCGATTGGTTAAACTGCGTTTCGGACGGTTGGGAAATTGCACTCGGACTTTAGTGACGGCAAATTAATTTCATTTTCCGATTACGCGAACTAATAATGGCACGAAATAATTCGTACATGGACACAACGTGCTATCTTGAAGTACTTAGTTCATTATCAAACTAAGGCGCACCTAGACATCAGGAAAGCTGCACCTGTATAAATCTGCAAAGCAATCCGGGAGGAGCGTAAGGCAAATTGTTCGAATCGACCCTTATTATTTGCAGTGGTTACCTCGAATGCTCCAGTTGTCCTCTGAACTGACACGAACAATTTTACGGCGTCTGCTTTGGAAAAATGCGTCGTTCTGTGAAATTGAACGTCTTCGAAAATTACACGTAAATCGTCCTGGCGAACTTCTGCGTAGAAATCCCGTACAATTTTCAGGTAAGCGGTTGCCGGAATTATATTTCTTCCTAAAAACCACAGATGTCAATGGATAAAATGAAGACTTCGTACCGTCTATGACATGTCCAGTAATAAATTCCCATTGCTTGTCTTGGACGGCCACTGAAACCATGGCTGAACCGCTGTGCACGTTTTCGGTCCCGCTGCTAAGTGGCACAAACCAATTTTCCTCGTGGTTCCATTTAATTAAAGGCGAAATCGATGGAGTACCGGCGCTTAGCGGCCACGAAACCGTTGGGTACAAACCGGAAAGCTTCATGTTATACCCGCACTCGTAAAGTTTGCCCAAAGTGACGAGAAAGTGTTCGTTTGGTTCCATTCGTAACTGCTGAGAGAAGTCTCCAAGACAGGGTAGATCTTCTTCGGCGTGCAAAATAAAAAATGGAAGCTTCGATTTGAGACCTCGCACGGGAGTAAACATGGAGGAAATTAAAAACTCCGCGGAGAATTCCCGGTTCGATTCATTGTGTACCGAAATCCATTTCGATGACCTCTGTTTGGGGAAGATCACCTGCGACTTTAGTCTATTCTTCAGATCTACGGCTAAAAGACGTGGTCAAAGGTCCAGTGCCTTTGAGATTAACTTACTCAACGCTTGTTGGTGTTCGGTCCAGGTTTGGTTTGGTTCCAGTGGATCTTGATACCCGCCATTATTGCCTTCAAATGTGCTGAGACATTCCCTCAGGTGGAAAGCTATGGTCACGGCATCCTTCAAACTGAGCGAGTCCGTCATGTAGCCTGCGGAAATCTCACCGACGGAATATGCTACGACATACTCCACATTCAACTCTACGCACTTAATCAGTTCGACCAAAATCAGTTGGCTCAGTACTGTTGCGAGTACCAGATCAGCTGGCGAATGGTCCCACCCAGCACTGAATATCTGGGTTAGGTCAAGTGTCGAACAACTAACCGCCGCTTGAATCCTAAATGGAGCTTGGAGTTACTCTGGGTCACAAGGTCGACTTACCGTGTTAAGGCAGCCGAGTAAACTGGGAATTGCCCAAGGCACTGGACAAATTTGAGCAATTCTGAATTAGGACCACCAAATACCAAGCAAAGTGGAGCAGTTCGCCGTTCAATGCATCTCCTTGACCGTTCTGTGACTCCAGACTTCTCCACTATAACAAACCCACGATACAGGTGCTCATCCATTTGCTTACTAGAAATCGGTTATTACTGTCGAGGTACCAATGCAAAATTTACCTGAAAAGTTCGTGCATCAACCGTACAAACTCCCCGTCTAGTGTCCTTTGCTCCAAATCCTCAGTAAAAGCGTCAATGGTCTCCCCACTACGTCCACTAAAACACACCAGCCTCGGCAAGTCGTCATCCGGAACTCCACCATTGACCTTCGCCTTTGCATGCCGCCTCAACAGAACGTGAGCATTGACACCGCCAAATCCAAAATTGTTAACCGCCACCAAACCGGACTGTTCCTTCGGCCACGGGACCAAGTCGGTTACGACGGCCATTCGACCCTCTACGATCGCGTCGATGTTGCTTTTGGAAAAGTTAATGTTTGGCAGAAGATTGTCTCCTTCCATGCCCAAAAGCACCTTCGTCAGGGAACACAGTCCGGATGCTGACTCCGCGTGACCCTGGTTGGACTTCGCGGATCCCACGGGGAGAGGTCTCTGGCGCGCGGTGCAGAATATCTCGTCCATGGCGAAAATCTCTTCTGGATCGCCCGCCTTAGTACCTAAAATGCGTGGGCTTTGAGATTCCCTTTTGGTTCTTCTAGCCGGGTACAGATGAACTATACCGAACCTGGCTCAGGTCGCATGCCTCCTAGGTTAAGGTGGCGTGCCACGTGACGGTGACCTTAGAAATTAGGCCAAGGTCAAAGTAGCGTGCCACGTTAGCGGTGACCTTGGAAAGTAGACCGCGGTAAAGGTCAAAAGACCAGTTGTAACAGTCCGTTTAAAGGCGCAGACTAACTGAGTTATCATGTACACTGACGAGCTTTATATCCTAATCATCTGCCCTTGAACTCACCCCTAGTTTATAAAAAGATCATTTGGAAACGTGAAGTGAACTTTGATAGATGCCTTGAAGGTTACTATCAGGGAAGAGCGGGGAGCGAGTGCTCTTTGCACTTTACCTTGACCTACTTTTTATGGTCACTGCAAGGCTAGAGAGGACACACCCCAAAGATAACCTTGAGAATAAAGTCAATGTCCTCGTATGACCTTGAAAGTGTATGAGGCCTCGGGTGACGTTGAAAATGTAAGTTGGCATCCTAAAAATGGGGTCAATTACTTTGGATGACCTTGACAAATAATTAATCGATGACATCTGATGACCTTGACACTATCGGGTCAATGGCATTCATTTGACACCACAACAAAATGGGGCCGAGGACCTCCCATGACCTTGAAAATGTATGGGGCCAATGACCTCGGATTATAGTCCGAGAGCTAGCAAACATTATACCACCTGACATTATTCCAAAGGTTCACTATTTTTATTTAAAAGTACTTTACATGCACATTATTAAATCGGGCGTCTGCCGGGTTATATTGGCAGCGTTAGAGTAGGGCGCGTGCTCAAATTTGGAAAAAATTTCGAGAAATCACACGATTTCTTCCAGGATGGGACATGTTCCATTCGATGCACAATGTTGAGTTATATCTTTATCGATAATGGCAGACGATCCAAGTGGCAGCGTTTGTCCAGCAGACGCTAACAAAAATAGCAAAAAACTCGTTAAAGCTCGTGATATTGTTCCAGCTTCAAATTATACTTAAAAGAAAGAGCGGGAAATTGCAAAACGATGTGTCGAAACAGAATTTGAGCAGACGGCAGCGTTTTGATAGCAGACGCCGTTAAAGATTGTCATTCCATCTCAGTTTAACACGTAAGGAGTAACTCGATAGAGCGAGACGTCTACAGTGTTCAGGCTTACATGCGTTCTGGCCGCCATATTAATATTAAAAATATGTACTGTATTTCATCATCATTTAATATTTTTTAAGAAAACAATAACCTATTATACAAAAGTAAAAAAAAACACCTAAATAATTAATCTTCTTCATCACTAGTTTCACGATATTTTGGATCTTGATCCTCATCAGATTCATCCACAAGTACATTAATGTCTTTAGTTAGGATATCTTCCAATTTTTCGGGAAATTGGGGCCCTGCGTACCAGCGTAGTGTGTACAAATTGTTATCAATAATCCAACCGTGGTTTTCAGGCAGGTAAAATTTAGGGGATCTTTGTGTGGCATGTCTCCAAATACCACAAACCTGGTTGACTCTTTTAATTTTCATTAAAAGTACATCTGAGCATGGTGGAAGTGAGCTACCATCGAATTGCCGTATTCGATTAAATATCTCATTGTCATTATGTTTGGGTTTATATGCGTCTAAGAAAATTTCGTATCTGCAATATTTTTAATAAACACTCGAAGATGGGGCATCCCACCTACTTACCTTGCTTTATTTATTTCTGTTGTTTGTCTTTTTCCGTATATTAGGCAAGCGAATTTTTCAACTGCCTTAATTTGTTTTTCATCTACGTTTTCAGAATTGCCGAAAGTTGCAAAAACTGCCTGCATGTCCTTATCTTGTTCTAAAATTTTGAATGGCTTCAGTTTTCCTTTTCTTGCAAAAGCTGCGGTGTAATCGCAACCCGTAATTGCATGAAAAGCTGGCATAGCATTACATAGTTCCGGGCCTAAACTAAGAATTATGGCATTCAAGTGGATGTATCTTAATGTGTTGTTACGCTGTGTACCTAAAAATGTATTTAAAGCAAAATAGATTTCACCGTGGGTAATAATTATTTCCTATTACCTGTTTCAATCCAAATTGATAAATTTTGAGGCAATACATAAAAATTTCCCAGGGCGATAATGAATATATCCGTATCCGAAGCTTTTATAACGACATTGCTGTCTTCTGGAAGTTTAGACAAATGAAATACTATCCTGGAATCGGCTTCTTCATGGTAACATATTAGTTCTTCTTTAATTTCTTGTAACATAAATCCATTTGCGTTACTATATTTGTAACATATATCATTACAATTTACGTAAATAATTTTGTCCCCTAAAATAGTGGCATAATGATCTTGGCACCATTCCTGGACTAGAAATTCTACCAACGAGGACTTGAATTTATCTGATCTGAGTGCCTTAAATAAATCTGTAGGTCGTTTCTGGTCAGGTCCGGTAATGCTATATTCGACATCTCTGTCAAAAATTCCCCGAGACTCTCGCTCGAGATCTTTAATAGACGGACTAATTATTTTATCGAAAATAATATCAATTCTATTTCCCTTTAGTTGGCAAATTTTTGACAGAATTTGTCCAGCCAGTTTACCGAATGTCATAGGCAGATTGGCTGCTATAAGGTGCAGAAAATAGAAACCATCAACCAAGGTGCAATTGACTACAGTGGGATGACAATGATTTGTTCTTTTTTCTAAATATTTAAATAAAGCCGATTTTGCTGTTTTGTTTATAGCTCCGTCAATATGACCTAATGATAACGGAATAGATGTTAATGGATACTGCATTATTAATTCCAGATCAATGTTATTTTCTAACGCTAATATTAGCATTCTTCCCATTAAGTCTCTTTCCAGTTTGACCTCAGTGTCTTTTCCATCCCTCTTTACAAGTTTCTTGGACTCTGAGGCAAAAGTATAAACCTTTTGTCTTTTAATAGGACTTTCAAATCTTTCATTATTATTTTTACATTCTATTAGAAAATCATTCCTAGCCTTTTCTCCAATTTGCAACACATTTAGCAAGAAATCTTCAGTATTTCCACTAGCTGCCTTTCCCGTTGCTAAATTAAACAGTTTAGTTTTATTAATTCTGCTATCAAAAGGATTTAGTGTATTTTGAATGCCATTTCTTATTTCTGAGAGAGCAGTATAATTTTTTTCCATTATATGAGGTCGCGTTTCGTTAGTAATATCTTCCATGTTAGATAAATTTAATTTATCTAAAAGATGAGTGGTTAATGAAGTTCGAAGAGAATGACTAACAGCCCACCGTTTTCTTGCAGATATAGAGTTTGTAAGCGCCGCAATTCCTCCTCCAGCCTTACCAGAAGCATCTGCATTAATAGTCTGTTCTAAAGTAAGGTCTACAGGTGTACGTGAAAAATTCTTTTCAGTTCTTCTAATAGATAACCCACCAGCTATTAGATTTTCTTTAAGTCCAGGGTGGGTACTATCAATGTCGACAATGTTGTCGTAAAATCGCAATAGCCATCTTGAGTAATTGTGATGGTTCATGGCAAACATAACAGAAGCTATTTTTGGCAAACAAGACACGTACAACTCAAAGTCACCAGTGCGTATGCTTCTTGCGAATCTTTGATATATTTTTATAAGGCTCACATAAGTTATCCAATATTTAGCAGTTTTGCCATAGAGGCCATTTTCTGTATCTTTATAATATGTTTCATAGTTATTTAACATATCGTCTATGTCTGCAGGCAGATTATCCAGACTCTCTACATTTTCTAAACTTGGTATCAAAGCAGTTGAATCAATTCCATACTTTTCGAAATATGATTCTAAATGTAAACGTTGGATTGCTGTAGCTAAAAGTCCATGGATTCGTTTACACCTATTAAAATGGGTGCCTGTAATGAACCCCTTTAATGATCCTGCAGCCAAAACATTCGCCTCTATTAATATATAAGGTCCTCCAGATTCTTCTAAAAATTTTCCAACCGCTTTGAAATACGACAACTGTACATGAAAAGCGCCTAGATGTATAAATATATTGTCATATTTTGGCGACTCTTGGCATTGAATTTGCATAGCTGTCTTTGCAATTTGTAAGTCATACGTGACAGAGATATATTTTTGTGCACACTGAGAAGCTACATTTTGTGCAATTTTTAAAGTGTGCAAAACAACTGCATTATTTGTTGGGGATGCATTTATTGGTGGTAGGTACCAAATTTTCTGAAGAGGAAGATCATCACGAATTCTTTGGCTATTCCATCCTACCCATGTTGGAATATCTCTATTCAATAAAGTTATAAATAAAACGAAAAGATTGTCAATTTTTTTTACAAACTGCATGTTATTTGGAACCTTATTTACTTTTTCAATTGTCACATTTAAAATTGTATTAAGTTTAGGTTTTTTATAATATGGCTCTATATCATCATTTATTGCATCAAACACTCGTCGTCGTTTTTTTCCTTTTGAAATTTGCATATCATTAACATTACTATTGGCGCTTACTTCAGCATGATCATGATTGTCACTATAGGTATTTTGGTACACTATACCCACGGTATCGTGCAATGTGTCTTTTCCGTTCAGAGTTTCCACAAAACAATCAAAATTATCGAATGCAAGTGAAGTACACAAATTGGGTAGCCTTTTAAGATCTTTTGGTACTATGTTCTTTTCCTCTACTGCTGAATATGTTAGCTCGGTTTCTATTTCCTCGACCACTGAATAACTTGCAGTGTGTCCCAATTTGTTTAAAATGTTGATAATTTTACGACTTCCCGTAAGAGATTTCATTACTAGTCCGAGCTCTAGATGTTTTCCGGGCTTTATGTTACCATTTGTAACAGAAAATATTGCATCTTGAGAAAGTGAACCAACCCTTATATGATCGGTGGCTATTTGTTTTGCTCTAGGACCAAGTAATAAATTTGAGAAGAATTGTTGTAAAGAATCCGGAATGTCACATTCCCCTTCAACTATGTGTTTTAACTCTAAAGCATTTGGTAAATATTTCTTATTCAGGTTTAATATATCGCGACGTAACTTGAACGCAACATTTTGAATATTAACGCACTGATTTGTCTGATTTGAAACGCACAGTTTTATAGCATTTAGTTTATTTATTTTTGAAGAATGAGTAATAATCTTGCGTTTGTATTTGGTAAAAGCCAAATCGTCCTTATAAACATTTTTTAAAGCGTTCATTAAATGGTAGGATTTATATTTTTCTTTCTTGGATTCATAATTTTCGACATTAACTTCAAAAACAAATTGAATAAAAATATTATAGATGTCTTTTAGGTAATACACTTGTTCTTTTTCAATAATTTCGACGTTAATGAAACTGCAAATGTTAGCAAAGCATTCTTTATGCATGGCGCGATTGATTTTCCATGTGGATGACTGTTTATTGTTTTCATTTTGAGCTTTCTTAAATTTTTGCTCATATTTTACACGACAAATTCGATGGTACATCACATCTTTAGCAACAAAATCCACATCAGCAATTTTTTTTATCATTTCGTAGTCATGCAAAAGTTTAGCAAAACGTTTAATTTTAGATTCAAAATTTTGGGTTTCGCAAGCACTAAGTACTACTTTCTTATTATTTCGATAATAAAATTCCTTGTTGCAAAATAAGCAAACCCGGCGTAAAGTACCCGTATCACTATTTTTTAAAAGGGGACCATATTTAGTTCTCGTTAAAATAGAAGTTGAAGGTTCTGCAGTGCTTGGATTACTGTTATTAGGGTTTTTAAATAATAAATTTGAAATTTCGTTCGGAGTTACACTGGATAATTTTGCTTTTTTGACTGCCGTAAATAATCGGTAACACTGACTATGATATCCACTATCGAAATTTAAAGTCATTGGTAAATTTATATTTGAATATAACATATTATATTTTTTTCGTGCAGCCAGTATTAATAAGCACTTTTTATATGATTCTTCGGTAAATTGATTTATTCGAATGCAATCATTTTCTATATTTTTTACGTGTATAACGCATTCGCGTTTACAACTGCCGGAAATATCCATATTAGGTTCTATAATAGAGATAATGGTGCTAAAATCTATTAATACCAATTGGAAAATGTACTTACACGAAGATTATTTGAGACAGAAATACGGAAATTCACAAAATCACAATGGATTATTACCTCGATTATTACTTATAGCTGAATTAATTCAAGCTTCGAGCTACTTTGACTGAAAACCATCACACAATGTTTGCTATTGCAAAAATATTAAATAAGTACAATACCGCTGAATCTTCGATGCTCGACCAGAACGTATGTGAGCCTGAACACTGTAGACGTCTCGCTTTATCGAGTTACTCCTTACGCGCTAAACTGAGATAGAATGACAATCTTTAACGGCGTCTGCTATCAAAACGCTGCCGTCTGCTCAAATTCTGTTTCGACACATCGTTTTGCAATTTCCCGCTCTTTCTTTTAAGTATAATTTGAAGCTGGAACAATATCACGAGCTTTAACGAGTTTTTTGCTATTTTTGTTAGCGTCTGCTGGACAAACGCTGCCACTTGGATCGTCTGCCATTATCGATAAAGATATAACTCAACATTGTGCATCGAATGGAACATGTCCCATCCTGGAAGAAATCGTGTGATTTCTCGAAATTTTTTCCAAATTTGAGCACGCGCCCTACTCTAACGCTGCCAATATAACCCGGCAGACGCCCGATTTAATAATGTGCATGTAAAGTACTTTTAAATAAAAATAGTGAACCTTTGGAATAATGTCAGGTGGTATAATGTTTGCTAGCTCTCGGACTATAACTGTAAATGCAATGTGTCAACAAAAATGGAGTAAATGTCTCGCATGACCTTGAAGATTTATGTGACATTGAAAATGTATGAGGTCAATGACTAGGGTGACATTGAAAATGTATGAGCTTAATGACATTGGGTTACAATTGAAAATGTATGTGATCAATGACCTCGGATGACCTTGAAAATGTATGGATCAATGACCTCGGGTGACATTGAAAATGTAAGTTGGCATCATAAAAATGGGGTCAATTACTTTGGATGACCTTGACAAATAATTGGTCCATGACCTCTGATGACCTTGACAATTTATAGGGTCAATGGCATTCATTTGACAATTTGACAACACAACAAAGCGGAGCCAACGACCTCGCAGGACCTTAAATATTTATGGAGCCAATGACCTCGGATGACTGAAAATGCAATTTGACAACAAAGATGTAGTCAATGTCCTCGGACGACCTTGAAAATGTATGAGACCAATGACCTCGGGTGACATTGAAAATGTAAGTTGGCATCCTAAAAATGGGGTCAATTACTTTGGATGACCTTGACAAATAATTGGTCCATGACCTCTGATGACCTTGACAATTTATAGGGTCAATGGCATTCATTTGACAATTTGACAACACAACAAAGCGGAGCCAACGACCTCGCAGGACCTTAAATATTTATGGAGCCAATGACCTCGGATGACTGAAAATGCAATTTGACAACAAAGATGTAGTCAATGTCCTCGGACGACCTTGAAAATGTATGAGACCAATGACCTCGGGTGACATTGAAAATGTAAGTTGGCATCCTAAAAATGGGGTCAATTACTTTGGATGACCTTGACAAATAATTGGTCCATGACCTCTGATGACCTTGACAATTTATAGGGTCAATGGCATTCATTTGACAATTTGACAACACAACAAAGCAGAGCCAACGACCTCGCAGGACCTTAAATATTTATGGAGCCAATGACCTCAGATGACTGAAAATGCAGTTTCACAAAAAAAATGGAGTCAATGTCCCCGGATGACCTTGAGAATGTATGAGATCAATCACCGCGGGTGACATTGAAAATGTAAGTTGGCATCCTAAAAATGGGGTCAATTACTTCGGATGACCTCAACAAATAATTGGTCTATGACCTTTGATGACGTTGACACTATATCGGGTCAATGTCACTCATTTGACAACACAATAAAACGGGGCCAACGACCTCGCGTAACCTTAAATATTTATGGAGCCAATGACATCGTATGAGTGAAAATGCAATTTGACAAAAATGGAGTCAATGTCCCCGGATGACCTTGAAAACGTATGAGTTCAATCACCTCGGGTGACATTGAAAATGTAATTTGGCATCCTAAAAATGGGGTCAATTACTTACGATGACATTGACAAATAATTGGTCCATGACCTCTGAGGACCTTGACACTTTATCGGGTCAATGTCATTCATTTGACAATTTGACAACACAACAAAATGGGGCCAACGACCTCGCATGACCTTAAATATTTATGGAGCCAATGACTTCGGATGACTAAAAATGCCATTTGACAACAAAAATGAAGTCAAAGTCCTCGGATTATCTTGAAAATGTATGGGATCAATGACCTCGGGTGACATTGAAAATGTAAGTTGGCATCATAAAAATGGGGTCAATTACTTCGGATGACCTCAACAAATAATTGGTCTATGACCTTTGATGACGTTGACACTATATCGGGTCAATGGCACTCATTTGACAACACAATAAAACGGGGCCAACGACCTCGCATGACCTTAAATATTTATGTAGCCAATGACCTCGGATGACTGAAAATGCAATTTGACAACATAAATGGAGTCAATGTCCTCGAATGACCTTGAAAATGTGAGATCAATGACCTGGGGTAACAGAAAATGTAATTTGACACCCCAAAAAAATGGAGTCAATACCTGACCTTGACACTTTAGGGGCCAATGACCTCGGATAACATTCAAATGTAATTTGATACCCCAAAAATAGAGCCAATAACCTCGAGCGACGGAGTTGTGAGATCATCATCTGGAATTCAGCAGAATTTCAGTGCATGGGTTTCTTGAGGGACAGTCTAAACCTCGGGTATTTCAATTGATTACTAAACGCCATCTTGAAAACGGCGTTATTTAATTAACAAAGTATAGGTAGGGAGTATTCCGGGGAGTTTTTCAATTAGTTAGGTTCTGGGCTGCGAAGTGTCAACCGTGCTGCAGCTCAAAGTATAATTTTTTTCAAGAGATTATGTAAAAAATTACTAAAGGGAAACCAGCAGTTTAATTCAGTCACAGCACGATTGCGCGGGGTTTCACTGTGGTTGACACTGTAAAACAAGGTAATTGCATTTGTATGTTCAACCCATTACCGTGCTTTTAAGGGTAAAATGAATGACATTGTTGTCATTTAAATAATAAAAAAGAACGTTATCCTTGAAATCTGCAATTTCTTTCCAAACGCCAGAGCTTTATTACGAGACTCAATTCCTTTAGGAGCTTGAAATCCCTAAGAAAGTTTAGAACCTTCAGGATTATTATGGGATAGGTCTCTTTGGAAAGGAAGATTCGTTTTGAAAAAGAATAGCACCGGAGGTCTAGGTCCCCAGTATACGAATATATTATGACAATTGTAGGGCAACGAAGATTGATTCTGTGTTTTGTCTGGGGGAGAACCCCCAGACCCCCCCGGATCTATGTTCTGCCCCAAAATATTAAGTGCCATTGCCACTTGTTTCATAATAGGGCCATCGAAGGTAACTCCAAAAGTCTATGGGACAGAGATGCCCCTCAGAAAAGGAAAAGTTGCTTTTCTTTGCCAAGAATCGACGACCTACTTCATGGAGCAAATGCCCCCTGCGTAAGTACCTTAGATCTTCGAGCAGGTTATTGGCAAATAACCATGCGTCCCAAAGACAGGGTCAAGACCGCCTTCGTGACGTCTGGATTTGATCGATTAAAAAGGATGCCATTCGGGTTGAAGAATGCCCCCTGCAGTTTCCATAGGCTAATTGATCACTTCCGCACCGGAATACCGGAAAGATACCGTTCCTATCATACCTGGATGACTTAATAGTTTGATCCAAGGGCGCCGAATGGCACCTTGAAGGTCTAGATCAGGTATTTCGGCGACTTGAACAGTTCCAATGTTAGGATTTTTCTTTGTAGCAGATACCTGATTATTTATTTGGCGCTTAACGTGGGGCAAAGCAGTATCTATGAGCCCTTTAATCGTGGAGAAAGCGGTGTGAACCACCTCCACGGAAATCTTACTTCACAAATTTGCAGAGTGCCCGCTTACCTGTAGCGTGTGCTTCCAAGAAATCTATGGACGAGGGCTCAACGCCACATTCCTGATATAAATCTAACAAGAGCTCTTTCTTTGCCTTTCGCGACGGAAACGTAATGCTTTCTTCTTTGTACCCGTCACAGTTTGTCTTTGTGTTGATTATCTGAAAGACAAGATTAGGAAGACTCTAAAGTTAGAAAAAGACGAACAGTCGCGTAAATACGTCTCGCATCCTTTTCCCTTTGGATGAACACCGCGGTTACTGCCTCGGAACGTACGTACCCATCTGCATCTTCGTCGAACGACTTGCAACGTCCATCTTGGCTCAGCACGCCTAACCTGCAATAAGTCAGTTGTTGGATCAGTCGGAACCGTCTCATACTAACCGTGAGTATTCCACTGAAGATTTCGGGTGCAGGCACAGGTTACAAGCTCCAACAATCGCCGAGTCGCATTTTCCAGATCTGATCGCCCGACATGCGTCATCTAACGCAACTAAAGAGCTGCTACAACCGGTATCGACGGTAACTGACGGCCCTTCCAGACCTAACAGGTGACTTATCCAGTTTGATTGCATGGATCGGATACAGCTGGAAATTAATGTGTTTGGATTCACTGACTGCTTCCGTTCCTACTCACCCGCTGCCTGCGAAGTTCGGTGAGGTCAGATTTTGGTAGAAAAGGACACGTTGCGTTTCCGGCAGGCCCGTACCGATAAAGACGCCGGTGCGCGTCCCCCTGATCTCGTCAGGGCGGTACCCCGCGTCCAAGACGGCTTCGGTTGCCTTCTCGAGGAGTAACCGACCGGCGGGATCCATGGCGTTGACTTGCGCCGAGTGTACGCCTGAGAGGTGAACCGATCGGTTTTAGTTATCGACCTTAGTTCGGCTTACCGAAGAAACCCGAATCGAAGTGTTCGACGAAGTTAATCTTTCCGGCTCGTCTAGGGATTTCGGGATCGTTCGTAGTCCATCGTAGCGACTCGGAGGTGATCATGTCGACTTTGTTCGCAAGATTATGTCGGTATTGGTAGATGTCGTCGGATCCAGGGAAGCTCCCCGCCATACCTGTTATCACCACTCCATCTTCGACAAGTGGCTGATCGCCGCCATTCAATTTTCGGTTGGTTTTGGGAACCATGTTTCTGTAAATGTTTAAAGAGATGGCGTTGAACCGTGGGAATATTCAAAATCACCAGAAGTTTCACAATCATGGCGAGTCGGTTTCAGAATCATAAATTAAAATGAGACTGTGAATCCTTCTGATTAGTATTCCGGCTCTGATTATACTAATCTGATTTTGAATCGGATCCTTATCTTTGTCTCAGTTTTGGCCTCAAAGTAGATTCGAAATGCGATTCTGATATTTTATTTGGATTCAATATTGACTGGTTCTAATTAAATTCGTTCACTGAACCTATTCTAACACTGATTTCGGATCAGATCTAAAGTTAAAGAATGTCAGATTCATATTTCAAATGGAACCTAAATCAATCAGACTGAAGTTTCAAGCCACATTTGGAATCAGAATCGAAGTCTGTATCACAATCGGATTCAGAACTAGAACTTTCACTTTCACAGTCGGCAAAAAAGTGAAAATCTGGATTAGTCTCATAGTCAGAATTTGGGCCGAAGTCATAGACTGGGTCAGAACCAAAATCCGGAATTGGCGTGGAAGGCTTAATCAATATCAAAATTAATTTGAACCAGTAAAATTGGAACCAAATAAAAAATCAGAATCGCACTTAGAATCCACGTTGTAACCAAAACCGGGGCTAGAATCTAGAATCAGTAGCGGAATCGAAATCAGAGTGCCAATTCAAAACAAAAATTAATCAGCCTTCGAAGTTACGGGTAGAGCCAAAGTCAGAAATATAATCACAGTCAGAATCAGATTTAGCGACTAGACAGAAGCAGAATCTTGACCCGAATCAGATTGAAATAAAAATCAGAATCGGAATCGAAATTAAAATCAGAATCAAAATTACAGTATGAAAACATCAGTATCAGAATACCACTTACAATCCAAATTAAGATTTAGAGTGAAAAACAACGAAGAAATCCGATTCAGTGACAGAAACGGAGTTGGATCAATGACTGGATCAGAGTCAGAATCAGATCAACATCGGAGTCACATCCAAAATCAAATGTAAGTCCGTAGAGTTAGATTAAAAGTCGAATGGCATTAGAAACGGAAAAGGAATGGGGATCGTAATCGTCGTTCCTGACTTGACTTTGATTCCGATTCTAATATCTTAACTCTTAACTCTGGTTTCAACTTTGGTCTTGGCTTTAGCTTTACTCTTGATTTTGGATTATAGTTCTGAATACGATTCCGGTTCTGACACCGATTTCGATCTCTTCCTAATTCTAATTGTAGTTAAATCTCTGGGAGCCACTTGCAGATTGCTAATTCGGACATGATTTGAAATCGACTTTAAATTAGACACTGATTTTGACTCTGTTCCTGGATCTAACTATAATTCTGATTGGCTCGGACTATTCCACTCTGATTCCGTCCTTTGTTTTAAACTTGACCGTAGACTGATTTTGAAAGATTCTGATTCTGATTCCAACAGTGACTGTGATTCTGAATCTGACCCTGCACTTGCCTCTTAATCTCATTCTGAATCTGACTTCAACTCTTTATCTCCTTTAATTGACAATACGATTCCAACAACGTTCTTTGTTTTAAACTTTTGACCGTAGACTGATTTTGATTGAGATTCTGATTCTGATTCCAACAATGACTCTGACCCTGCTACATGCCTTTTAATCTCATTTTGAATCTGACTTCAACTCTGCTCTTAAGTCATATTTTGATTTGGTTCCAATATTGACCGGTTCTAATTAATTTTGATTTTGATTAAGCCTCCGGCACCAATTCCTGGTTTTGGTTCTGACCCTGTCTTTGACTAATCATCTGACTTCGGCCCAAATTCTGACTATAACACTAATCCAGATTTTCACTTTTTTGCCGACTGTGATTCGAACTGATTGTGACTTTGACTTCGACTATGACTAAATCTCTGGTTCTGAATCCGATTGTGATACAGACTTCGATTCTGATGCCAACTTTGAAAAGATCAGCATCACAATTTAATTCAGCGAGACTCCATACCACAGTCAGAATCAGAGTCAAAGCTAGAATCACAGTGATCGGCATGGAAGATCGGAATTATAATCATACTTTGAGTCAGAATCGAAATGATACTAGGGGTGGGATCAGCATCTGAGTCAAATCCGGACGTAAAAGCAAAGATAGTCAGTCGTAAAATCGGAATCGGAACAAAAAGAATTAAAGTCAAAATTAGAATCAGAATCATTCACTGTCAGAATGATACCTACTGATAAAAAGAGCCCGACAATCAGAATCAGAAGGGCAGAGTCGAAGTCCGGTTCAGAATGAAATTTAGAATGCAAGAGTCAGTCAGATGCAAAATCAAAGGCCACTGCTGGAATCCAAATCAAAATCAGAGTCAGATCTACGGTCAACAGTTAGAAACAAGACGAAAGCAGGGTTGAATAATCCGTGTCAAATCCAGAATCGTAATCAGTCAATGTCCAAATGAGAGTCCGAATCGCATTCGCAATAAGGAACAGAGAGATGCCAATTCATATTAAAAAAGATAGTAGAGTCAGAATTACAGTCATTACGAACTGGAAATAGAGTCGGAATGGAACCTGGTTTCATACTCGGAATCGGAATCAAAATTTGAGTTAGGACTCGACTCGTTGTCATAATCAGAGACGGAATACTAATTCGAAATACGGTAAAGGAGATGAGGTCAAAATCAAACCTGAAATTAGGGTCAAGATCGCTGTGATGTCAGGGTTAAAATTGAAAGTCAGTAAAAATCCGAATCAGAGTCAAACTCAGTCCGAATCACATTTTTATATAGTTATCATCAAAAATGAATCGAAATTAGAGCTGGATTAATAGTCGAAGTCAAATGTGCAAAGCCGGTTCCACGATCAAAATCTCAATGCAGCGAAGGAAATTGTAATCAGAATCAGAGTCAAAATTGGAATAGACGTAAGCAAAAATCGATCAATGAGTCAGGTTCAAAAGCAGTTAGAATGACACTCAGAAATTGTAGTCGTAATCGTCCGAATTAGTCAAGCACACTGGTCGCTTTAGGCGTTTTCAGTTTGTACCTTTTAGTACACATAGGGAAATTTACACATGTACCGCTTCATAGCGAACATGAACGAAAGTGTACATCTAGACTTGGGTTTAGACCCAGTTAGAATCATACGGAGACAAGTCGATTTTCGGCAATAAGAGCAATCAGGAGAATACCTTTGGACCTGTATAATCCAGAAAAAGACAGAATTTTCAAGATATAACCTATAACCTTTGACTAGGGTTGCTGTATCCCAGGAGTCTTAAGAATGATTGTCTATCACTCTTCAAGATTGTTCAATGGGGATTGGCCGAACAATATTATCTTGGATTCAAACACAGATATAAAATAAAATGTTTCACTCACCTAATGGAATACAGAGACATACTGTTAGGTGAGTACCTACTAAAAGGGGCACGATGTACGGTAACAATAGATTGACGCTTGCATGCAAAGTAAACGACGTCAGACCATTGAATGCTAAACGACATTAATATTCACACTGTCCCTGCTCTTGAACACGTCATATTAGTGAGCCAACCACAGATGATTAATGGAGTGGAAATAGAACCAAAAAAAAAGTGGCAGCAAATTTGTTTTGATGGCTCGAAAAGCGAAATGGCGTCGGTTTTTTTGAAGCAAATAAATTTCTTATTTGGAAACTTCCGTAAGCCGAATATACAGGTAACAATAAATAGCGACCCTGGTGATGTCAATAGATGCGCATAGTTTTGCAAATTGATTAGGAATTCTTTTATAAATGTCGTGTATTGTAAACACGAATAATCGACATTGGATTTGAATTAAAAAAGTGCGGATTCCACAAAGAGCTCTAAAAGAATTTATGTATTTTAAGCTTTAAATGAGAGCGGGAATCGAAACCGCTAAACGACTCAAAGTGAGCGAATGACTAAAGATGGCCGCGCTAACTAATTGGCGCCATTTTGGGGGTGTTCTTCTCAAGTGGAAAATAGTAGGGACGGGTTCAGAGAGGCATTGCTTTTTGGCACACGGGTCCGTCAACTGCGTGGTTCAAAATATAGTAAAAAAATTTTAAGATGTCATCAATTATCCATAGATTGACCGTGTCGTGAGATATTTTTACGTGAACTTTGTGTTTACGCAAAAAGAAAGCTAGTGCGCAACGACCCACGTCATTTGGTAAAAATAAACTCGTTGAAAAATTTCGTGATTAGTCCCCGTACTCAATTCGACTCAAAGGAGAACTGTTCGGGTTAACCGTCATGGTAATAAACGAGGTAAAACGTCTACCACAAAACAAGACCGTTGGAAAATCAGTTTCATCTAAAACCGTGCGAATTTTCATAATATTACGCAAAAAGGCTGCAAGTCCTCAGTAAAAAAGTACTATTTTTTCGAGAGATTACGCACTTAAGCATCCGCTGAGAACACTTTGTTTGCAATTAGTACCTACTCTTCTAATTAACTAGGTCATCGGGTTAAGCGACGTCGTGAACTCCGTTTGCAAACAAAAGAGGTTTCCTTTTGCTACGAGCTTTTTCCAATGTTGGACGACTGGACGACTAGAGGGTAGTCGTATAAATGTGTATGTTTATTTATAATACAAATCGTGTTCTTCAAGCATTTTGATTAATAACATTTTGAGTGTTGTAAATATATTTCGTGCAGGAACTCGGTTAAAAGAAGTTTTTTCTACTTTTTGTGAAGTTGAATATTAAATAAGGGAAGTCTTCTAACTGAGTCACGTATGTATATTACAAATTTTCAAGTGTTGGCTAAAGAGGAAATCGATGTTTCCTTTTGTGTTTAAATGTGTGTTGTAAAAAGGCGTTTTTAATGATTCATTTCATTTTCTTTTTGACGTTGTGTCATTATTTATCACCAAGGTGATCGAAAGCTGCTTCCTATGTGAAAGGGGTGAGCCAAATTTATCCCAAACTCGCCTTCGCCTCTCTCGGTATTCGTAGACGCAGCTTTACATTGTCAGGTTTGTTTTTTTCAGTTTTCTTGTCGTTTTAAGGGAGGATGTACGAATGCCGAGCGAACCGAAGGCAAGTTCGGCATAAATCGTGCTTCTTATTTGAGAGGAGTGAGCTAAATTTATGCCGAACTCGCCTTGGGCTCGCTCGGCTTTTGTAGACGCAGTTTACATTGTCAGATTTGCTTTTTTTGAGTTTTCTTGTCGTTTTAAGAGAGGATGTACGAATGCCGAGCGAGCCGAAGGCGAGTTCGGCATAAATCGTGCTTCCTATTTGAGAGGGGTGAGCTAAATTTATGCCGAACTGGCCTTGAACTCGCTCGGCTTTTGTAGACGCAGTTTACATTGTCAGATTTGCTTTTTTTTTTAGTTTTCTTGTCGTTTTAAGAGAGGATGTACGAATGCCCATCGAGCCGAAGGCGAGTTCGGAATTAGTCGTGCTTTCTATATGAGAGGGATGAGACAAATTTATGCCGTACTCGCCTTGAACTCGCTCTGGGCTCTGCATTCGTAGACGCAGTTTTACATTGTCAGATTTGCTTTTTTTTTTAGTTTTCTTGTCGTTTTAAGAGAGGATGTACGAATGCCGAGCGAGCCGAAGGCGCCTTCAGCATAAATCGTGCCTCCTATTTGAGAGGGGTGAGCTAAATTTATGCCGAACTCGCCTTGAACTCGCTCGGCATTCGTAGACGCAGTTTTACATTGTCAGATTTGCTTTTCTTTAGTTTTCTTGTCGTTTTAAGAGAGGATGTACGAATGCCGAGCGAGCCGAAGGCGAGGTCGGCATAAATCGTGCTTCCTATTTGAGAGGGGTGAGCTAAATTTATGCCGAACTCGCCTTGAACTCGCTCGGCATTCGTAGACGCAGTTTACATTGTCAGATTTGCTTTTTTTGAGTTTTCTTGTCGTTTTAAGAGAGGATGTACGAATGCCGAGCGAGCCGAAGGCGAGTTCGGCATAAATCGTGCTTCCTATTTGAGAGGGGTGAGCTAAATTTATGCCGAACTGGCCTTGAACTCGCTCGGCTTTTGTAGACGCAGTTTACATTGTCAGATTTGCTTTTTTTTTGAGTTTTCTTGTCGTTTTAAGAGAGGATGTACGAATGCCCATCGAGCCGAAGGCGAGTTCGGAATTAGTCGTGCTTTCTATATAAGAGGGGTGAGCTAAATTTATGCCGAACTCGCCTTCGGCTCGCTCGGCATTCGTAGACGCAGTGCCTTTCGTACTTTTACCTCCAGGCTAGGTCAGTTTAAAAGGTTTAAGAATAGGAACGAATTCACTGATTTTCCTTTCACTGCAGGTGCATTATTTAGTAAAAGTTCATAACTAATAATTTGGAAAAGTGCTAGCTGAAACTTATCAGTAGAATACTCTGAAGAAACTTTGATGTAAGCGTGCTGCTGAAATCAATCGTTTTACTCCCTTTCTAAGGAGCTATAAATGACATGAAAATTACAAGAGATTATCTCAAACTGAATATATTTATTATTATTGATCAATGAATTTAAAAAAAACAACTTCCTAGAGTCACACTTAATAAGACAAAAATCTAATTTCTAATTAAACTCAAAAGCATCCCGGCTGGCCAGATAATTAAATCTAACTTTGTAAATCTAAATCATTATATAAAGGGTTCGTTATTAGTTCTTCACCGTTAACCGCTTTTCTTTTGTTGATAAAACAAAATCCACCCTTAACTGTTTCGAAGGTTGAAACTTTTTTTCTTAGACGACCTTTACGCTCAAGCTGCCGCTGCGCTACTCTTTAACTTTTACCCTTTCCTATGAGAGCCGCCTAGACATTCGGCACCCTCCAACTGCGACCTACTGGAACTTGTGCCCGCCATAAAAACCGAAACGGCGCGGGTAAAAAGCACTGGAGTTGTAAATAAAATCTTTATTCTCTATGTACAAACAAACACCACACACTAAAGCTACTTTAAAAATATGTTTTTAACTGGTATCTTCGAAAACAATTGATTCGCGTACGCCCTGGCGACGGTGGCGATCAGCTCCTCGTAACCGTCCTTAACATCGTAAAACACCTCCCTCCAGTTCTCGTTGAGGACGGTGTGTATTTGGTTGCTCAGCTCCTGGTTGCCGTTGAATAGGTTCTCGAATCGGTACGTGACCTTTCCGGGGGCCAGCTTCACGTCGAAGCTCTTAACGTCGAAGTACTGCTGGCCGTTCCTCGACACGTATTCACCTCCGAGTTCCAATTTTGTGTTTACATTGTCTAAAACACCAAAGTTAGCTCGGAAACTATCCGAAGTTGATGGCACGCTTACAAAGATTGACTTTGGATTTGCCGACGCCGACGACCGGAAGCACCAGAAGGCGACCGTTGAAGTCGTAATCTGCCTCCAGAACGTACTCGGGTGCGGTTATATTGAGGGTGAATGAGAGTTGGGTTTTGGTGAGCGTGGAGCTGGAATTTTCCGTTGGTTTTGGTTGTGGTCGGACGCGATCCTGGTGGTTACTCACCTAAAGCCCGTTATGGATGACTTCGTCAGCTTGTGAATGTTGAGGTTGGTGAATTTTTGGACCACGTGAACTGCGCCCGTTCCTTCTTTGAGCACGGCGTGAGGTATGTGTATGGGCTCTAGCGGAGGAATTCCTAAGCTCTTGTCGCCGTTGGCCAACCTTGAGATTGCGTGCTCTAGGGCGTCCTTCAGGCACCCATTGAAATTCGGATCATTACGATCGCATCTCTTGTAATCGGCGGCTGAAAGAGGTATGAAAACGAGTTGAAACTTAAAGAGTTTACTTACGCAACTTGCTCGATTGGCCGAAGCTGTAGACTAAAAACAAAAGGAGTGCAGTCTTCATGGGTGCCAGGTAATCAGTGTGATTGTAACAACAGATTTGCGCCGCTTTATATTCACAAATATCGTAATATTCCATGCACCTAGTCGCAACGATTAGAATCTAAATTGACTTTTAATGTCGGTCGACAATACCAATTATCGGCGAAGAGAATTTCCGACTATCCATGGAAGAAAATGGGTAAAATTTCCACCTTACGCGAATCGAACCCGAAATCCCTCCCAAGATCGGCGTAGAAACCGAATGTGCGTCACCCACAATTTCCAAATTTTGCAATGAAACCCAGTTTACAATTCCGCTAATTGGAAGCAGGTAAACTTAATTACTTGTAAGTACGTGCCGGGCACAATAACAAACATTAGGAGTTGTCCGATTTAATTATTTATGTATTGGTACGGTTAATTCTAGGTAATTAGTAGTGTATTAATCGGTTAGGAAAAAAACCGCAGACCGCAAGTACGAGGGTGGTATATTTAACTTGGCCCCAAGGGAAGTGTTAATTGCCGTTGAGACGCTGGTAGCAGCGGTTAATTTGGGTACATTTTTGGTTGAAGCTTTTTTTTTTACATACATACCTACCATGCCAGACGCCCAGTTAGACTGTTCCAAGTGGAACCAATTCCGAAGAAAAGGATTCAATTTGTACCGGGTGGCCCAATAAGACTGTTCCTCGGCTATATCTCGGTAACTGTTCGTCGTATGACTTAGGGGTAAAAAAATTATTGAGTAAATCGGTTATGAAGGATCGCTGGAAAATATTTTTAAGTTGTAAAAATAACCAACAGAGGGCGTAAAATTGCATTCTCTTTAAATTCGCATAATAAACTAAACATTCTTTTTTTCACATTTTTAAAGAGAACCAGTTTATCTATCATTTTCATAAAAACAAAAACTCAGTTATTTCAAAAACAAAGATGGCGTGGGGCGTTCAATTGTTTTTGCAATAACCTGCTTTAACTTCTTAACCGTTAGACTGATATTAACAAATTTGGTGTGGTTGAAAAGAGCATTTCTTGGGCACTGAGAATCCACTAAAATATAGTTAATTTAGACGAATCCTTCTCCGCCAGGGGGCTAGTTTTGACACTATGACCCAAAATCCTAAAAAAATCAAAAAATCAAATGGAATGTTATGAGTTTTTCTTTATCAAAAAGTAGCAAAATAACACCCAAAGAGGCCAGTGAAAACCGTTTTTCAAAATCTCGTTCCTAACCTCAAGTATTGGGAAAATGAGATTAAATAAATTAATTCATAAAAATTCTTAAATTGCATATTATTTGACGTATTTCCGGTATTTGTCGATGGCGCGAAAGATTGTTTGGAAAAGGACCCTACACTTTTATGTACGCCTTGGAAAATTAAACAAATGAAACACGATGCATTATAAAATAATAATATCCGAAATTTGTAAATTACTCTGCTGTGTTTACATTCAGAAAGTGCAGTTTTTTGAATTTTTAATCTTTTCTAAAATGCCGATTTTTAACCAAGAAGCATTTAATATGCTGGCGGCGATGGTTCGTGGTCGATTCGGATAACGCAAATAGAAGATGCGGGCAGCGATGGTCGCATTTTGAAAATACTCAAAATATATCGCCAGCATATTAAATGCTTCTAGGTTAGAAATCGGCATTTTAGAAAAGATTACAAATTCAAAAACGGCACTTTCTGAATGTAAACACTGCAAAATAATTTCGGCTGTTATTATTCTATAATGCATCGTGTTTCATTTGTTTAATTTTCCAAGACCTACCTAAAAGTATAGGTTCATTTTCTTTCGCGCCATCGTCAAATACCGGAAATACGTCAAATAAGATACAATTTCAGCATTTTAATTAATTAATTAATCTGATTTTCCCAATATTTGAGGTTAGGAACGATATTTTGAAAAACGGATTTCACTGGCCTCTTTGGGTGTTATTTGGCTACTTTGTCATAAAGAAAAAGTCATATCATTCCATTTGATTTTTTTAGGATTTTGGATCATAGTGTCAAAACTAGCCCCCTGGCGGTCAAGGAGTCAACTAAATTAACTATATTGATCCTTATTGCCCAAGGAATGCTTTTTTCAACGATACCAAATTTGTTACAATCTGTCAAACGGGTCAGAAGTTAAAGCAAGTTATTGCAAAAACAATTGAACCTCCCCGCGCCATCTTTGTTTTTGAAATACTGAGTTTTTGTTTTTCGAAAATGATAGATAAACTGGTTCTCTTTAAAAATGTGAAAAACGAATGTTTAGTTTCTTATGAGAAATTTAAAGAAAATGCAATTTAGTATTTAAGATGGCAGTTACGCCCTCTGTTGTTCATTTTTAGAACTTGAAAATATTTTTCAGCGATTCTTCATAACCGATTTGCCTAATAATTTGTTAACCCCTAAGTCGTACGACGAACGGTTCCCGAGATATAACCGAGGAACAGCCTTATTGGGTCACCCGGTACAATAAACTTGAAATGCGTTATTTGAGATTGGTGTATCTTATTATTTTTGTACAGGGTGAAAGGGGGATTTTTGGGTCCCTTTTAAAAAGAAAACTTCATATGAACCTATGTCCCTAGCTATGCCCTAAACGTCTTAATTTTTGAAATGCATGGCGCTAAATCAATTATTATTAATATCTTTATTACCACTTAAGTTATTTTTATGAAATTTGGCATGTATGTACTATGTATTCAGAGGCAGTTTTTAACGTACCACATTTTTTTAATTTCCACCAGTGGCGTTTGTACGGAATTTCACATGCCCATTTTGGCAGACATTGATGGTACACCACTGATTTCTCTGAAAATAAAAATTATTCTTGAAATCCCCAATCATTTCTAAGCAAATTTAATCCCTTTGATTTTTTCAATCCGATGCACGATTATCGTTTAAACAAATAAAAACCGTTTCTCTGCGTGATCATGGCAACATCGTTAATATGACAATATCACCGTGCAGAGAAAAAATATTGAGTCGCTCGCTAGGATGTTACGATACCGCCTTAATCTTTTAGCGCTCGCTTCGCCTCGAAACGGCTCTTTTACCAGAACAGCGCCGCTACGAGGCGCTGGAACCGGCCTTAAATTGGTCTTAAATGGCTCTTATTTGGGTTAGCTTACCAAAGGAGGGGGGGGGGGGAAACCTCTAGGGGGCCGTAGACAGACCTTACGACTACCACTGGGTTTAGCGGGGAGGGTGACGGCTTCGTCTTCTTCGTGCCGCTCTTCGCAGGTTCCGAGACCCCTTGGTCTTCAACCACCTGCGGGGCTGAAGCGGGCTCTGTCGATCTCTTCTCCGCGGCGGAGGGGGCTCTCCGTAGCAGGAAATAAGATTCTCCACTACGAAGAGTGCTTTCATAGTACCGGCCAATCCGGTAGGATATAACAAGCACCAACCGGAACCACTCTCCGCACACTCTGACGACGAATGACTCTTAAACTAAAATAGAAAGATTAGGTCTTTCTTTCTTGGGAAATCGTGTTATGAAAACCTAACACAAAAACTGGAGAATGCTTTGATAAAACAAACCCCTATCTCCATTAACAAATCCAGAGAGCATTGAGAATGGTTCGAGAGAACTCGCCTAAGCTCCTTCTAACGCTTTCAGTCTACAGTTTCCAGTTTACAGTTTCCTATCTACAGTTTCCAGTCTACAGTTACCGCAGTCTACAGTTACCGCAGTCTACAGTTTCCATAGTCTACAGTTTCCTCAGCCTACAGTTTCCGAAGTCTACAGTCTCCGCAGTCGACAGTTTCCGCAGTCGACAGTCTCCGAAGTCTACAGTTTCCGCAGTCTGCACTGTCCGCAGTCGACAGTTTTCGCAGTCGACAGCTTCCAGTCTACAGTTTCCGCAGTCTACAATTTCCGCAGTCTACAGTTTCCCCAGTTTACAGTTTTCACAATCTGCAGTGTCCGCAGTCTACAGTTTCCAGTCTACAGTTTTTGCAGTCTACAGTTTCCGCAGTCTACAGTTACCGCAGTCTACAGTTTCCAGTCGACAGATTCCGCAGTCTACACTGTCCGCAGTCTACAGTGTCCGCAGTCGACAGTTTTCGCAGTCGACAGCTTCCAGTCTACAGTTTCCGCAGTCTACAGTTTCCGCAGTCTACAGCTTTCGCCGTCTACAGTTTCCGCAGTCTACAATTTCCGCAGTCTACAGTTTCCGCAGTCTACAGTTTCAGCAGTCTACAGTTACCGCAGTCTACTGTTTCCAGTCGACAGATTCTGCAGTCTACAATTTCCGCAGTCTACAGTTTACGCAGTCTACAGTTTCCGAAGCCTACAGTCTCCGCAGTCGACAGTTTCCCCAGCCTACAGTTTCCGCAGTCGACAGTTTCCGCAGTCTACAGTTTCCGCAGTCTACAGTTTCCGCAGTCTACAGTCACCGCAGTCTACAGTTTCCGCAGTCTACAGTCACCGCAGTCTACAGTTTCCGCAGTCTACAGTTTGCGCAGTCGGCAGTTTCCGCAGTCTACAGTTTCCGCAGTCTACAGTATCCGCAGTCTACAGTTTGGGCAGTCGACAGTTTCCGCAGTCTACAGTTTCCGCAGTGTACAGTGTCCGCAGTCTACAGTTTCCGCAGCCTACAGTTTCCGAAGACTACAGTCTCCGCAGTCAACAGTTTCCGCAGTCTAGAGTTCCCGCAGTCTACACTCACCGCGGTCTACAGTTTCCGCAGTCTACAGTTTCCGCAGTGTACAGTGTCCGCAGTCTACAGTTTCCGCAGCCTACAGTTTCCGAAGACTACAGTCTCCGCAGTCTAGAGTTCCCGCAGTCTACACTCACCGCGGTCCACAGTTTCCGCAGTCTACAGTGTCCGCAGTCTACAGTTTCCGCCGTCTACAGTTTCCGCAGTCTACAATTTCCGCAGTCTACAGTTTCCGCAGTCTACAGTTTCCGCAGTCCTCAGTTTCCAGTCTACAGTTTCCAGTCTACAGTTTCCAGTCTACAGCTTCCAGTCTACAGCTTCCAGTCTACAGTTTCCAGTCTACAGTTCCCAGTCTACAGTTTCCAGTCTACAGTTTCCAGTGTACAATGCGGGTTTACAGTTTCAAATCTACCGTTCGTAGAGTACAGTTGATTGTCTACAATGTTTAGTGTACAGTTGCGAATCTTCATAGTACAACAAAAACTGTATAATGAAAGTATGCGTGCATATAGTTTCCATTTGTACTTAACGATTTGTAGTTTACAGTAAGGTATCAGAGAGTCATTGTTAATCACGCCCCCTGACTGACCCCAGTGTAGCGACTAACGGCTCGCTTCGGTGACCCTGCACCGCTATCATCGCTCCGAAAGAAACCGAACGGCGACTACGACAGGTAACCCCCCCCTTCGGGGGTGGCGTCCTTGCCAAGATCTATATCGCTCCGAAAGTTGAACATCATACGGAGATAGTGCGCTTCTCCCCTCTCATAGACCGTTACCGCTTATCGTTCCGATATCTGACGTACCAACCGCGACGTTACAGGACTGTTATAGGGGGGTGCTCCTCCCCGTCCCCCACTCTGAATGAAGGATCTAAGAAACGCAATGCAAGGACAACCTGCAAGCCTGCACAGATTGGGCAGTCCTCCCTCATTAGTACCATTGACGTCAAGGCTCTCCCCGATATTTGTTCGACCGGTCGCGGTGGAGGACCCATTTCGGGGTCACTCCACTCAGCTAAACGCTCCTTTTTTATCGTTTCTGAAACAGCAAACTCCCGAAGGTGCCACCATCAGTTAGCACCACCACCACTGAGTAGAACGGGGTGAAGACCTAACCGCCCGGAGCACCTCCTGACCTCCGTTGCGACTACCTACATGCAGTAATCGGGGTCTACTACATCACGTGCCTTCGAGTGCAATGGATGGTCAAAAATCATAATGAAAGTCTTTACATTAAGGTGACCTCTAGCGTTTGTTATTTAAAGTTTTACAAATTTAAAATGCGTGGTTTCAATAAAGTAATTTACGGTGGCGGGAACAGTTCAGCCATAGGAACCTTATCAAACAACTGATTGGCCACCGCGCTCAGGTAATAGCCGACAGTTTGCTCGTAAGCACCTTTGAATTCTGCAAAAACCTCCCTCCAATTCTCGTTGAGAGTTTTACCGATTTCGTCACTCATCTGCTTGTTGCCCGGGACCAGTTCGCCGAAGTCCAATTCGGCCGAATTCGGCTCTAGATCTACCGCCACGTCGGTCAACTTTAAGAACTCCTCGCCATCCTTGTCGACTCTTGTCGCGGTCACGGTGACCGTAGTCGTAAGATTACCTAAAACGAGAGTATTTTGGAACAGGTTTCGATTGCCGAATACCTATACCGAGTTCTATCCTGGCATTTCCCTTGCCCGCAATCGGAACCACCAAAACGTGGCCGTTAATTTCGTAATCCGCCACCAGAGTGACGTTCTCCATGAATGCCCCAATCTCGAGCGTAATGTCGTCACCGCTTTCGCTCAACCTGCAAGAATTGGATGAGAACTCCCGACGACTAATTTGGACGTACTCGGCTTTGGTCACTTTCGCCTTTCTCAAATTGTGAATCTTGACGTTGGTCAAGTACTGATTCAGAACTATGGTACCGCTACCGCCTTCGAACGTCAGGCTTTCGATCTCCATCGGATCCACGGATGGTATCCCCAACTCCGGTATCGCTAAACGACTGGGAGGTTAGGCATCAGGATTCGAACGGGAATGACTTACGTTCCTGCAAGATATCTAAGGCCTTTTCCACGGCTTGGGGTAGGCATTTTGGCAGCTCCTCCGGATCGTTCTTGCAGATCAGAAAGCTGGGTGCTGAAATTGCAGACGATTTACACGAGCCGGTACCAAAAGAGCGACTTACGTAGCTTGGCGAGGTGAGCAACTGAAATTAAACACAGAAAGATATACACCTTCATCGCGTCGGTCTGTGCACCCTTCGAATTACGATTCGGTTATATAAGCTCCACTAATTACTCAATTTCTTTGGATGCTGATTAGTTCGTATAATTTTGGCCAATTACCGCCTATCTAATTAAACGGTTAATTATCTATGAATAATTATGATCCTTTTCCACGCAGACAATAGAAGAATTTCCTTTTACACGATTAATAAGGATACAAGTATAATTCACATGCAGTTCAAAACAACTTGGATAGTAAACAAAATTGATGACTACGTTTTTCCACGGCACGTCCTTCATCCGCTACAACGAAAATCTTGATAAGACTTTTTAATTAAATCTTTCGGGACCGGCAATTATTCGACAAAAATCAATCAATAAAACGGTAAGAAAGAAAGGTACTCAGGATCTACAAACAAGGTGCCACGCACATGCGATCGATTGAAACAATATAATTTCAAAGAAAATTCTAATTGCCTTAAAGAGTTTCAGTCAATAATTTATTATCAGCAATTCTAGTCTATAAGATTGTTTAAGAGTCTAAACAGTCTCCAAGATCCTCAGAATCACCAAAACTCCCTTCTATTCTTAAAATTCATTATTATACAATCATTATCACCATCCATACTACATCATTAAGAAATAGCCAATAGAAACATAGGTATGGTTTCCTTGGTTAATGATGAACTTAAGTGGCCATTTCTGATCTAATGATAGTGAACTGACGATAATGATTCTATAAACTAACTATGAGTGTAGGATGTCAAAAAAGCCTTATTAGGATGTTTAAAGCGAGCTAAGGTACAAGTACAATAATCGGAAACAGGGAACTGGAGAAAATGGAATATTGCAATCACACAGTGAGCTTGAGACTCGAACGTGTAGGTACCTAAACTGTAGAATGGCACCTGGAAACTAAAAGCTGACACTGCAACGGGAAACTATAAGCTGTAACTCGAAAACTAGAAGATAGAGAGCTGACCAACAACAGTAGATTGGAAAGACGGAGAATAAGAGAAAAATGGGAAACTGAGAACTAGACAATTCAAAGTGGAAACTTGTTTGCAAACTGTACCGGGTAACCCAATAAGACTGTTTCTCGGCCATATCTCGAGAACCGTTCCTCATATGACTTAGGGGTAAAAAAAATTATTGGGTAAATCGGTCATGAGGAATCGCTGGAAAATATTTTCAAATTGTAAAAATGACCAACAGAGGGCGTAACTGCCATCTTAAATTTTAAAATTGCATTTTCTTTAAATTTCGCATAATAATCTAAAAGAATTATTTACATTTTTAAAGAGAACCAGTTTATCTATCATTTTCGTAAAAACAAAAACTCAGTTATTTCAAAAACAAAGATGGCGTGAGGCGTTCAATTGTTTTTGCAATAACTTGCTTTAACTGCTTAACCGTTTGACCAATTGTAACAAATTTGGTATCGTTGAAAAGAGCATTCTTTGGGCAAATACTTATAGTTAATTTAGTTGAATCCTTCTCCGCCAGGGGGCTGGTGTTAACACTATGATCTGAAATCCTAAAAAAGTCAAATGGAATTATATGACTTTTTCTTTGTGAAAAAGTAGCCAAATAACATCCAAAGAGGTCAGTGAGAACCATTTTTCAAAATCTCGTTCATAACCTCAAATATTGAGAAAATGAAATTAATTAATTAATTAATAAAAATGCTTAAATGGTATCTTAAATTTACTTTTTACGTAGGTATTTACGGTATTTGTCGATGGCGCGAAAGAAAAGGACCCTACACTTTTAGGTAGGCCTTGGAAAATTAAACAAATGAAACACGATGCATTATAAAATAATGTCAGCCGTAATTTGTAAATTATTCTGCTGTGTTTACCATTCAGAAAGTGCAGTTTTTTGAATTTGTAATCTTTTCTAAAATGCCGATTTCTAACCAAGAAGCATTTAATATGATGGCGATATATTTTGAGTATTTTCAAAATGCGATCATCGCTGCCCACATCACTATTTGCGTTATTCGAATCGACCAAGAACCATCGCCACCAGCATATTAAATGCTTCTTGGTTAGAAATCGGCATTTTACAAAAGATTACAAATTCAAAAAACTGCACTTTCTGAATGTAAACACAGCAGAATAATTTACAAATTACGGCTGTTATTATTTTATAATGCATCGTGTTTCATTTGTTTAATTTTCCAAGGCCTACCTAAAAGTGTAGGGTCCTTTTCCAAACAATCTTTCGCGCCATCGACAAATAGCGGAAATACGTCATATAAGATACAATTTAAGCATTTTAATTAATTAATTGGGTCACCCGGTACACTGGAAACTGTGAACTGTAAACTGGGGACTATCCACTGGGAACTGTCAAGTTGGAAATGTATAATACGAACTGTAAACTGGGAACTGTGACTGGTGTAACGAAGCACCCGGAATTTCTGAGTGGGGTTCGCCGTTTGCGAGGACCACCCTGTATAGTAACGATGGGTTTGGGCTTCGCTACATAGAAAACCGTAATTTCGAGAACTTTCCGCGATGCCATGGAGACAAGGAGATACCGTAATTAATTAGTCCACCTACGACCGTTTCTGTTGGAATTATTTTTGTAACCACCGAAGGGTCTGGAGAAGATGAAGGACAATTAACATTTTTTGGTTTCAGCGCCGTTAATTGTTTATAGGCCGTTTTAGTTACCCATAATAAAAAAGCAAGGATAGAACGAGTTCCGAAGCGAGTTTCTTTGCCCGTTATCAGTTGGCGGCGTGCCTGCAAGGATGAGATAACCGCCAACCGCCTTTGTGCCCGAAAACGTGTAATTAACATAAAGATAATGAATTTAAAAAGTTCATGGGCTTCCGTTTGGACTTTTGAGTATGTATAATTAGCATACACTAATTAAATGTGGTGTCAAATTGCGCGCGCTTAATTAACAAATCGATTGCCAGATGTTCGGTAATTTTAACACGAACAGGAGCCGAGTAATTAATTATAAATCGAATTGATTGGTTTCGATTTCGTATTAAATGCGCGACGAGTTGGATTTTCCCTGTTCCACTTCTACCAAATTGGATTTTCTTTGTAAGGAAAACGCTCACTTTTGAAGGGATCTATCTATCTTTTTGCGTTCTACTTGCCGTAAGTAAATCCGTAAATCTGTTTTTGCCATTTTACAAACCGTAACTTAGATCTTTTTGCGTTCTACGTGCCGGAAGTAAGTTTGATCTTTTGCTTGTGTTATTGGCCTTTGTCCTACCGCGATATTAATTTCCGAAGATAAACCGATTTTTTTAAATTACATTAAGGGGGAATTGTTTTTACCCGTTATCCCGAATTTGCCCGCTATAAAAACCGTCACTTTTAACTGTGACTAACTACTTTTCTTCCGCTAGGGAATTTGCCGGTAGGCCATATTTTGTTTTAGAGTTCCAGACAGTACCAACGCCAACTATACACTGGGAACTGTAGACTGGGAACTGTTGACTGGGAACTGTAGACTGGGAACTGTAGATTGGGAACTGTAGACTGGGAACTGTAGACTGGGAACTGTAGACTGGGAACTGTACACTGGTAACTGTACACTGGGAACTGGAAACTGTTGACTAGAAACTGTAAACTGGGAACTGTAGACTGGGAACTGTTGACTAGAAACTGTAAACTGGGAGCTGTAGACTGGGAACTAGGAACTGTAAACTGGAAACTGTAGACTGGAAACTGTAAACTGGGAACTGTTGACTAGAAACTGGGAACTGTAGACTGGGTACTAGGAACTGTAGAATGGAAACTGTAGACTGGGAACTGTAGACTGGGAACTGTAGACTGGGAACTGTAGACTGGGAACTGTAGACTGGAAACTGTAGACTGGGAACTGTAGACTGGAAACTGTAAACTGGGAACTGTAGACTAAGAACTGTAGACTGGAACCTGTAAATTGGATACTGTAGATTGAGGAGTATAGACTAGCAACTGCAAACTGGGAGCTGTAGACTGCTAACTGGAGACTAGGAACTGTAGACTGGCAACTTTTCACTGGATCTGTGGACTGGGAACTGTAGACTGGAAACTATGTCAGGGTTGTTCTCTTCGCTGATTGAGTACTATGGTTCCCAAATTTTAATTAGTCGGACCTTTGCTAACCTTGAGCATTAACTTCCATCAATCCACGGAGGTGCGTCACAAAATACCTACTTTAGCCCTGTGTGGATTACGCAAAATTGAGCAAAATAAATAATCTATTCATTTGTAGTAAATAAAAACTACAAGTAGGTATATTCGCACTAGTTTACCAAACAGTAACCGACTTTGATTATTGTTGAACACCCTGTACGTATATAGGGATTTTCCCAAAAGATTGTTTGGAGGTGTCTTCATCCACGCCTTTAGGGAAGGTAAATTTGAAACTCGAAATTTCCATGTGTGTATAGGTACGCGCGACAAACTTACAGGATTGGTCGAATTTGAACAACTGGCGCAAAAGCACGAAGAGAATGCCCATTCATAACATTTTCAATAACAATTAACTAACTCACAGATAATGACTTAATCATTGATTATAATTATGTTGACCTTAGTTCTAAATTGCTCAATTCCACATAATCGGTTCGGACAATCTTTCGGTCTCAGTTAGTTCCTACACTTTGAACGGCATGGAACAGATAAGGGGTGGTTATTTTAGTGAGAAGAACGATTTGTGGCCCGGGCAGTTTTTCTCACTCGAAGTCGAGAAGGTTTTGCACACCGAAAAGTCCGAATATCAAGATATTCTGATTGTACAAACGTAAGTGTTTAGTTTTATTACACAAAAGAGTATTTTTAGTACGTTCTGAGAACAAAATTGAATATCAAGGAAGCGTAAATAATTCAGAAATGTTTATATTTACATTGAACTTTCTAATTTAAATATACAAACATGCTATTCAAAGCGCGCTTCAAAACAAGGACGCGCTTCCGTAGTAAATACAGGGTGTACTGACGACTTTACATGTTTCTAAGACAAATGAAATTTTAACATTGGAAATGTGTTTGTGGATTCGTATAGGTAATCTTAAAACTATGGATGGTGGAAAGTGTTGAGCAATACAATCTGCCCTTTTTTCTCGCCTGGTAAATTTGTCTGCTCGTTGATAGTGAATCTCGAAGACGGTTGACAATTTGAATCAGGAACAAACTGGGCTTTAGGCTTGGTGAAGAGTTCATTACGCCATATAAAAATGCCACGCTTTCGAAACTTCACTTCTTTACTTCAATTGCACTTGAATTTCCATTTAGCTGACATTGGGTTCGTTTAAAGATACTGATCCAAAATTGGCTCTTCGATGGTGGAAAACTCCCTTTAACGGGTACTGGGAAACTACTATTTCTTTGTAAACCTCACTTCTTTCGGTCGGTCCGCTTATTTAAAACATTTTTCCCTTTCTATTTTTTTCTTTCCCCCTTTCTTGATTTTCTGCGCGTCTTCAAGTAAATTAAACACATATGTTAAACACGTCCGCGATAACACGTGCTTACCGCGAAATTTTATTAGCTTTCGCAGCGATAACGAATTTCTTATCGCAACGATCGGAGATAACATATTTACAAAAGAATAAACTTTACAACTAAATAATTCAGATGATATGATCGGATCGAACATTTTCACTGCACAGGGGGTTGCTAAAACACCACGTGTTAATATGTCTTTTTTGTTTCAGAACGCATCACGGTAAAGCGCTAATTCTAGACGGTCTCATCCAATGTACGGAACACGACGAATTCGCCTACCAAGAAATGATATCCTTCCTTCCGCTGTGCGCGCACGAAAACCCTGCGAAAGTACTGATCGTCGGCGGCGGCGACGGCGGCGTCGCTCGCGAAGTCAGCAAGCATCCTCTCGTTCAAAGTGTTGTGCAGGTCGAAATCGACGCGCGAGTGATTGAGGCGAGCAAACGGTACTTGCCGAGCATGTCGGTCGGTTTCTCCTCGCCCAAACTGACGCTGAACGTATGCGACGGTTTCGAGTATATGAGAAATCACAAGGGAGAGTTCGACGTGATCATAACCGATTCGAGCGATCCTATCGGACCAGCAGTCAACTTGTTCACAAAATCGTACTTCAAGTTGCTGAAGGAGGCGCTTAAGCCGGATGGCATTGTGTGCTCCCAGGGTAGCAGTTTGTGGTTGAGTTTGGAGCACGTCAAGGGGACGATGCAGAATTGTAGGCAGCACTTCGACACGGTCAAGTTTGGGGTGGCGAACGTGCCGAGTTACCCCACGGGCCAGATCGGCTTCGTCATCGGCGCTTTGGGTGAAAATCGTCCTCTGGAGTCTCCCACGCTTACGTTCACCGACGAGGAAATTGCAAGAATGAAGCTTCGATACTACAATGGCGACGTACATCGGGCTGCATTTGTACTACCAACTTTCGCTAGGAATGCTCTATACAAATGAAGACTGATGTTTTATTTCTCACTCTTAAATATGTACATTCAGAACTTTTTACACGTATAATGAAATGTTCTAATATTTAGCGATGTCAAAAATAATAGTAGTGCGGGCAAGGCAAGGCGGCGCAGCTGTCTCAAGTGTTGAATGGTTCCAGGTTTTATAAATTGCTTCCAAATATATTGACCAAGTTTACGTTTATTGGCAATCGTTCCTCTAAAAGGTCTTAAAAGCAGTTATTGACGTTAAAGCCACTAGATATAGAAAGTACCGCAATCATCCGCCATTTTTGGGCAAATTTGCTGCCAACTTAAAAAAATTGACAAATAAAATCTGAATAGCTGTCATTTTTTATAACCTAACTTCATAGTACTGTCATGTTTTATAAAAATCAATGAATAAATAAAAATAGATAGGTACAGATATCTCCAAACAGGTGGAACAATCCCTAACATTAAAGTTACTAGAATTTGGTAACTTCGGCCATTTTTGGGCAAAAATCATGCGTTCTCTCTCTAACACACGAGCCCAATAGGTTGCGGTATTTTCTATATCTAGTGACTTTAATTGACGTACTACGTAAGCGCCATCTATAGCAAATAAAAACCATCTCTAAGTACCGCCCACTTCTTCAACTGTTAACTTATTTTACGAACATTGCGCAACGTTTTATCAGGCCTTGCAAATTCAAATTTATAGAAGCAAACACACAAGCAAATAAGTAACACAAAACAATCACCCTACATCTTGTGACGCCGTTTTCCGGATAAGTGGGTATGGACCACTCAATTTAGCCCGGCCCTAACTGGAACGAATTCAAGGGAAGTACTTAGTTTGGCAAGCACTAATCTCCAAAGCCGCCTTACAGTAATTACAAAGATGCGGCTGACGCAATCCACCGCCTCAATAGAAAGCAATGGAAGCATGTTCTAACCTGCATGCGGCGGCCGTCTCCCGTTGCATGCGTAAAAGCCACACCGCGTTAGACGCACGCGTCAGATGCTTCATAGGAAACGTGTCAAACTTTGTTTCACAAAATGCACAACTGCTTTGTGATGGCGCTGCTGATGTTGGCTTCATAAATTTTGACTTGCAAGCATTCCAGTTATTTTTTCATCCAAGTTACAAACCTTGTAAGTATGTAACACCTCAAATGCTTTTACAATCATAAAAATTTATGGAAAATTAGTATATCAACAAAGCTTAAGAGATTGACATGGAGCCGTTTCCCTATTTCTGTTTGCTAATGTATTCAAAAGGTGGACGGAAGGAGATATTTTACACAATGGTACAATAAGTCAATAAAGAACTTAATTAATAGATCAGAGTATAATAAAAACCTATAATTTTCTACATAAATCACATTAATAAAGAACCTTTCAGACCTTGCTTTCAGATCAGTAATGGTAAAAACCGGTTGGTTTCATTGTTGTATGAAAAATGATTCTCTTGTATAAACAAAGACACGTCGCGTCATCACGATTACGTGACCGCCATTTTGATTCTCTATAATTATGTATTAAATTGTACAAAATCAATATCAATACGTGTAGACCGTAATAATAATTTAATTAAACGTGTGTGTTGTTTGTGTGTGAGGAATGTCCATCGAATATTTACAAGTAGCGGAAGATGAAGGCGAGGAGCCTATCGAATTGCCCACAGAGGACGACGGTACACTTCTGCTCAGCACGCTCTCGGCGCAGTTCCCCGGCTCCTGCGGTTTAAAGTACAGAAACCCCGACTCGCGAGCGATGCGAGGCGTCAGACTTAGCGACGGCCGACTGCATCCGCCCCCCGAGATCGGTTGGGGTTCCCAGATATTTTACTGCGTCTTTCCCAAAGGTAAGTAATAATCGACTCACGTGTCGACGATCCCCTCCGACATTGTCATTTTAGAGAATAAGCGAAAATCAGACGACGCCCTGGAGAATTCGACGGCTAAAACGAAACGGATAGAAACGAAACTACGCTGCACCGACCTAATAGTTCTAGGCCTACCTTGGAAGACGACCGAGCAGAATCTTAGGGAGTACTTTGAAAGTTTCGGCGAGGTTCTAATGGCGCAGGTCGGTGTCTTTGCGATATTGCGTTAGTCTTAAGTTTGTTTGTAGGTGAAGAAGGACGCGAAGAGCGGACAATCGAAGGGATTCGGTTTTATCAGATTCGGCTCGTACGAGTCACAAATGCGAGTTCTCGCCCAGAGGCACATGATTGACGGACGGTGGTGTGATGTCAAAGTTCCAAATTCAAAGGTAACCTCTTTGCTTGTGGACACCATTTTAAAAACAATCGATGTATTTCTGCTCTTTGAGATGTTAACCTGCTCGTGGTTACAACGTGCCATTCCAAATAAGGTACAAGTATCAATGACAATTGTGACTCCGAGTCATAGCAAAAACTATGTTGAAGTCTTCGTTGTTTTCAGTTGTTGAGAGGCTGCATTCCTAATGTTATAATGTATGTGATTGTACCCGATTTCAAAAAGATTTGATGGAACCCTCACAAAAAGGTAACTCCGCCCCTTTTTTCAGACAGTGTTGTCACTTGTTTCATTTTTTCTTCTAAAAATTATTGTCACAACAAATGCTTTAACTCAAAACTGAAAGGTAAAGTATGTCCCTACCAATTATGTCTTAATAAAACAATAAGAAGTAAATACGAAAAAAGGTCAGTAAGCTAACCTTTACTTATGTTTGAGAGAACTAGTTTTGTGCTCACCAAGGTTTTGGTATTGATCGCCATTTTTAATTTTATTGTTTTCCTTTGGATAAAATTTTGTTATAAGTATTTGTTTAATCATAAATCACAAAATTCCATTTGGCTTTATGTTTTGCCACGGGTATCTTGAGTTATTAGTTAGTTACAGTGGGAGAACCGGCTTTGACCCATTAAAACAACCATTTTGGCTAGTTTATTAGCGCTTTTGCTCCAGTATACCATTTGATTTACAGAAATTCAAGGTTGGATGAAAATGTGCGCCAGTGAACCGGGCGATCTTGCAAGAGCGCTCGTTTGAATTTAACGTGAGTGAGAGGAACGCTTAGTTACATTTAGAACTATTTGCATGAAATAAAATCGAACCTCTATGGCAGTGGCTAAAATTTTAAGATGACAATTTTTAATTTACCCACGGCTAGCTCAGTAATAAAAATGTCCTTATACCCCTTACCTGGGCCTCTTATCTCCTAACATCTGAAACTCAAAGTTTAGTGTTCTAGTTCAATGGAACTTTTATTGATTGTTTGAACATATTAATAAACACAAAAGTTTATTCTGTTCAAAATATACACATACCTCTGAATGCCAAACAAAATTTGAATCCAACCAAGGGATTGAACTGAAACTAAATGCAACATATCCAACCAATGAGGCCAAAATCCTTTGTTTGGATTCTATTCTATTTCCCAAAGGCATGATACCTAGTGCTAGGGGTAATAGGAAAGAATTGTTGGTTTTGGTAAAGAACATAGCACCAGGGAGCAGGGATGGCAGATATTTATCATGGTATATATCCACGATATAAGTACATATATCATGTGTGGATCAACTTTCAGTGCCAGTCAAAAGAAGGGGGAGACTGAATAGTGAAGAATTACTGAATTAGAAATTCAAAAGACTAAAATTTAAAAAAAAACAATGCTTTATCTCATTTAATTTTATTATGGAATGATATTTTTGCTTTTATGTTTATGTTTTTATGTGAATAAAGCTTAAGTTTGGTTTGTTTCTCTTTCTTCAGAAATTTACATTTCGTGTTTCACATCTTGTGTCTTTTATTTTATGTTTAAACTTTAAATCCAATTCAAATCAAGCATTAAGTACGAGTATTAGCGTTATTCGAATAAATATCGAATATATATCAAATATCGGATATATATCCAACGATTTGATATTTATTCATGATGTTTGCCAACCATGCCGGGAGTCTGGAATACCCCCCCCCCCCTCAGTATACAAAGATTTGATTACCTTTTGTCAAAGGATACCATGATAGTGCTAGGGCTAGTACATAAAGGATTGTTTCCTTTCCAATTACATCATTTACCTTTGAGCCACTAGCCGTTATTGTTAGTGATCTGAAAAATAAATTTATCACAAATGAGTTTGTTTACTCGTGATTTGATTTTAAAAGCTCTCTTACTCGAAAATGTTCCTTCGCGTATATTTTACCACTCGTAAATAAAAGGCCTTGCTGCGCATCAGGCTGCTAAAGTTGTTTATTCTCTCGCTATTTGAATCTCGCCTACGAGTAAAGCCGAAAATGAAGAAATAAATATTTATACAGAACGGAGCAACACTTTTGGGTCCCAAGAGATCGTGGCAACCGCGCTATACGTTTCTTTTTATCGCCAGACATACTTTCGTTCACGTTCGCTACGAAGCGGTACATGTGGAAATTTCCCTATATTGCCTAAAATTAAAATTTTTGAAAACGACCAAGCGGCTCCCTCTTACAATGTGCACTGGAACACAACATGCTTTTGCTGTAAAAGCATTTTATAAAAATTACTGCTTTCTCTGCGGCTACTTGAAATCTAACTAAATCACCATTCACGATTCAGGACTTGAAAACCAAAATACGGGAAGAAATTGAATGGATTCCTGCGGAAATGCTGCAAAGAGTAATGGGTGCCGTTCTGTCCGTCTGTCTGTCTGTCTGTCCGTGTGCACGATAACTTTGTGTCTGATCGTTTTGGAAATTGATACATAATTATGTTCTTCAGGATGTAAGAGAGGTCGCTACGGGTCAAAAAGTTACAGCCCAAAAACTGACCAAACCTCCAAAAAAGGGTTTCATTTATCATTCTTGTTAGAAAGAACATATGGATATCCAGTTTTCTGTGTTGTTAAATATTCCTTAAACCTGAGGTGCAGATGAATTTTAAAAAAACTTTTGTATTTGTTAAGATATTTAAATGAAATTTTTTATGTAAGCTTCTTGAATAAAAGTAAAACAAATGTGGAATAATCAAAAAATTTGTTTTGCGCATGCGCAATCCGAATTTTTGACATCTCTGTTAGTTATGAACCGAATTGCATTAAATTTTGTATGTAAGCACCTCGAATAAAAGTAAAACAAATGTCGAATAATCAAAAAATATGTTTTGCGCATGCGCAATCCGAATAAAAGTAAAACAAATGTCGAATAATCAAAAACTTTGTTTTGCGCATGCGCAATCCGAATTTTTGACATCTCCGTTAGTTATCAACCGAATTGCATGAAATTTTGCATGTAAGCACCTCGAATAAAAGTAAAACAAATGTCGAATAATCAAAAACTTTGTTTTGCGCATGCGCAATCCGAATTTTTGACATTCCTTTAGTTATCAACCGAATTGCATGCAATTTTGCATGTAAGCACCTCGAATAAAAGTAAAACACATGTCGAATAATCAAAAACTTTGTTTTGCGCATGCGCAATCCGAATTTTTGACATCTCCGTTAATTATCAAGCGAATTGCATGAAATTTTGCATGTAAGCACCTCGAATAAAAGTAAAACAAATGTCAAATAATCAAAAAATATGTTTTGCGCATGCGCAATCCGAATTTTTGACATCTCCGTTAGTTATCAACCGAATTGCATGAAATTTTGCATGTAAGCACCTCGAATAAAAGTAAAACAAATGTCGAATAATCAAAAACTTTGTTTTGCGCATGCGCAATCCGAATTTTTGACATCTCCGTTAGTTATCAACCGAATTGCATGAAATTTTGCATGTAAGCACCTCGAATAAAAGTAAAACAAATGTCGAATAATCAAAAACTTTGTTTTGCGCATGCGCAATCCGAATTTTTGACATCTCCGTTAGTTATCAACCGAATTGCATGAAATTTTGCATGTAAGCACCTCGAATAAAAGTAAAACAAATGTCGAATAATCAAAAACTTTGTTTTGCGCATGCGCAATCCGAATTTTTGACATTCCTTTAGTTATCAACCGAATTGCATGAAATTTTGCATGTAAGCACCTCGAATAAAAGCAAAACAAATGTCTAATAATCGAAAAATTTGTTTTGCGCATGCGCAATCCGACTTTTTGACATCTCCGTTAGTTATCAACCGAATTGCATGAAATTTTGCATGTAAGCATCTCGAATAAAAGCAAAACAAATGTCGAATAATCGAAAAATTTGTTTTGCGCATGCGCAATCCGACTTTTTGACATCTCCGTTAGTTATCAACCGAATTGCATGAAATTTTGCATGTAAGCATCTCGAATAAAAGTAAAACAAATGTCGAATAATCAAAAACTTTGTTTTGCGCATGCGCAATCCGAATTTTTGACATCTCCGTTAGTTATCAACCGAATTGCATGAAATTTTGCATGTAAGCACTTCGAATAAAAGTAAAACACATGTCGAATAATCGAAAAATTTGTTTTGCGCATGCGCAATCCGAATTTTTGACATCTCCGTTAGTTATCAACCGAATTGCATGAAATTTTGCATGTAAGCACCTCGAATAAAAGCAAAACAAATGTCGAATAATCGAAAAATTTGTTTTGGTCATGCGCAATCCGAATTTTTGACATCTCCGTTAGTTATGAACCGAATTGCATGAAATTTTGTAGCTGCGCTACTTTTGATCCAATGGGAGAAAATTTATGCAAAATCCTGGACCTTGCAAATAAATGTGACTGAAAACCTCAATTGTTTAAAATTTCAAATTTTGCAAGCATTGTTGATTAAAGAGCAGAAATGCATCTATGGTTTTTAAAATATGTCAATCTATGGTCGTGTATGCGCATCTTACTCACTTCTTGCAGGAAGGCCTAATACAGCAAGTTCCCTGCAAGGTGTTCATCGGAAGGTGTACGGAGGACTTGACCTCGGACGATTTGAGGGAGTACTTCGGCAAATTCGGCGAGGTCACGGACGTTTTCATACCGAAACCGTTCCGAGCTTTCAGTTTTGTCACCTTCTTGGATCCGGAGGTCGCGCAAAGCCTGTGCGGCGAAGACCACATCATAAAAGGTTGATGTCGCTAAGACGCGCGTTTCGAGTTCCTAATCTCCCCGCCGCAGGTGTTTCAGTTCACGTTTCAAACGCCGCCCCAAAATCAGAGAACCGTAGCGGATACAACAGCGGAAACGTACGCAACACCGGCTCGCACGGTACGAACCGGACGACGAACGGCCCAGACGGTCCCGGCATGTACCCGCAACGCTACGGACCCGGCCCGAATCAGGGCAATTGGGGGAATCAGGGCCACCGGGGGAATCTCGACATGCCCAATCTACAAGCGTTAGGTGAGGTTAGGTCGTCGGAGCGAAAATTGTTTTCTGTTTCCATCACACAGTATATGTCATATGTGTGAATGTCGTAAAAGGGTTTTTCCGGTACTGTGCGTAAAGTGAATGAGTAATATCACTCTCATAAACAGTGCGTTTTCGCAATGAAAAAGGAAGAAGTCGCACATCAGTTTTGATCTGTTCAGTGGAACACCCTGTATAATCTAGTAAAGTGAACTAGATTATCCAAAATGGACGAGATGAAAAAGTTTATTTTCTCCATGCACAAAAACACTTTTCTGAACAACAAAAAAAGGACAAATCAAAAATTCAATAATCTCACAATAAAAGTTTCAAAAAAATTCACTTTACGGCACCCCCCCCCTCCCTGCATACACCTCCCCACCGCTTTTACTTTATATGATACTTTTTGCATTTCTCTCTGCATGCCCGTTACCTAATGCCTTATGTTTGTAGGTATGTATGGTCGGCAGTATAATTAGTGGATGATGTGCGTTAATGACTTGACTTTTGTGCAAATAGCGGAAGATGTGCTTGTGTGTTGGAAACAATTTTCTGAGTATAATAGAGAAACTTTGTATAAGAATTTAAAAATAAAAATGCGTCGTTTTGCGTTCGCTTTTTTCACGTATTTACATGGGGCAGGTATTACCGGCCAAGGGCAGCAGGGGAACACGCAGCAGAATTGCAATCCGCTCGGCCTCGGACTTAATCTCGGCGCGCTGCCGATGAATCCCGCCTTGGTGGCCGCCGCTCTCAATCAGGCCGGATGGGGTCTGATAGGTAACCTTCAAAATCAACCGGAGCCGAATTTCAATCAGGGTTTCAACAATCCGCCAAATAACAACACAGGTACGTTTTTTGTGCTCAAATTTTTCGCTTTTTCAAGGTTCTCCAACAGAAGTGTTATACTAACATTTTTTAAGGAAGGTTCAATCAATCTTTCTTTCAGACTCCGAAAATGTCACGTAGGGACCACAAATCCCCGTCAAACTTTTGCGTTTACTTAATCTCGTGATGCAACGTCGATTTTAGTTTAAAGAAAACTAATTTTTTTGAAAATTTTTCGTATCGGTTCGGTGAATAAGTCGTGCCGCGCCGACTATATAGATGTATAACCTCACTATACCGACTTTCATTTGAAAATAGCGAAATTTTTGCCCGACATATTGGATCCATTATTTTGTTTTTTGAAAATTTAACATCAGATTCTTAATCAGAGCGCCCAAAAAACCCCCCTACAACAACTTTCATTAGAAAACAATTTTTCTTGATTTTATCCGCCATATTGGACCCGCCATTTTGTTTCTTAAAAATTTAAATTGGCGTTCCCAAATACTTCACCATACCGGCTTTCATTTAAAAATAACAAATTTTCGTCATTTTTTTCGTCATATTGGAACCGCCATTTTGTTTTTCGGAAGTCTTAACATCAGATTCTTAATCAGCGCATCCCCTGACAGACAACAGTTCAAATACCTTGAATATTATGATTATTGTATGGAAACGATCGTTGAATTTTCATGGGGGGGGGGGGGGGGGTCTCCAGACCCAGACATTAAAGTTTTTGGTAAAACCACAAATAGTTTTAGTAAAGGCAAACGTATCGCATATAGTAAAAGTCATAAGTGCGCATTTTTGTCCGCCATTTTGTTTTTCGGAAGTTTAACATTAGATTCGTAATCTGAGCACCCAAAATCCTCACTACACCAACTGTCATTTGCAAACAATTATTTTTCTTAATTTTATCCGCCATTTTGTTTTTTGATGGTATTTTTGAAATCACTGTGGTCGAATGTATAATCTTATACATAAAAAAAGCGAGAATCTTTTACCGTTTTTATGAGGTAAGGCCACTATATGAAAATTTTGCATTTATTTATATGACCCCCTCCCCCCCTAATTTTCATTATGTTTGGAGTGTCAATTCATAGTTACCAACTTTCGAAAAAGAGTTACTTCCAATGATCGTCTATTATAGTACTTACTCTGTCCACATCGCATCCACTCACTCCTCCTCACCTGTGATAACCTTCTTTTTGTTGAGCGTGAAATGCGTCACCGTCAGTTTCTTCCAATGCGTTCCCGTACACATTTCTTCCCCTTTTCCCTTGCCTACCGTCATATCCTACTGTGTTGGTACGATACTCATTCGGCATTTTTCTCTAACCGCTAATCGTGGCCCCCTCCCGTTTTCCAAGTTCATATTTTACATATTGCCCCCTCCCCCATCATGTTGGTGTAATTATGGTTACCACTTTCTCATTCTTCTACCGACTGCAACAAGTATAGTCTCTTGTTAGCACCAACACTCTAGACTGCATTTTTTGCGCTGTACACCCCCCCCCCCCCCCCCATGTTTGCCTCATTTCTACTGAGAATAGCACACTTCCCTTTTTTAGGGCAGTTTTTTGAAAAAAAAAGTAATTTTTTTGTTAGATATGTATGTCATTACTTATTATTCCCGTATTTTTACCCCCCCCCCCCCCTGTTAGTGCAATATGGTTACGACTCTTATTATCCTCACAATGCGTACCTCCCTTCTTTAATATTTCCTCTCTTTGTTACACCTTACTACTGACTGCAACAAGTATAGTCTCTTGTTAGCACCAATACTCCAGACTGCATTTTTGCGCTGTAAATCCCCCCCCCCCCTTCCCTTCATGTTTTCCCATATTTTCAATGGGAATAGCATACTTCTCTTTTTTAAAAGAAAAGTAATTGGTATTGTTAAAATATGTCATTACTCCCGTATTTTTACCCCCCCCCCCCCCAATGTTAGGGCAATTATGGTTACCACTTTCTTATTATCCTCACAATGCGTTCCTGCCTTTTTTAATATTTCCAACAAGTATAGTCTCCTGTTAGCACCAACACTCCACACTGCATTTTTTGCGCTGTACCCTCCCCCCCCCCCCCTGTTTCTCTTTTTTACGGCAGTTTTTTAAAAACAAAAGTAATTTTATTGTTAAAATATGTGATTACTTATTACTCCAGTATTTTTACCTCTCCCTCCCTCCCCCCATGTTAATGCAATTATGGTTACTACTTTCTTATGATTCTCACAATGCGTTCATGCATTCCTTAATCTTTCCTTTCTTTGTTGCACCCTTACTACTGACTGCAACAAATATAGTCTTCTGTTAGCACCAGCACTGCAGACTGCATTTTTTGCGCTTTAATTCCCCCCCCCCCTTCATGTTTGCGCTTATTTCCAATGAGAATAGCATACTTCTCTTTTTTACGGCAGTTTTTTAAAAAGAAAAGTAATTGTTAAAATGTCATTACTTATTACTCCCGTATGTTTACTCCCCCCCCCCCCCCCCCCCACCATGTTAGGGCAATTATGGTTACCACTTTCTTATGATCCCTTACCACTGACTGCAACAAGTATAGTGTCCCGTTAGCACCAACACTCCACACTGCATTTTTTGCGCTGTAACCCCCCCCCCCCCTCTTCATGTTTGCGCTTATTTCTAATGAGAATAGCAGTTCTCTTTTTTACGGCAGTTTTTTGAAAACAAAAGTAATTTTATTGTTAATATATGTCAGTACTTATTACTTCAGTATTTTTACCTCCTTCTCCCCCCCAATGTTTGTTCAATTACGGTTACCACTTTCTCATTATCCTCACAATGCGTTCTTTAATCTTTCCTCTCTTTGTTCCACCCTCACTACTGACTGCAACAAGTATAGTCTCCTGTTAGCACCAACACTCCAGACTGCATTTTTTGCACTGTACCCTCCCCCTCCCCTTTTCATGTTTGCGCTTATTTTCAATGACAAAAGCATAGTTTCTTGTTACGCCAGTTTTTTGAAAAGAAAGAAACTTGTGTTTTCCTACTCTCCTGTCGTCTCGCCCATGCACAATGGCATCAATCATTCATACCGTAACCCTCCCCCTCCTCACACACTATTTTGCGCATTTTTTAAGAGTTAAAAAATTCTTCGCGTTTTGTCCGTCCGTCCAGCCGTCTGGACCCACTCGGAATCGCCCTACATTCCTGGATTTGCTTGCAATAGGTAGCCTACAACTTGAATGTATACCACACGGCCATCTCATTTGGTAATTTTAAGCCCCCCTCCCCCCCCTACTGTTTTTGAAAATAAAACGTGCAAACATTTGCATGCGGCAATCAATTAATCTCAGATTTTGCAAACGCGTGGCTTTGGTGGTGCCAAGTTAAACTTTAGGAAACGGAAGGGGGGGGGGGTTAACACATGTTCTACCCTTCATGGTATTCTAATGAACGGTCTCATCGAAACGAATTGGTTTCTAAAAGCTATAACTTTCATGCGCGACTCCTTAGTGCGTAACGGTTCGTGAGGAGGGGTGGGGGAGGTAGACATTGGTTGTAACTTTCATGGCAGGTACTCTAATGAAAGGTCTCAATTTCTACCGATCATGGTCCTCTACCTGGACCCCTTATCGTGATCGGTTAAAAAAAGGGCGATTGGGACGTATGGAAGAAATGTATTCATTGGTGATGGCAAAACTTTAAGACTGAAATCGAAGTATCGGAAGAGGGTACTCCTAAAGGGCAAGTAGAACGTCTGGACGATACGCATCTAGTGGTGATGTCAAATTGCTTTTTGGCGCTGTTACCATTCATCCCTTATCGCCGCCCTCCCCATCGCATCATGCTCTTCTTTCCAATGACAAAGGGGAATTTTTTGTACGGAAAAAATAATAATTTTAGGACCTCTGTCGCTATTTTTAGCGCATTTTTTAGGAATTAAACAAATGTGCTATTGTTTGCGCTTTGTCCGTCCGCCCGGACCCACTTCTACCGTTTTGAACTATTTCTAGGGGAATGGCCCTAGGGTCCTGGAATGCATACCTTTAGTGGTGCCAAGTTAAACTTTAGAAAATGGGGGGGGGGGGGGTAAACACATATCCTTCATGGTATTCTAATGAAAGGTCTCATCGAAATAAATTATTTTGTGCAAACTATAACTTTCCCGTGCGACTCTTTTCGAGACCAGTGAGCGACGTGGCCTAAGGAGGGGGGTGGAAGGGTTAAAAATTAATGCTATCTCATTGTATTCTAATTAAAGGTCTCAACGAAAGGAATTAATTTAGACTAACCATAGTCTTCCTCCTCGATCTCTTGTCGTGATGGGTTATAATTCCTTATATCTTAAGAGTGAATTGTCAAAGGAAAGTACCTACAAAGGGCGATTGGGACGTTTGGAAGAAATATAACCATTGGGCATTTAAATAAAATTTGATACATAACCACTTCGAATAAAAGCAAATATAACGCCAGTTTCAAAATTTGGCTTTGCGCATGCGCACTGCCAACTTTTATTTATGGATTTATTTAAATGAAATTTGATACATAGCCACTTGGAATAAAAGCAAATGTAGCGCCATTTTCCAAATTTGGTTTTGTGTAGGATGTGCAGTGCCAACTTTCTGATTTATTGAAGAAATTTCGTAGGGGGTTTAAAAAAAATGCGCTTTACCTGCACAAGGGTTCTGCACAATTTGTACTTGTGTTTTTTTGGAATGGTAGCCACCTTACTATTTGCGACAGACCAATATGGCCGAGTACGATGAAAGTTTCATCAAAAAGTAAGTCGAGAACGTGAAAACTGCTTCTCAATATTCTAGAAGGGTAATATCGATCTTAGGCATTCATATACAGTAAACTTTTGTATACAGGGTGGTTCTTAATGTTGGTAAAACACTTCGCGTCTTTCGTAAAGGTCGCGCAATTTCGCAATGTCAAATTGAAATTACAGGTAACAACGCGAACGGCGGCAACCAAGGTGGCGGTAACAATCAGGGCTTCCTGAACTGGATGAACCAGGGCCAGGGACAAGACGGACAGTGGCCGCGTCCGCCTCCTCAACAGCAGCAGGATAAAGGTTTCTTAAAGTATGACTAAATTTTTCTGCCTAACCCTCCCCGCTCTTAAATTTTTTTTTATCATTCGGCGTAGGCGAATTCCCCTCCTCAATTTAGCCGATTGCGACGGAACGAAATTGCGCGGGGGAATCTCGCGTGTGTTGTTGTCGTGTATATTTTTCTCTTACACTTTTGTATGTTTGTCGTACAACTTACCTTCTAAGTGACTTTTTGTAATGGAAATTCGCCAAACCGACGAATTTTCTCCGTAGATAGACCTTTTTTTTGTGCGTAAATGATCGATTTTAGTTAAACAGAACGAATGGATCAAAAGAGGGATCGATCAAATTTTGTGTGCGATGTTCTTGATGTTACACTTGTGTTTTACTGCTAAGAGTATTAGGTTTTATTTAAATAAGTCTCATTCTATTATGTGTAGAATAAATAATTACTTTAAGAGAGGTCGAGAGCATTTTTCTTTCTTAATCTCTGCACACGTGGTGTTTGCAAATGGGGCGCGCTGTGATTTTGAGATTGCACTTTGTATGGAGAGAGGTCTTGCAAAAACCACGTGGACGTTTCCCCTGAAATGTGTAACAAATGGAATTTCAGTGTGCTTATATTGTAAGTGTAAGCGAAAGTACAGGTACGTTACCTTAGACTTTTAAAAATAACCGAGTGGTCGTGCTAGGTGTAATAATCGTTACGAAGACTTGTAGGTACGGATCGATGTGAGTTGTAAAATTTTATGTGTGATTGTCCACGATGGGTGTCTGTTTTTTAATCTGTTGTGAAGGGACTGAACGTGAGATTGAATATACCCAACTTAAAAAACTGCTTGGAGTGGTGTTGTGAAGACGATTTCGGAGTTGCGCTTGATGAGTAAGTTTACCTCTAATCTGACTGTTAAGTTGTGGAATAAAAGGCAACGGGACGGCAATAAATTCACATTGAAATTGCGTGTGTGATCCTCGTCGATTCCACCGCTTAACTTAACCATTGTGGTGCTATTCTTTTTCATACGATAATTATTACTACGCTTAAAAGTAGTAGACAATCGAGTTCCGTTATTATAAGCGATTAATTCCTAACCATATGTTTTGTAGGTCTTGCAGTTCTACAGTCGCAGATGCAAAACACCCACCTCTCGTAAATAACTCTGAACCGCAGCTGTTTGTGCCTCTCGTCTTGTTTATGTACATATTTATTTATAGCGTAACGAAACTATTTATCGTTGTAAAGCAATTATATGTTAAACAGATTTGCCTTTTGCCATGCAGGTGATAACGTACTGAATGTATATATATTTAAGAATTTTAACAAAGAGTGACAAATACAGGTTGTGATACAAGTTGAGAATAAAGCAGAATTTACGAGATCAGTCTTTAATTTTTAGTACATCAATGGTAATTGTTTGCATACTTTTAACCCCACTTTTGGTACCTACTCCCACAGAAATATACACAAAGTAGAACGCCAATGGGTACGGAGAACAAAATGACACAATTTACTCTGCGTGAATCAGATGTTGGTGCACTTCTGAGCTTGCGCATTGCGTGTGCATACAGAGCCGGTCACTAAAGTGTGGATACGATCTTATTATTAACGCAATTAACGGTTGTTTTGTTTAAAGGAATAATGTCCATGCTTGAAAAACGGAGATTTAATCAAAATAATTCTCATTGCAAGATTAAATTTAGAAAATGGTAGTTCACCGAGTACAAATATTACAATAAGCTGGGGAAAAAAAGAACTGACCAAGAAGAAAACCAACCAACAAATTAATATTGAACTTTATATCAAAATTAGTCGTCTGTAATGGCACGAATGCATATTATGATGGTTGTCACGTAAACTAATAAGACATACGGATTCGGTTAAATGAGGAAAGAGTTGTCGTTTTAAGAGCTTATTTAAGATATGCTTTTGTTTTGTGAAAAAAATCCACAGTTCACTAGATATGATGAACATACTAATTTATTTTTAGATCTTACAATTTTTGAGTTATAATACAAACTTTAATTTTTTTAAGTGGTAGTCATAGTTGGCTTTGTCATTTTTAAAAAGGACAAACTTTTCTCTTTAGGTATAACGATATAAGGCTTGCTAAATGTACTTTAATAAATAAACGCCCTGCAGTAATTTTCGTATTATTTGAGAGGTAAGTAAACAGAGTTGGCCATGGAAAACAATATCTAGTGAGATAGGTACCTTTCCTTTACAACGAAAATTGGACAGGCCAATGTTATCATCATTTTCTACCAAATGAATTTCAAGATTTGTAGGATGGGTTAGATTTGGAAACACGACGATATTTACCCTGGTTTCAACACAACGGTGCCCCGCCGCACAACAAACTGCAAGTTAAATATTATAATAGACAGTAATTAAGAGAACAAAAATGTTTCCCATGGCAAAATCTGTTTTTACTACTCTTAATAATATAAACAGTTCTGTATCATGTTTATTAAATTTGTCAAAGTAAGTACAATGAACCTTATATCATTGTAACCGGAGAAAAATGCACTTTTTAAAAATGTCACAGCCAACTATACAGGGTGATTCCTATAGTACCTGCCACCGTTTGGGAGCGTGTAGGTGGTGCGTAGGGGAGTATTTTGATATAGGACACTTGGGGTCGGAAATCTAAAATAAGGGTGCCAGAGCCAAATTTACCTTCTGGAATTTCGCGCCTGTAGGTAGGCAACCCAACCGGCCGGCGGTGCACACGGAGCGATCTCAGGCGGCGATGTGTGGCTGACACTTGATCAGAATTTTGTTTAAACCCACGAAATCCCGTCTGCAACGACGCGTATCAAGTGAATAAACACTATGGCAATAGTATAATAATAGTTGGCTAGATGTAGGAAGTGCATTGAGAACAACGGTGGCCACGTTGAACACTTGTAAACGTTATTGCTTTTGACTGTCGTTTTCCCTCCTTCCCTCCCATGTCGCTTCCTCGCGCTAACTCGCTCTGCATCGCTCCGCGCGAAACGTCGGTCGGTTGGGTTGCCTACATACAGGCGTGAAATTCCAGAAGATAAATTTGGTTCTGGCGCCCTTATTTTAGATTTCCGACCCCAAGTGTCCTATATCAAAATACTCCCCTAGGCACCCCCTATACGCTCCCAAACGGTGGCAGGTACTATAGGAATCACCCTGTATGATTACCATTTAAAAAAATGTAAGTTTGCGTTATAAGTGGAAAATTATAAAAGAAGAATAAATATTAATAAAGAAAAAATCTACAATTTTTGTTCTTTGCATATTTCTGTATTTATAATGCTAGCGATTCTACATCTAAAAGAAAAATCACTAAATCTCTTTTTGGCTCATATCTAGTAATCTGTGGATTTTTGTTAAAAGACAAAAGCATATCTTCAATAAGCTCTTAAAATGACAACTCTTTCCTCATTTAACCGAATCTCTATGTCTTACGGTTTCCGGGATCCTAATGCTTAAAATGAAAAAAAAACTCACCCTGTATATAAGATTCCCTCCAAAACTAAACAAGATCCCGCATAAATTTGAAAAGTGGCACGTGATAAAACATCTAAGGCAGGGCCCCCTTACGTTAGTTTTAAACAACGCTATGACCTGAAGCACAGTAGGGAAGGAACGTAAAATAGAACAGTGAAATTGTGAAGTTTGTTTAATAATCGTAATTATTATGATTGTGAAAGATCGGAAATTTAAGTCGAAATAAATGACATTGCAAAAATAAACTTTAAAAATGGTAGTTCACCGAATAAAAATAGAAATAGCTGGGGAAAAAAAGAACTTTCTAATAAAAAAACCAGCCGTCAAATTAAATTGTGTAGTAAAATTAATTGTTTGTAATGATGTGAATGCGTAACATAAAATTATAACATCACAAAAAGTAGCAGGTAAACTTCAAGAGGGAACATATAGGTTAAAAACAAGGATTATGGGTCAGGTAAGCAGGTACCAAGATTCTAAGAAAGGGTGAAATACACAGGATGTGACTCATCTTTGGTGCATAAAGTCCTTTTGTTAAAAGCAAGATGAAAAATTACATGGCCTTGTAGGCAAATTTAACTAAAAACAAGATATGTGGAAATTATTGAATCGCCACTCATTTATCGCACATAACAAACTGAAGAGTTTTGATTAGCGTAATCCCGCTCCTGCAAGATAGGTAACCCGCCCCTGGTTTCGGGGTTTAGAGCCTACAGTTGAATGTCGAAGGCAATCACGGAATTAGGTGTCGTAGCTCAATTTTGCCTACAGTTTTTACCACCCCCGTGACTGCTTCATTCACAGAAAAAATGGTTAGTAACAAACAAGTTTGTACATACTTCAAACGAATCGGTAATTTCCACATATTAAAATAAAATGATCAAAACTTATATGAATGTTACTTCAGAGACAAGACCAAATAATCAACATCAATAAACATAAATTAAGCAAGCATTACACCGAAAACGTAAACAATTACAAACAATAGCATAACGGTATCACATATGTGATTATGCATTTCGGTTAAACCAAGTAAATTTCAAAAACAAAGATTCAAACAAAAAATATAAAATGTGGTTGTTATGGTTGAAATATGCAAGGAAGCTCACATAAGCCGTTTTGTTTACACAATTGCCAACGGTGTAAAATACGCATTTTTTTAAAATTGCGCTTTACCTACGTAGGTAGATACCAGAAAACTTTACCTAACTATAAATGGCATTATTTCAATTTGATACTATAATCCCTATTCAGATTGTATGATATCCAGAAAGGAAAAATCACGCTCTATAACAATAACAAATAAGAAAACTTAATTCCGGTGCATTGTTCCAATACAATAAACATAAATTTACTTCATATGTTTACCTCGTTTTAAATGTTTTCCAACCTCCCGATCGCAGAGTTCAAATTGCTGGGACGACCGAAGCCGGGATTGCGCATCGCCGGGTTTAGATGGCAGAAATAACCGAAGCCGAGAAGTAAATGGTCGCCGGGATGACCGTGGCCGCATAAGTTCCCTCGTATAGCGTTTAATTTGACACTCTTATTGTAAATTATGGCCCATTTCAATGTAGAGCAAAGGAGAAAAAATCACGTGTTCCACGGAAACGAAAGCACGGAAATTTAGTTGATGTACATTACAAAAGCAAAGCCCAAAGGTGTCGTACTCTCTCTCGTAAAAGTAACTGCCAAGGGTAAAAAGGGTACTACGAAGAAAAACCTTGCGGTTTGATTAATACAGTCCAAAAGTTAACAAAATAAATCAAGTGATAGTAAGTGCATATACACCAAGTTGGTTACACCCAAGGTTAAAAACAAATTTTGGGAACAATAGGTCAGGTGAGCAGGTACTAGAGCTGGGTCGAGCGTTCTAAAAAACCGCTCGAGCGACGAGAGCTTAATAATCTCAAAAATGCTCGCGAGCATCGAGTTGTTTTGCAAAGCGAAACCGCTTGAGAGTTGCGAGCACTCCTAAAAGTGTTCGAGCGGTTGATCGCTGCATTTATTTATATCGTATTTGTGTTTTGTATGCCGCATTTTATATTTTTTGTGTGTTTCAATCTTTGTTTTGAATTTACTTGGTTTAACCGCAATGCATAATAACATATGTGATACCGTTATGCTATTGTTTGTAATTGTTTACGTTTTTGGTGTAATGCTTGCTTAATTTATGTTTATTGATGTTGATTACTTGGTCTTGTCCCTGAAGTAACATTCATATAACATTTTCTCCGTGAATGAAGCAGTCACGGGGGTGGTAAAAACTGTAGTCAAAATTGAGCGACGATACCTAATGCCCTGATTGTCCTCGGCATTCAACTGTAGGCTCGAAACCCCGAAACCAGGGACAGGTTACCTATCTTACCGGAGCGGGATTACGTGCTAATCAAAGCTCTTCAGTTTAGAATCTATGTGCGATAAATGAGTGGCGTTTCAATAATTTCCACATATCTTGTTTTTAGTTAAATTTGCCTACAAGGCCATGTAATTTTCCATCTTGCTTTTAACAAAAGGCCTTTATTGCACCAAAGATGAGTCACATCTTGTGTATTTCACCCTTTCTAGAATCTTGGTACCTGCTTACGTGACCCATAATTCCCAAAACTTGTTTTTAACCTATATGTTACCCCTTGAAGTCTACCATGCTACTTTTTGTGTTGTTATAATTTTATGTTACGCATTCACATCATTACAAACAATTAATTTTACTACACAATTTAATATTAATCTGACGGCTGGTTTTTTTATTGGTAAATTCTTTTTTTCCCAGCCTATTTCTATTTTTATAGACGTCTCAATCTTAAGAATTACGATCATTATTAAACAACTTGTTACAATTTCAGTGTTTTATATTACGTTCCTACCCTACTGTGCTTCAGGTCATAGCGTTGTTTACAAGTAACGTAAGGGGGTCCTGCCTTAGATGTTTGATCACGTGCCACTTTTCAAATTTAAGCGGGATCTTGTTTAGTTTTGGAGGGAATAGTCATTCGGGTGGCCATTTTTAAACGTTGCCGGGTTGACTTTATTTCCGTGTTCTTGTAGTGTGGAGTTAGCGTAGAACCTGGGGGTTAAGTACACTACAACGCAATGACTACAACGTTAACACCAAAAATGTATATGAAACGCAAATAAATTATAAGGAAATGCAAAGTTTACTACCATTATTAAATAACAAAATAAAAACAATTTAAAACTATACGGTGCTCTTTTCGTGGCGGTTTGATTTAAGATGACCGCGAGAAAAGCGCCTTCTCCTAAAAGGCAAACATATTATGGTCGCTTTAGGATTATCTTTTAAATGATTCTAGGAATTACAGTGCCACCATGCTCAGAAAAGCCCCGGAAAATATGCGAACTAATTTTGAAATAATTTAGGCTGGCCAATAGAAAGTTTGCAACTCGACAGTTGACGCTTTACGTTATTTTAGTTTACACTTTGCTTCTTGTATTTGCTTTATTTTACGTTTTCCGTCTCCAGTTTTATACAAACTCGTCATTTTGAAGACGCATATAGCTTGGATTTACGATCTGATAAGGAATATAATTCCCTTAAAGTGTTTTTAAATTTTATATCAGAATGTACGGTCTAAATTTCTAGCGCCCTCGGACACGCCCTGTCAGGGACGTTCTGAGCGTGGTGCCACTTGTAGTGTTTTCTTTGGAACTTTAGCTTTAGTCGATTAACTAAGTAAAATTTTAAATTCGGCAACACTGCGTTTGCGTAGTCACATGATGGATTTTTGACAATTGACACTTTTTTGTTGGTGAGTGTTGATTGAGGAAGATGTTTGCATTTGTAAAAACTGAATCGCAATCAAAAGAAGAGACAGACGCATTCATTGACGAAAAGGATCCTCTTGTGAGCAGTAGTGCTTTTTTAACGATAAAGCAGGAGTGCCATGATACAATAATCGGTGCAGATTGTTCTGTTCCCCTTAAATGGGAAGATCAAAATTATGTTCAACAACCAGAATATAAACTTGTGGATTGGAACTTCTCAAATGAACCTTCGCAGCAACCACAAATTGAAAAAGCTTTTACATGCACTCAGTGTAACTACGCAACCAATAATAAATACTGCTTTAAAGAACATCTGGTAACTCACAAAACGTCCAAAGATTTAAAATGTGCTCATTGTGATTATGCAACCAACAGTAAATCACATTTAAAAACCCACCTATCAACGCATAAGATTTCCAAGGACTTCTATTGTACCCAGTGTGACTACGCCACCAACCACAAGTCAACTTTAAAAAGGCATCTTTTAAAACACCAAACCTCCAAGGATATACGATGTAACCTGTGCGATTACGCAACCAAATCTCTTTCCTACTTAAAAGCACATATGTTAACACACAAGACTTCCAAAGATTTAAAATGTGCTCAGTGCGATTACGCGACAAACAATAAGACACATTTTAGAATGCACCTCCTGAGACACAAAACTTCCAAGGTTTTAAAATGTTACCACTGCGATTACGCAACAAATATTATCGGCTCGCTCAGAAAGCACCTTTTACTTCACAAGTCTTTGAAAGATTTAAAATGTACTCACTGCACTTACGCGACCAATGATAAATTGGTTTTAAGAAGGCACCTGTTGAGGCACACCGCATCGAAGAATTTAAAATGTGACTTGTGCGACTACACGACTATTAGCAAAGTTTATTTTAAAACACATCTGCTATCGCACCAGGCCGACAAAGATTTGAAATGTGCACGGTGCAAGTACACGACCGACGATCAGTCTCATTTAAAAAAACATCTGGTAATCCACAGGATGTGCAAGGATTTCAAGTGTGACCGGTGTGATTTTGCAACACGTTATAAATGCTCTTTGATTAAACATTTGTTAACGCATAAGACTACCAAGGATTTCAAGTGTCTACAGTGCGATTTTGCTAGCAATAATAAATCGTATTTTAAATTACATTTGTTAACGCACGAGACTTCCGTTGATTAGAGAAGCTTGGGCTGGTGCAAGTTTATAATGTCACCCGTGTATGTATTCAAGAAATTGACTGTGCCGATTTTTTTTTTGGTCTGCAACCCCTCGCCCCTTTAAAGTGTGTGAGGGGCTGCAATTCCTTCCACAGGAGTTCCGAGTTTTAGGGAGGTACCTACACATTTTTATTGGGGGGCCTTGTATTTATTTAAATAAAATATATTGTAATTTCTTTTTTATTTTATCTACACATCATCGAGCAAATAGAGAGAATTCATTCATAAGTTTATTAACCAAAGTAAACCGCTACCGGTAAAAAGGATAAAGACAATTCATTTCTTGAATAACCGTTGCGGTTTCTAGTAAGGGACTTTCGGTTCCGGGAAGTATTAACTTATGTGGTTACTTGGAAGTAGATTATCAGCGTGATATTGCTTATACGCGGGCTGTCCAGAAAATAACAGACGTTTTGAAATAAAGAGGTTCCACCCTGTATATACAACTTACCATGCAATTTTTAGGTGGGAAAAAGCAGCCTGTGCCATCTAGAAAAGCACGAACGGGGGTTTGGCCCAGGTTTGGCCTCTTGTCTTGAATGCCGGTCGTGAACGCATCGCTCCATAAATATTTGTTGTTATTTTGTGTTATTTAATGCAGGTAGTAATTTTTGCATTTGTTTATATCGTATTTGTGTTTTGTATGCCACATTTTATATTTTTTGTATTTCAATTTTTGTTTTTGAGATTTGCTTGGTTTAACCGCAATGCAGAATGGCATATGTTTAATACCGTCATCTTTTTGTTTATAATTGTTCACATTTTTGGTGTAATGCTTGCTTAATTTATGTTTATTGATGTTGATTACTTGGTCTTGTCCCTAAAGTAACATTCATGATGTAAGTTTTCATTTTATTTTAATATGTGGAAATTACCGATTCGTTTGATGTATGTAGGTACTGACTTGTTGTTTGTAACTAACCATTTTTATCCGTGAACGAAGCAGTGACGGGGGTGGTAAAAACTGTAGTCAAAATTGAGCTACGACACCTAATTCCGTGATTGTCTTCGGCATTCAGCTCGAAACCAGGGGCGGGTTACCTATCTTGCAGGAGCGGGATTACGCTAATCAAAGCTGTTCAGTTTAGAATCTATGTGCGGTAAATGAGTGATGATTCAATAATTTCCACATATCTTGTTTTTAGTTAAATTTGCCTACAAGGCCATGTAATTTTCTATCTTGACTTTATTTCCGTGTTCTCGTAGTGTGAAGTTAGCGTAGAACCCGGGAGTTAAGTACAGTGCAATGTGAAACTTTTTTCGATCGCTGTCTTTGTTATTAAAATATTTGAACTTTTTAAAAATGTCGAATGTCGACTTTCTTTTGTTGTGTTTGTTAATTTAGTTCGTGTATTTGTGTGAACTATGCCAGGGTTTTTGTCCTGAAGAAGGTTTGCCTGACATCGGCTGGTTGTGTGCGTAACAAGGTGTGTAAAATAATGTTCTCGTCTCGCACAAAACTATGAGTTTTTATTCAATTTCCTTTCCCATTGTGTATAAAAAGAAACTGCTACCCAAATTCAAAAGTACCGCGAAACGACGTGGTCGTTCTGCCATGAAAGTAGCGGTGGCTCTGCTCGTGACAAGGTATGACAAGATTGCAGTCGCTTCTCGACAGTACTGCGGGCGTTGTTATTATGATAAAAATATTAAAATGATTTTTCCTTTACGTCCAAATGATAATGTCTACGTTGTTAATAAAAGATCGCGACATAGACAATGTGTTACAAACAACTACCGAAACATTTTTTTACAGTAATTGGTTAATAAAATTCGTTCATGTAATTGGTATTCTACCCACAATGCAGGACTGTCTATAGGGTGCCTACATACTCCTTCGATTGATCGAAAGATGCTATTTAAATAATTAAACACATTTAGTGATGATGTCATAATACACCGGTAACGTGAGCTTAAACGAAGGATAATCTACTATAGAAATTTTTCCGGTACCTCAACTATCCACACGTTTATATTTTGTCTGGCTGAAATACCTTGTATATTAAATAACAAACTGATCTCTTAGGCAACACTGTAATCTTCGAACATAACCTTACTTTACTTCACTTTTACATTTTTAAAGGATGGGTTTTTTAAAACAATGTCAACATTAGAAGAGGGACTACGAATACTTTTTACCGAATTAGATCAACACAGCAAGATAATTAAATACGAGAATGTGATCTCGGACGATAACTTTTCGGTGTCGCTCCGTACCAAGCTAAGTAACGAAAGTACGTGGAGTAAAGCGTGCGATCGATGGGTGGAACGATTCACAGTACAAACCAACTCAAAATGGGTGGTTAAGTACACGTTTCCGAAGACTCTACGCATGGCCTATCGTAAAGTTTACATCTGCAAGGAGAACAGCGTGGCCAGCAGAAATCGGAATAAATCCTGTAAGGCAAAAATCGATATCAGAATTAAAAAGGTGACTGAATCGGCGTTGAAGAAGGATTCACTTTTGAGAACTGGATATAACGGTGACATTAAGGTAAAAGTCCATTGTTTGCGGTAGAAAAACTCATTATACTTTTGCAGGTGGTTTTTAGTCATTCTCACAGCCGATAATACAACAGTCTACGCAATATTATTGTAAATCCCTACGACATCGTCTACACTACTTAATTTATCGAAGAACCTCGAACACTTCTCCATATCATCGTCACTCAACTCGATCCTCCTAATCGGAATATAATCTAAGGACGCCTCGACAATGTTGTACTTTAACTCTTCCAAGTTCTTCTGCACTTTCATGAAACTATGCGGGTCACTTGTGAACTGCAACAAATTGTCGTCAACCAACACCACGTCCTCAGCTTCGCACTCGATCGCGTGATTAGTGGCGGCCTCCAAAATGTCATCGGCCAATTTCCCACTAAACGCCGAAGGCACCTCCGTCTGGATGACACCCTTATGATCGAAGAAATGCCGACCGCCACTCTCCGAGTACCGACACCTGAAACAGACCCTGTAGCCGAGAAAGTCAAAACCGGTCCGCACTCACGAATGCTTCTTCATCATCGACGCGATGTCCTGCTTGGTCTTGGTCACGTTAGGCGAACACACCTCGCACAGTATAATGCAGTTACCGGGCCCTCTGAAATATCGAAAGGGTGAGTAACGTTAACTCGATCGGATACGTACTTAATTTCGAATGTGAAGCTTTTCATTTGCGTCTTGTCCTTCTGCGTGCTTTTAATGACACTGTCGATCGTCGCCGCCGGCATATTGGAACGTTTGGCTTGAGCGATTATTTGTTCCAGCCTGAGATTTGCGCTCGGATTCGCCGATCCACCCTCTACAAACGAAGATAGTGAAAAACCGCTCCCGGTTTAGGGCAAGTACCGTTAATCGCGACTTTTATTTGTTGCGATAGTTTAGTAAACAATTTCGATCGTTCGTTATCTTTTAGGGACTTCGTGTGCTTTATATTGGCCCATTTGGAATGTCCAGCCTGTCGTTTAGTGATGTAGTTGTATAGGTAGTTTACGTTTAGTAGTCTTTTGTACATGCTTTACAAGAATATAACCTAAAACTGATTTTTCGTCGTTTACATAAGTTTTCAGTTTATTTATCACTGTGAGCACGTTTTGGATTTAATTTAATGGTTTTGAGTGAATAATAGCGGCCCGGGTTTAAGAAAATTACGCAAAGAGGTTGACATAAACCGAACCTCACATTGTATGAAATTTGAATTGTATGACATTTACTCTTTTAGGTTAGGATCAGTAAGTTTAGGATTTAAATCTCATCAGTGGCGGCTCGTGTCAATATGTGTGGTGTGGATTGAATTTTCAAACAAAAACCAAAGATAATAATTATCTTTGCAAAAACTCATGAAAAGTTATGCGGTGAATTACCCCTAGCAAACCCTTAGCAAAATTCGAAGCTCACTGTATACAGTAATCGTGAAAAGTCTTCCACTTTGGCCGGGGAATGAAACTTGGCAGAAAAGTCGGCGTAGGCGATTAAAGTTCCAAAGGCGACTCGACTTCAATTTTTTTTAATCGCCCGATATTATTTGATTCAGAATTGATTTAGGTATTGTGATACCTATGGTTAGGCAACACACCTTTACATCTGAAACAAAAATATGATATGCTTTCCATGGAAAAAGGAAACACGCCACTTTGCTCCCGCAAATAAAGGTGCAAAATCCGGTTTTCGGTAGAGCGCGGAGATAAATGTGATTTACCCAATCGAGTTCAAATAACAAGGTGACTTCTACCTACATTGTGATTAAAAAAAGTTGAAAACTGGGCAAAACGTGGGACTAAAACCATAATGAAAACAGGCGAAACAATAGTGGCCCTTAGGATGATCCTTGAGGAGCGCCACCTACAATTTCTATTACTTTCAAACAACATTCAAGAACTTGCAACGTGTTTATTTACAACTGATCACCAAAATAAAACAAAAATTGTAAAAAAGAAACTAATAATGCATCGTGTGGTGTTTTTTAAGGTTCCCCTTATGCCGAATACTAGGGGATTTTCGTAACGAAGCTTCTCTAAGGACGGAAGGCATCCCGCGTTCCCGGTTTTTTTGTTCTTGATTACACGTAGTAACCATTTTATTCTTTCTTGCACTAGCTATTTAATCATTGAATTTCTTGCCACAATTTGATATTATTTACAGTGTGCTGATTTTGCATAAACTACGATATCTGAATCATGGCGTACTCGGTACTCCATGCCTTTGTTTTGAGTACCGTTATCTCAATCATATTTGTTTGTTATACTGTACAGATAATTATGCCATTATTTTCTTTTATTAAGTATTTATTTCTGTATTCACGAGGAGTTGATTATCAGTACGATGTTGCTCGGTTCGATTGAATCGTAACTATTCCTTGAGGGAAGTACTTATCATACAGTTTGATTGTTCGCTGTATCTGTTACTTTCTTATTCGTGGCGCGCTGCAGTTCTTGTGCGTTAGCTATACGAAGGCGGAGCGGGGTCTCTTATTTCATGTTTCGATGTTTGTGTGTGCGAGTGGTTCTTTCTGTCTCCGTGGAGAAGGTACCTAATACAGTTCGATCTTTCGCTGTATCTGTTGTGTACTCGTCTCGTGCGGATTGCAGTTCTTAGCATCTTAGCAATGCGAATAGGGGGCCCTCCCATTAACATTTCCACTATTTAAAATATGTTCTGCTTGAGCGATAATCGATTTTCACATGAATACTTGCTATTGGCATTCTGACATGTACTTTTCGTGTTAAATAAAATTATGTTAATGAAGGCTGGAGTAGAGAGTAAAGTACATGTTTCCTATGTACATGCAATTTATTTATTTGACGAGTTGTGTTATCTTAATTGATCGTACGGGGATTTTGATGTGTTTTTGTACTGAACTGATTTATCATGTTTTCCACTGCATTTATGATGTCTTGTGTATGTGTTCTTATGAACTTGTTTAATTGCATTTAATTTGATTATCTGATTTTTATCATACAATTTGAGATGTTTTATTTATGTGTAGTTTCTCTTGCATTTTATTGCTGTAGGTGATTTATTTCATGTATTTGTGTGGCCTATGCCGAGGTTTTTGTCCCGCAGAAGGTTTCCGTGGCATAGTCTTGTGTGCGTAATATATTTATTTGTTCTTGTCATTTCTTAAGCACAAAACGGTAAGTATAGGGTACGTCAACGTTTTCAGTGTCGGCTTGATAGACCCCTAGGAACATTACAGTATGTATTCATGGATTCTAGTGCCTACTTCCTTATATGATTCTTTTAACCAATCATACCACATAGATTGGACAAGGCACCCAATACAGTTCATACCGCTTTTCCATGCCGCTGGCGTTTCAGGAAGTTATTTGCAGAGAAGCTGGTGCCGTCCTGCGTCTGTCCATTAGTTACAGTACAGATTAAGGATTACTTAACCGTGTTGGAGGATAACCCTTCAGCTGCAGGAGACACTTGACGTCCTTCAGGGCGTGGCCAACGAGAAGCTTTCTAGAAGATTTCTTTACGCCGTCGTATTATCCTGATGGGCAAAACGTTTTAACGTAAAATAACTGGATCTATATAAAACGGACTCGCAGTGGAAAACAGCAGTTCTAGATTTGCATTGGGTAGCGTAAGATTTCAAATTTCACCGAAAAGAAAACGAACATCAGCAGTAAATAAACAAGAAAAAGTGCTTCCGGAAGATACAAGAAAGCAGAAGATCGAATTTAACACAAGGACGCTGACCAAATACAAGGCCACTCACATACGGAAAACTTCGCCTGGGAGTCGCCTCCCTGGAGACTTGTAGCTTACCCCTCGTGCAGAGTATACAAGCATTTACAGTTGAGATTCGTGATCAATTACACTTTTAGATGTCGTAACTAGTTTGGTTATAGCATTCCCATTCCTGAGTCCGTCCCTTCACGGCGAAAAGTCGAAAACATTTTGTAGTGTACTTAACCCTCAGGTTTTACACTAACGTCACACTACAAGAACACGGAAATAAAGTCAACCCGGCAACATTTAAAATGGCCACCCGAAAGACTATTCCCTCCAAAACTAAACAAGATCCCGCAGAAATTTGAAAAGTGGCACGTGATCAAACACAAATAAAGCACTGAAATTGTGACATGTTTGTTTAATAGTGATCGTAATTATTATGATTGTAAAAGCTCGGAAATTTAAGTCAAAATAAATTACATTGCAAAAATAAACTTTGAAAATGGTAGAAGGCTGGGAAAAAAAGAACTTACCAATAAAAAAACCAGTCGTCAAATTAATATCAAATTGTGCTGTAAAGTTAATTGTTTGTAATGATGAGAAAGCGTAACATAAAATTATAACATCACAAAAAGTAGCACGTAGAATGCAAGGGGTAACATATAGGTTAAAAACAAGTTTTGGGAATTATGGGTCAGGTAAGCAGGTACCAAGATTTTAAGAAAGGGTACACAGGATGTGACTCATATTTGGGGCAATAAAGTCCTTTTGTTAAAAGCAAGATGGAAAATTATATGGCCTTGTAGGCAAATTTAACTAAAAACAAGATATGTAGAAATTATTGAATCACTACTCATTTATCGCACATAGATTCTAAATTAAGAGCTTTGATTAGCGTAATCCCGCTCCTGCAAGATAGGTAACCCGCCCCTGATTTCAGGGTTTCGAGCCTACAGTTGAAAGTCGTTTTTTCCCACACCCGTGACTCCTTCATTCACGGAGAAAATGTTAGTTACAAACAACAAGTCAGTACATACATCAAACGAATCGGTAATTTCCACATATTAAAATAAAATGATCAAAACTTATATGAATGTTACTTCACGGACAAGACCAAGTAATCAACATCAATAAACATAAATTAAGCAAACATTACACCAAAAACGTAAACAATTACAAACAATAGCATAACGGTATCACATCTGTGATTATGCATTGAGGTTAAACCAAATAAATTTTAAAAACAAAGATTCAAACACACAAAATATAAAATGCGGCATACAAAACACAAATACGATATAAAGAAATGCAAAAATTACCACCTGCATTAAAAAAACACAAAATAACAACAAACATTTATGGAGCGACGCGTTCACGACCGCCATTCAAGACAAGATGCCAAATGTAACCCCCGTTCGTGCTTTTTAGGTGGCGCGGGCTCAGATTCTTACTCTGAGGCGCGGGCAGCTTTTTCCCCACCTAGAAATTGCATGGTGGCCAACTCTCAAAAGTGTATGTATCGTGCGTATACAGGGTGGAACCTTTCAAGGTTAATAGCGAGACTTCTGGTGGTAGCACATTGTAATTAACATAGGTGGGAGAAGACCGCCATTTTGTTTACGTAATCAAGGTTGTAGTGTTTAGGGGTGTAAAAGTAAATACACTTGCTAAAATTTCTTTTGCAATCAAGGTAATTACACCTTAAAGAGCACGATACCATCCCGTTGTGCTTGTCAGTTATGTTGACTTAACTTATGATAAAACAGAAGAGACCATGTCAGTTTTGTTTTATTACGCAACTGCCAAAATGGTTACACGCTTCACCCCACTCTTATATAACCTCCTTTTTATCCATTTCCGTCGCGTGCCCTTTTAATGCAATTCCTCTTATTTTTTACTCGTAGCGTTCTTTTAAGAATTTTAAATGTGATCGGTGCAGTTATGCAACCATAACAATAAGGATACTTTAAGTAATCGACGTCTAACGCATATCTCCAAACCCTTTAATTGTGAACAGTGCAATTACACAACAAAAAATAGGAATAGAAAATTTGCATTCTTTGACACACTCCGCTTTGAATAACATTCTATCACTGCTGTCAGTGTAATTACGCTTAAAGCTATTCACAAACACAATCTTCTCAAACATTTGAACTGTGAACAGTGAAATTGTGCTACTCACGCACGATAAGCATAACTTGAAAATTAACCCAATGTTTACAACCACCTATACACGCCATTTGTAAATTACACCAGCGCCTCTAGTGTTAGACGAGTCGAATCGGCGTTCATGTAACCAGCCACAGCTGCACCCTGTTGAAGAGCCTCGTGTGCGAGTCATCAACCACATCCTCACAGGTAAACAATGGCAGACATAACGAACGTTTTAAATGCAATTTGGCCCATACTGGGCCTATTTAATTTACTCATCCCTCACACTGTGAGTTCTCACCCCTTTACCACAATTCTCGAAACTCACCCCTTTCGTCGTAGGTGACTGCCGACTACTGCGAGTTCGACCTGTGCGATATCGGTCAGTACTGCTGCGGTGACAATAAGTGCTGCACCAAGACTTTAGAAATATGGTTCTTCTGGTAAGTGCACGCCTTCCAACGCTCGTCTCGTAACTCGTTCTCAACGTAGGGCCGGAATTTTGCTAGTCATATTCGCCTTGGCGGTGGCGGCCGGCGTACGATACACGAGGAACCGTCACGCCACCTACGTTCTCGTCGCCACGCATCCCGTCGACGACGTTGAAATTAATCGCCATTCGTTTAAGTGAATGCCGGCTTCTGTTTTTAGATCGGATTTTAAATCTTTTTTAGCTTACAGTTTTTAATAGCCTTAAAATATTATAGAGATCTCGACTTGAATTCTTATAGGCGTATACCTACATATAGTGACTTAACGGTAATTGAGATATTGTATAAATAACGGTAAGTATTACTGACTAATTGTAATTTAATTTTATATAACTGTGATAATTGTTTGTAGCATTGTAGTATTTATTTACAATACCTATATTTTGAGATTATTATATTATTCCTCTCTGATACTCGTTTTTTTAGTTTAAGAAGGGGGTAGATTTTAGGGTAGTTTATGGATAAAGTCCCACACACCATCGAATCAAAGGTATCTACTGCAAGCTGTTTTCCACATTTGTTCTTTAACTACCTACACCTACTCCTGTTGCCCCTTTTCATTCCCTGTCGAATTTCCTGGTTGTCTCTTTTTTCCTTTGTCGTCTTTTATGCTTTTTAGCTTTACAAACTTATTTTCCTTTGTTTTCCCGTTATAGTTTTTCGCACTTCTCTCTTTTCTTTATTTTGAGAGGTTCCACTCTGTATATACAACTTACGACGCTACATACATTTTTGAGAGTTGGCAACCATGCAATTTCTAGGTGGGAAAAAGCTGCCTGCGCCATTTAAAAATCACGGACGGCGGTTATCGTCGTTGAGCATCTTGTCTTGAATGGCGGTCGTGAACGCGTCGCTCCATAAATGTTTGTTGTTATTTTGTGTTTTTTTAATGCAGGTAGTAATCTTTGCATTTCTTTATATCGTATTTGTGTTTTGTATGCCACATTTTATATTTTTTGTGTGTTTGAATCTTTGTTTCTGAAATTTACTTGGTTTAACCCCAATGCAGAATCACATATGTGATACCGTTATGCTATTGTTTGCAATTGTTTACGTTTTTGGTGTAATGCTTGCTTAATTTATGTTTATTGATGTTGATTACTTGGTCTTGTCCCTGAAGTAACATTCATATAAGTTTTGATCATTTTATTTTAATATGTGGAAATTACAGATTCGTTTGATGTATGTACTGACTTGTTGTTTGTAACTAACATTTTCTCCGTGAATGAAGCAGTCACGGGGGGTGGTAAAAACTGTAGTCAAAATTGAGCTGCGATACCTAATTCCGTGATTGTCTTCGACTTTCAACTGTAGGCTCGAAACCAGGGGCGGGTTACCTATCTTGCAGGAGCAGGATTAGGCTAATCAAAGCTCTTCAGTTTAGAATCTATGTGCGATAAATGAGTTACGATTCGTAATTTCCACATATCTTGTTTTTAGTTAAATTTGCCTACAAGGCCATGTAATTTTCCATCTTGCTTTTAACAAAAGGACTTTATTGCACCAAAGATGAGTCACATCCTTTGTATTTCACCCTTTCTTAGAATCTTGGTACCTGCTTACCTAACCCATAGTTCCCAACACTTGTTTTTTAACCTATATAAATATTACCTCTTGAAGTCTACCTGCTACTTTTTATGATGTTGTAATTTTATGTTACGCATTCACATCATTACAAACAATTAATTTTACTACACAATTTGATATTAATTTCACGGCTGTTTTTTTTATTGGTAAGTTCTTTTTTTCCCAGCATATTTCCATTTTTATTCGGTCAACTACCATTTTCAAAGATTATTTTTGCAATGTAATTTATTTCGATTTAAATTTAAACTGTACGAATGTTAATGTCAATGTCACTAAGAAATCATGAGTACGAGAATCCACCTTATGTTAAATTTTTAGGTGTCTTTGTGGACCCGAAACTATCTTTTCAGTCGCATATCGAGTATATTTCTAAAAAAATAAGCAAAAATATTTATGTTATGCGACGCCTTTCAGAATGCGTGTCTAGTCTAGGGAGCTCTTAAGTGGCGTTTACAATGTATGGTAAACTAGTACAAAAGTGTCATTGCTATTTCCACAATAACTTTGTTGCGAAGTAAAAGAATGACCTTCTGTAAACGATCGATTGTAGTTAAAGGTTTAAACTTGTGAATGAAGTAAATTTTGTAACAAATTGTTATCAGTGTGGGATAAAAATGGAAGATAAATATGGCTAATTTTTAAGATTCTTATTTCTTAAATAACAGTGTAAGTACAGGAATTAGCTAAATAATTTTTGTTTCATGCAAATCTCTGAACATTATATATTTGAATGAATGTTATTTCAACCAAAAATGTTGACTCTAAAGGCCGTTTTTGTGGAAAGAAAATTTCTTGACGACATCTATTGAGCCAAGGCACATCATCACGGCAACGCCATGATCTCCAAATGTATTCATCGTTATCGGGTGCGATTCTATGCTACACAGTTTAGCAATTATAAGAGGGAGGTCGCTCACGTCATTAGAGGGCAAAGTACATTTTATTCAATGAAAGTACGTAATTTGAATTTCGTACGTAGGACGCATGGAATTTTAATTTGATATTTGATATTGTATTGTATTATTGAAATA